CAACGCTTACTTTATTTCAACTGCTAACTAATCGAGTTGCAGCACCAGGCCAACTTACGCCGTACAACCACCAGTTCATCACGATGCATACCGTATTAGGATGTGAAATGGGAGTACTATACATCATGTAGTCGTAGTGCGCCATTGCCTTCCACGTACAGTGCTAAGGTTAGAGCAGATCAAGAGTTGAAGGTATGGCATAGCTTTGAATCATTGGACAGAGCGACGACTACATGTACTGTAGCCTAACTATATCCCTAACGTTATATACATTACTCGGAGTAGATAATGTTAGTACTGTAGTGATCACGGATGGGAGGTCATGTATGTGGCCATAGCTCCTTCAGTTTCATTGCGTCAAGCACCTTGACATGTTGACGTAAAGCAAGTTGTTTGCCAGAATGAAAACGGCAAACAACTTGTTTTACGAAAGTGCCAGTAAAACCACCTTCAACCAACCAATCATCGCATTAGATGAAGTAACTTTAAACAACGCACCCAACCGTTATTCAAGTTACTTTAGACATTATTTAAGCCTGAGAAATTTTTAAACAATGAATTTAACCCTGGAATTGCCAAAAAAGGTGCAAAGCACAATTAGTGCAGGGTTTACACAGGGTTTGAGCATGGTTCATTAGATTGTAGCAGGATTGCATGTTCGCGACAACAACTTTCGAACACCAACGTCGCGCCATCAACCCTTTTTTGTCTTTTCCTTTGAAAATGTACATGCAAGAGTACTGGTGCTGTGGTTGTAGGCTAACAGGGACGGAAACCTACACTTGGCTCTGGGATCGCATTAAACGCGCCGACTGATCCGTAAGGGAAAGTTGTGCACCGATGGGTGTGGTAGGGAACGTGAAGGTCTGGGCACAGTCTGATGCATGCATGAGCAAGACACCTTTTGAGTTCTCCCCCCGTGAATTGTCACTGATACGAGCGCAAAAGTTATTGAGTACGTAATGGGTAGGGCTTAGGTGCCCGTATCTACAGTAGCATGCTGTAGGCCCTTTCCAATAGCTAGAATGATACAATCTACAAGACGTAACAGAGCAAAATATATTCGCGCAGGTGAAGTGAATTCCCCCCAGGGTAAGTCCAAACATGCAACACAAAAAGGGTGGGCCTCGCGAGAAGTGCCTCCGCCCGGGATTGAACCGGGGACCTTCTGTTTACAAGACAGATGCTCTACCACTGAGCCACAAAGGCGGGGCGAAATTGAAAATTTTAATTCAATACCAGCCTTTTATTTTGAAAAATAGTTTATCCTATTTCGAGCAAAATCTATTTATATCTCGTGCGTACTTGTATACTTGTATACAGTAAGCCCACCTGCATGCACTCGCCGCTTGCTCGAAAATGACCAGCGGCGGCAATGGTGGAGAGGAGAAGCTAATGTACCTCTTTACAAACAACGACGTGTGGGACGTGGACGATGCAGATGACACCATCCTGCGAGAGTTCACTAAGGCCGAGAGTGTCAACATCAATGTAACCAAGGTGACCGACGACGTGCTAAACACGTTTGCTCACATGGCTGCGCTGTGGGACCGGCCTCGGGTGCTGGAGCACTTGATTCGACTGGGTGCCGACCTCAACGCGACCAACAAAGTGGGCAACACGCCAGCTGATATTGCCATGCACTGGGGCAATGCCGACTTGGCGCTTCAAATCAAACACTACGGTAAGCCCCACGAAACTCCATAGACTACACACACGGAGGCGTAGGGGGCAAGCATTGCTGCGAACAAGAGCGGGATTTGGCCATTGCCCAGCGAGACCTCGTGCAAAGCAAGATCAACGACGCGACGTCCAAAATGGAAAAGGCGATGGGCGATTGGCTCCAGATTTCCAAAGACAAGGAGGACCTGCGCGTGGAGCGTGACCGCCTCCTCCTTCGCGTGGACGACATGGAGCGCCAGATGGCCCAAGTGAAGACGGACTATGCGACGTACCGTGGGCTGTACGAGCAGAGGCAGGTGCAGCTGGAGGCGATGCGGTTAGAAGTCGACAAGTTGCGGTTGGCCGTGGCGGACGAGGCCCAAGCCAAGCAGAACGCGCTGCAGGGATGGCAAAAGGCTGAGAGTTATGCCAAGGAGATCCAGCATATGCGGGAAATCGCCATGGAGTGCGAAGAAGAGGCCGTGCGCATGCGCGACGACGCCGTGTGTGAACGAGATGCGGCGAGGGATTTGGTACGCTGCCTGTTCTTCCATTACATTCGACATTCCCAAGAGAACTCTTGTCATGCCATATGTAGATGAAACGAGCGCAAGCAGACCATGTTGTGGCTGTGACGTTGCAAAAGCAAGCAGAAGGGGAGCGGGACGTTGCACTAGGCGAAAAAGACGACGCGATGGCCAACGTTCGAACGCAAATCGAGCTGTGGGCTGTCAAAGTCAAGGAAGCCGAGCACGAACGCGCGATGATCCAAGTGGAAATCAATCGACAAAAGGTTCGGAAATACCTTATTCAATTGTATTGATTACTAAGGGAGAGGAACAAACCACGTAGGCGAGTTTGGAAGCCAAGTGCAAGTGGCTCGAGAAGGAGCTGGCGCGTGTGAATTTGCTGAGCACGGTGCTGGAAAGCCAGCTCGGGGAAACCACGCTCAAGCTCACGCAAGCGCAGACGAATCAAGAGTCGTCGTCGACGCAGCTGGAAAAGTCGCTGCGGAAGACCAAGCGCCTCGAGAACGAGCTCAAGGAGCTTATCGAGGCGCGCACCGACGAAAAGCACATGTGGAAGTTGAAGGAACAGCAAGCATTGCATGTCGAATCCCAGCACGCGATGCAGACCATCCTCAAAGCCGCCATGCGACTGTGGACCAAGCTGGCCAACATCGAGTGGATCTTTGACTTTGTCGCGCATCCAGACGTACTCGAGGACGGGAATGGGGACCCGGTCCGGTCGATGGTGTCTAGCCCCATGTGGAAACCCCCGCCAAAGAAGGCCGCGTCGTCATCCGTGCGGCCCCAAACAACCCACGAGCCCTCGCGCCCCAACCACCGACACTCGACCCCCACACTTCTCACACCCCTCACGACACCATCGACCGTACTAGTCGACACCGCTGCGTCGACCAAATTCGCCGACAAGCTCGAGTCCATCCAAGGCAAAGTCAAGACGTGGATGCACTGGTGCAGTCAGTCATTAGATAGCGACGTCAAGTGGGATAAGACGCTCCTGGACCAGTCGGCGCAGAATATTGACTGCCTGCTCACGGTCGCGGACGGGCTGTTTGACTTTTTGGGCGTGGCCATGAAGGACAAGGTTACTGCATTTCGGTACGTATACTATTACACGTATATTGCGTGAACTCTGTGTATATATATCCATGGGTGTGGCTTGCTTGTCAGAAAGCAAGTGGACATGCAGGTCAAGAACGTCGAGCGCAAGGAAATGTTGCTCAAGCGATTCACACAACACCGCGAAGAGTCGTTGCGGCGACCGAAGCAACCGGCGCACTTTCGTGAATGCTCGATTGGCCCAGGTTGACAGCGACATCTCGTGTATAACACTGCGGGAATTGATTTATTGTATGAATTGATTTATGCTTTGTGCTGCTATTGGGATATGCTCTCAACTCGAGTCTTGGATGGCGCGGACAATCCCTTGGTAGTCTTGTTCCGTCGTCACAGCCACGATGCGGCGACCTACACACGAACCGTCAGTTGGCGCAGAATCATCGCATCGTACGGCCTTCAGTCGAGTCCAGTAAATGCCGATGGTCCACGTTGAACACAACGAACGGAAACGTGTCTTTGGGGGCGTTGGACAGTTCCGCTTTCGTGCACTTGTCAATGGTAGGGGACAGGACGATGTGCCCTTTTGGAGGCACGCCGTGCTTGGCATCCGCGATCGTCTACACAACATAACGTAAGTGTGACAAGAAAATGATATATATTTGTGGAGAAATATGATATATGCGACATACGTTCCAGTACTCGAGTTTGCCGTTGCGGACAGCGGCATAGCGATGCTAATGGCCCAATCATTAGTCTACGTAGTTGTTGGACATTGGAACATCGTGTACCGCCCAGCCCACAAACACGCCTTCGCCCCGCTTGTAGATGTACCCCGCCCAGTCCGCTTGCAACTTGGCTTGGGCGGCCGTGTGCTCTTTTTCGCGCAAGTATGCTTGATTGGCATGGCGAAACATCTAGTATCCATCAGCCATCGACACTTGCGGCCCTCGATATAAGAACAATATCATCTGTCGAACAACACAATGCAAGCATCAATCGTGTAGTCGAGGGACCTGTTGTTCTTCCAAGTCTGTCGGGAACGTTGATACGAAATTCAGCACCCGAATCATGTCGCGGTCCACGAGCCGAAAATCGCACAGCCGATGGAACCGGTTTGTAAACTACACGAGAACCCAACTCTGTCACATGTATATCACTCAACCACGGGGACATGGTACCTTTTTCGTGATCGAAAACAGCACAAAGTACTTGACTGGAATCACCGACGTGATCATGGCGCCGACACACAGCGCCGCAGCCGCCATGGCCGTTTTCGTCGGATGCGTCCACAAGAACAAATTTTTGATTTTTTCCAGCAAGTCTGCGAGTTTGCCCAGCTCGTGCTGAATTGTCCGCGCGACATTCCGAGCCATGTGGTACTTCTCCACAAGGGACAAGGACTTGGCGCTCTCCATTTCGAGCACCGAGTACATGGCTTCGGACGCGAGGCGCTCCTTCCACGTCACCCGCTTGGACGGATCGCGGAGGATGAGCTGGGCCCGGATGGTCAGCGACGGCCCCGGTCGCAGGGGGTCGGCGTCCCCCGACGGCGGCGTGTTCTGGAGGGCAAACGCCTTCTCGAGCTCGATTTGCGCACCCCCGAGGCGGCCAGAGGTCACGAGCATCTTGAGCGGTAGCCGCACTTGGCCTAGCAGGTTCTGCGACGCCGTCAGCGGATTCTCTTGAAGCACGTCGAAGCGCAGCACCCCCGGCGTGGCTTCCCAGTCGAGGACCTCCTCCAGCTCTGTCACAGGGTTGGTACGCACGGGTTGCAGTAGCGGGTACTTGAACGCGTGTACGTCGACGCCGCTGCCATCGCGTCGCTTCCACGCTTCCACGACATCATGCAACACCGCTACATACACATCACGTCGTCACCATGACGAAGTACCATCGTCCCATAAGTGGAGAAGGACGTTCGTACCATCTTTCGCCAATGGACTCAAGTGCCCAAATAGATCTTTGAACCATTTGTTGTTGAGGGCTCGTATGTCCGTGGAGGGTCCTCCACCGATGGTGGCGCCGCTCCCCCCGCCACTGCACTTGGCCAGGGCCGTCGTAGTAGAGGTTCGACTCGTAGATACAATGGACGAAGACAACCCATCATCCTGAGTAGTCGACGACATCTTGGTGGTTTGGCCATATACTGGGTGAATCGAATTCATGACGGTGCTGGTTTGGGCGATGAGGCGTTCCGGCAACTCGTTAAAGTTGGGCTCGTACACGATGCGCACATACGAGTCGAGCGGTCGCGGCGGCGGTTGCTTTCCATCGACGTCTTTTACCACTTGTACGAGGTTCTCAGCTCCGAGTGGCACCACGCGAAGGGTGGCCACGGACCGAAACATCTTCATCTTGACTTCGTCCGGGTCGTAAAACGTCCACTGCCGCTGGACGCCGCCGCGCCAAAAGTATTGGAAATTCACCAACAGCACTACCAAAAGCCCCACGAGGACGACTGCCGGCGCATGGGACGTGGGAAAGTACCACACGCCCAGCGTCAGACTCGCCCACGTCACGAGCGTCTGCGCCGGCGACTTCCACTCGAGCAGCTCGTGCACCACCACCTTGGTGCTCTACAAACTCCCGCTCTGATAGTAATAATATATATATATATATATATAGCCGCACTTGGATGGATTGAACGAGCGCGTCGAGGCGCTCAATGTTGCGCTTGATCAAGTCAGCGTTGAACTCGATTTCGTCTGGGCGTACGTACGTTGCGTCGGGATGCAGCGTCGTGCTGAACATCGCCCCGATGTTTTCGCGATACGTGGCTTGAATGTGAACGAGGCCCACTTCTTCGTCCGACTGCCGCAAGATGTACCAGTCAAAGCCGGGCTCGGGGGGTTTCTTGCCCGGCCCGAGGGTCGGCGGCGTCGGCGCCATCGTCCACGCCGCGCCTTCTCGTTGGAGGAGCTCCGCCATGCCGATGCGCACGCTGCCGTACCGGATCTACCAACACAATATTGAAACATAACGTATACTAGTACTGTTGTTCAATAAATAGTATGGCCACGAAACGCAAAACTGGTCGTTCTTTGTCCTCCATGGAGTTTAATGTACCGCTTGCTTGCCGTTCTTCAAGCGCGTGGCGCTGGGCGACGCTGCGATCGCTATAGGCTTGAGCAAATCGACCTCAAACTCCGAGTTGACGCTGTGCACGTCGTACTTTTTCTTGAACACGACCGCGTGGCACTCTGTGGCGTGGACGTACATCTCCTTGGTCGCTTGTTCGAACCCCATCGACACGATCGGGTCAAAGTCGGGAGTGAACAGCGTGCTGTGGCCGTCCAATTTGGAGCACTGCGGACCACAAACGTGCACGCCTTTGACAAACACGGACAGGAACCCGCGGGACGGAGGCTGCTTGGTCGTTGGGGGCAGTGCTGGTGGCCCTGGCTTGGACATGCGACGAGGTTTCAGCGCCGAGTTGTATATTTTGGCTGCCAACGGTGAAATGCCAGACAACCCCATGGTGGTCGTCGTGGGGCCGTGGTATACGGTGGGGTGGAAGGCGTACGTGATGGAAACGTGCCTGGAAGTTGGCGACAATAGAGACGAGGAGAAGGAGGACGAGGATCTGGGGGATGCGGTAAACAAGAGGGGGGGGTCCATGGGGATGGATTCTGTCACAGATATGCCTGGCGTGAGGATGCACCGACTCATGGGTATGCGGACGTGGCCTAGACATAACCGAAATAAATATATGGAACGTTCAGGAAATCTATCGAGCAATTTGTCGGTTAAAAGGGAGGTGCTGACATGCGACATTGTTCACAAGCTACAGAATGCATTCGAACGTACCCACGACACCGCTGTCGAATCGCGGAGAAGATGGCAGTCGACTGGACGAAGGCGTCGACCGGGGCGTGGGGGCGGCAGTGCGCAGTGTGATTTCGAGGAAGACGTGGTCGGTGGATGGATCTGGGTGCTTGAACGTCATGGAGGCATGCCACTCGTGCGAGAAACTCTCGGCCGTGTCCACGCTCGACGCGTACGGCTGTAGTTGCACGGTAGCGACGAGCGCTCTGTCTGTCCATTCCGTCAAGCTATGGGCAGAGTGGAGCACCACGGAGAAGAGACCCGGACGCCCCATCTGCTTTTTGAACCGGCGGTTGGCGGTCGACGCGATGCTACGCCAATTGGATGAGACACACATGGGAATCGAAGATGGCGACGTACGACATGGCGGATTCGCTGACGGTCGGAGGGGCGGCAGTGTATGGCCGACCTTCCAAGACGTCGCCGTTTTGGATTTCTTCTCCCGCGGCACTAAAGTAGTACAGATCTACCACCGGCCATTTTATAGACAAGTGAAAGAAGCGTTGCATGGAGATCATCTACCTCGACTGGTGCGACGGTTGCGCAGACCCACGAGCTGGCTCGCGTCGCCGTTGTGCTCGTTCACGAAATGAACCTGCGCAAGTTTGACCAGCGTTTGGACATAGTCGCGATACTCGAATTGACACGGAAGCTCCGTGGATCCAACCACAATGGTACAGGACAGCACTTCATGAGACACACATACAGTCACGTGATAAGGTGCGATATGACAGGGGAGTATGGTTATTACACTGCTGGTGGACAGGAGTTTTGGACAGACGCCGTTCGCTCGAGACAGCCGCGGCGGCCATCCGTGCCCTTGGTTCTGCGACTTGAAAAAGTGACGGTTACATGTAACGACGACTATCACCTTGGGTATGCTACCGGATACCGCATCCGGATTGATTTTGTCATTTTGCATTCTGCAACCAACTCAAGGAGCATGTTGGCAAAAGGTACAATTCTCAAGAATTGGGTAGTTGGGGACAAGTTGGGCAGTGGCGCATGCAGCGACGTGTATGCAGGTACGTTCAACATGATGCATGCGTGCGGCTTATACTCTGCGGAGTAGTCACCTCCAAGAGCAACAGTGCGGAATCGTTTGCGATGAAGTTGTCGCCGATTCCACCACCAAGCAAGAGCAAGAAGAAGACACACGCCGCACGCAGCGCCGATGCCTTGTACGCAGAGCACCTGCTTTATGTCAACACACTGCAGGGAATTCCAGGCATCCCCGCGTTGCCGACCACGGGAGCCTATGGCGAAGACAAGGGGTACCGCTTCTTGGTCATTCAACGGCTGGGGCGTACGTTGGAACAAGTGAAAACTGCAAATGGAGGCACTCTTCCCGAATCCACCGTCGCTCGCTTGGGCCTTGAGATCGTACTCCATCATATCCTTCCCTTCGATGCATCGTCGCTCACTTTTCTTGGTGTAGTTGAGCACACTTCGACATTTGCACGCGCGCAAACTGTTGTTTGTCGATGTCAAACCCGACAACTTTATGCTGTCTCGGGATGTGGAGGATCAAGTATGACTGATTTTTGTAGCTAGGAATATATATATATATATATTGCAAAGCAACTTGCACAGCAACGTCGCACACATTGGTGGTTTAGGTGTATTGTGTGGACTTTGGCATTGCCGAGCGGTACATTTTGGTCACGGGGGCCCACAAGCCGTACAAAACTGGCGCGGTGGTCGGCACCCCCACGTTTTCAAGCGTCCATTGCCACGGCGGCGCCAGTACGACAACCCCCCCCCCGTCTCTTTGTCGTCGTCATGATGACGCCATTAGCTCCATCGCGGCGCGACGATCTCGAAGCGCTCCTGTACGTGTGCCTGTACCTCATCCGCGGGGACCTGCCTTGGCAGTCCGCCTCTTCCGACGCCGAAGGGGCCCGCGTCAAGGCCGAATGCGATCCCGACCACCTCTGTGCGTCGCTAGCAGGTCCGTGGCGGCCATTTGCTAGTGCTGTATTGTGCTTTCGAGTGAAATTTCGTGTTGTGGTTTCTCGTTGGAATTTAAATCGATTTGATTGGCTACCTCAGATGAGCTCAATATTATTAGCCAATCAAAACCCATTTCTAAATGAAATTCAACCAATCAGATCGATTGTGGATCGGTTTGGTCGGCGCGGTTCGATTGCACCCCGTCCCCAAATTTGTATCAGATCGACAATAATGTGCTGCATGTTGATTTCATTTATATTCGCGTGTGGTTTGGATTTGGTACGAATATCCAGACCCCGTCGACTAGTTAAATCGAATGATCTCGCCGCCAAAACGAATAATCACGAATCGACGCTATTGGCTCATCCATTTTTGAGGGATTTATTTGATTGGCTCGAAAGGACAAGTATAGTCAGCCAATCACAACTCCAGCGTGATTATTCAATATGGATTAGCCAAAACCACGCGAATTTTGCAAGTTTATAGCGAATTCACAATATTTATTGCATTCTTTCCTTTGGGGAGGGGTTATTGGTCGTGGTTGGTGGTTATTGCATGGGTGTTGAAATGATATAAAAGGGGGGTTCGATGGTCGATAGGGGAATGGAAGCGACTGCTGAGTACGATCCAACTGTGTGCATTTGATCAAGAGCCCAACTACGACGACTTTGAAACGTCCCTCAAGCGAATTGCTGGACCGACGTCCCTTCGCGGCGTGTACCAGTGGGGAGTACGATACATTGTCCTAGTGACAACAAAAAGCATGTACCTCATGCTATTGCATAGACATCATCCACCGAGTCGAAGCGAGCCAAATTAAAGGCAGGAAGTACAATCGCCCCCGCGTTGGCCCTATCGACCACCAAGGCCTCATCTCCCACGGATGATGGAGAGGAAAACAAGGCGACGTCTGCCAAGAAAGGCGGCGTGAAGCGGAAGGACCCGTCGTCGTCGACCAAGACGCCGCCACAGCCAGACGTGGTAGACGTCGACTTGGAGAAGAAGCGAAAGGACCCGTCGGAACGCCGCAAGAAAGCCGCTTCTCGTGCGGTAGGGGCGCTGGCTGCGGCTTCGGCGGCGGTGACGCGAGCGCGCCGCACCCGGTCGACCACCCAAGCTGAATTGCAGTGAATCAAATGGCCAGTGGTACTGTAGCTACTGATAGAAACTATATACTGCTGTGGTACTAAGTAGTAATCGACTGTTGCAGCCGTACTTTGATTGTAAGGTAGCCAGCCCCATGTAGTTAGTATATTGTGGCTTCGCCAACATCGTCAGTGTCCAAGGAATTGTTCATCTCACTCGAACATAATGAAAAATATACTATTATAATATTAATATTTGGTCCGAAAACGTTAATCCTGGAAGTGCTACAGGGTTAACCGTAACGGACGGAGCTTTAACGTTAGAAGTAATATTCATTCGAAGTGGTTTTATGAATGATACTTCGAAGTAACTGTTAGAGTATCATTAATATATGTACTACTATTATTGTTATTATTAATATAAGTTAACATGCATGATTCCAATAGTATTTATTACTTCGAAGTACTTCGAAGTAGATGGTAGTTGATAAATGATTCAAGTTGGCTTATTTAAGCTTGGGTAAAAAAATTGATCCTCGTTGGGAATTCCTTGCATTGGAGTCCCGGACCACCATGAAAAAGGCGAGGAAGATCGTGATCAAACCGTTCAAGCAGGCGCCGAGTGTGCCAGAAGGATTTGAGGAGAAGGCATGGAAGAGCTTGGAGGTGTCCTTGCTGTGTCTGCAGAACAAGTCAGAGTCAGCGGCCGTGAGCTTGGGATGGGAAGAGTTGTATGGCCTCGTGACCGACCTGTGTCATCAGAAGAAGGCTGCATGGCTGTACGAGTTGCTGCAAAAGCACTTGGCGGCGTATGTGGAACGAACACTCAAATCTGCTTGCGAAGAGCATGGCATACTACTCATGGAAAGCGCCGTGTTTGTCGAGCGGTTGGTGGGGATTTGGGAAGAGTATTGCAGCGACCTGCTCATGATTCGGAACCTGTGTCTGTACTTGGATCGCACGTACGTCATCCAAACGAGCAATGTCGCGTCCATCTACGACATGGGCGTCGGGTGTTTCCAGGCAACGATCCAGACGTTGCCCCCCCTCGAAGCCAAGGTCACGTCATCCTTCCTTCAAGAAGTCGAGCGCGAACGCTACGGTGAAACGGTACGTTCGGTCTACTCCCAGTGGTCAACGCTGTTCTTTCCATCCAGGGGTCGCCGTCCTTTTTACGTCACGTTGTATGCTTAGGTCCAGCGGAATCATCTCAAGTCGCTCGTGCGCATGGCGACGGCGTTGCACATGTACACCAAGCACGTGGAGCGCCCTTTCCTCGCGGCCTCGGAAGTATTTTACGCCCAGGAAGGCCAGCAACTGCTCGAGTCCGCGAGCGTCGGGTCGTTCTTGCTCCACGTGGAGAAGCGCCTGGCCGAGGAACACAGCCGCGTGACCAGTGTCTTGGATGGCAACGTCATCACGAAGAAGGGCATTGTCCAGGTACAAACCCTCCTTCATCTTGTGGACATGTTGACATATAGTATTGGTTCTGTATATATATATATCTAACGGTGTTTTGTCCATTGGATATATTTTGATATCTTATTAGAACGTCATATGCCTATGCTATTGTCCTTTTACAAACCAAATCCATCGATCTATTCTTTGTATTTTGTATATAAAGTGTTGTCGTGTGGGGATTGGAATCACACTAATTCAAGTCACACACACACACTAATTCGATGTAGATCCTGGTTATATTGGCTAAATACTTCTGTCGATAATAGGATTCTTCTTCGGTAGTTCATTTGGGTTGTGTTGTCGATTATTCATTCTCCATGTCGCTCCAGTTGTTTAGAATCAACTCAAGATCACCATGCCATACAATATATATATATATATTTCGTATGGCATGGTGATCTTGAGTTATATATATATATATTGTCGATTTGATACAAATTTGGGGAGGGGGTGCAATCGAATCGCACCGACCAAACCGATCCACAATTGATCTGATTGGTTGAATTTCATTGAGAAGGTTTTGATTGGCTAATAATATTGAGCTCATCTGAGGTAGCCAATCAAATCGATTTAAATTCTTACGAGAAACCACAACACGAAATTTCACTCGAAAGCACAATATATATCCATGCGTTTTGATTGTATTAGAACATGGTCAGTCTATTTTATATATTCCCACGAGACTAACTTAGTTGCCCATGTATTTCCAGGTCGTCGAGTCGCAATTACTGAGTCCGCACGTGTCGCTGTTGATCGAACGGGGCTTTGACGAATTGGCCAGCGCCAAACGAGTGGACGACCTCCATCGCATGTACGACCTCTGGGGTCGAGTGAACCAGCTGCCTCTGCTGCGCGCGAGTTGGTCCAAGTACATTGTCCTCCGCGGCACGTCGATCGTCACGGACGTGTCGGCAACCAGCGGCGACGTTGACAAGGGCATGGTGTCGGCGCTCCTGTCGTTCAAAGTCGACTTGGACGGTATGTACCCCAACCGACCTCGTGATTGTCAAGATGCTGACGACAAGAGGATGTAGAGATGCTCGAAAGTGCGTTCGAGATGGACCAAGCGTTTGTCCATGCGCTCAAGTCGGCGATGGAGGCAGCGATTAACGCCAAGGCGGCGCGTCCGGCCGAGCTCGTTGCCAAGTTTGTCGATGCCAAGCTCAAGACGGGCAACAAGGACGGGTCTGACCGTGAAGTGGAGGCGCTGCTGGACCGCGTGATGATTCTATTCCGATACATCCAGGGCAAGGACGTATTTGAAGCATTTTACAAGAAAGATCTGGCCAAGCGGTTGCTTCTGGGGCGCAGTGCGTCGTTCGATTTGGAGAAGAGCATGATTGCCAAGCTCAAAACCGAGTGTGGCAGTTCGTTCACAAACAAGGTATATATATATATATATATATATATATATAATCTTGTCGAGAATGTAGCAATAATTTGATTTATGCCATCGATAGTTGGAAGGCATGTTTAAAGACATTGACTTGTCTCGTGGAGTCATGACCCAGTTCCAGCAACATGCCCCCAGCCGGTACGTGAGATTTTTGCTAATTTTGTCCCTGATATTTGCCCTTTTTTGCCAATTTTTCACATGGTTGTGTGGTTGTTGTTTGCCCATTTGGGCTGTTTGTTTATAGGGTTGCGCTGACTCAGTTGGTGCACAAGGTGGACATGCACGTGCACGTGTTGACGACGGGGTTCTGGCCGCCGTACGTCCCCACCGAGATCAACTTGCCGCAGAGTCTGTCGCCGTCCAAGGCGATATTCGAATCGTTTTACACGTCCAAATTCAACGGGCGGCAGCTGCAGTGGCAGCACTCGCTGGGCCACTGCCTTGTCAAAGCAAACTTCCCCAAGGGACGCAAAGAGCTGGCCGTATCGCTCTTCCAGGCGCTTGTGCTGCTCTGTTTCAACCACGGCCGAGACGTGATCGGGTTCAAGGATATCCTCGGTCAAACTGGCATCGGTACGACCATCTAAGTATCTATCGATACCTATCGATAGATACTTAGATAGTACCTATCGATACTGTTTGGGTTCCTTTTTTACCCAAAATGTTTAGGAGTTTTATGCTGATTCTTTGCCAAATCGATCGATTCTTTGTACTGACTTTTGTATGGAACCATCGACCGTGTCACACTATTTTCAATCACACACACTAATTCAAAGTTGAATTGGTCGAATGTGAGTGGATGATTTGATTGGCTAGTTGATTTGTGATCTCGGGTTTGATTGGTCGATATATCGATTGTATCTGCCGATGTATTTGGTTCTTCTGCTCATGCGATTGAGAGCAGCACCCCAAGCACTCCAATTTCGAATATCTTGACAATATGATATGCTTTGAATACAACCTTTTTGAGCGTAGAAATCGGCGAGTTGCGGCGCACGTTGCAGTCGTTGGCGTGTGGCAAAGTGCGGGTGTTGACCAAGCAGCCCAAGGTTTGATCAAACATGATCACGTCATCCGTTTTTGATTACGTCATCCGTTTTTGATCACGTCATGCCTATTGGAATTATGGGTAGGGTCGGGACGTGGCCGACACGGACGAGTTTGTGTTCAACGCGTCGTTCTCAAACCAATTGATGCGCATCAAGATCAACTCGATCCAGATGAAGGAAACGACCGAAGAAAACACAGAAACGCATGAAGCCATCTTCCGCGAGCGGCAGTACCAGGTGGACGCGGCCATCGTGCGCATCATGAAGTCGCGCAAGACGCTGAGCCATGCGCTGCTCATGAGCGAGCTGTTTGTCCAGCTCAAGTTCCCCGCCAAGCCCGTCGATATCAAGCGCCGCATCGAAAGTTTGATCGACCGAGAGTACCTCGAGCGAGACAAGGCCAACGCCCAAGTGTACAATTACCTGGCCTAATAGGGCCAAGCACACCAGTTGTAGTAGTACTGAGTAGTTAGTGGAGGGAAATACTACAGTATGTTTCAACCGACACATCTGAACGAAAGCCACGGTTGATATACGACGACTTGCATGTTCACATGGAGATTAGAATGACACATCCATAGTTAGTATTAATAGTACTGGTAAATTGGAAGGGAATAACCAATCAGTGGCGAACATTATTCCGTGGGTCTAGCTTTGGATTGGCTGGGAATAGCCAATCAGTAGCGAACATTCCGTTGGTCTAGCTTTGGATTGGCTGAGAAGTGTATCTTTTTGGAGCAATGGATCAAAGGACTAACTGGTACTAGTTAACTAGACTGTATTAGTTAGTACTGCTACGTAGTAGTTAGTAAAGGGAATGGCCAATCAGTAGCGAACATTCCGTTGGTCTAGCTTTGGATTGGCTGAGAAGTGTATATTTTTTTGGAGCAACGGATCAAAGGACTAACTGGTACTAGTTAACTGTTAAGTAGGCGTGTCATCAACAAGTGGGGCACTCCATAGAACGTGCGTGCGGCATTCAAATCACAAATTACATGGTTAAAAGTTGACCCATGTTAACGCTAGCACGGCCACCGTGGCAGGCGACGGCAGAAAGTCCTGGATCGTGGTCCACGAATTCGAGTCATGATAAAGGAAGTCCATGCTTTTGGCCAGCGACGGATGCAGCACATGGCGATGGTACTCGAAGAGCCACATCACGACCGCCCACGTGGCACATGCGAGGACAGGGTACACCTGCGGGAACGAGTACTTCTTCAAGATGGGCCAGCCCTTCTCGCTTCCCAACTTGACGAGGCCGATGAGAACTCGCGAGAACAGGTACAACACGATTTGGTAGTTGACGCTCGAGTATTTGGACCACACGACATACCTGGATACATGAAACACATCAAGATGGACAGTGCTTGTTCCATGGAGGGGGACACACGTGTTACCCGCCGACGGCCCCGGCCAACGCAGCATGCCACGGCACCAGCGGATTCAGCCCTTGGTGAAGTACACATGATGATGACCCGGCAGCACGGCCCGCTTCCTTCAAGAGAAGTAGCACTCCCTTGTACACACCAACAAAGTACGCCAAGTTCTTTGTGTGCTCATACGTGAGCTTGATAATTCCGCGGAGTTTTTCGCGCAACGGTCGCTGCTGGAATAGCATCACCATCACGAAGGCTACGAGGAGGGACTGTCACTGACGCCAGAAGGTCAACGTATGCGTACCATGGGGCGCTCGGATCTTGGTGCCGTAGTACGCGCCATTCCGAATGGCTCGCAGGAGGCACGTGACATCGTTCGACAAGTCCACCATCTTGTTCCGTCAAGACAACACTCACAAAATCAAGTGCCGTTCTAGAATACTTGCACAGGATTGGTTGTAATTTATTGATATAACGAGCTTTGATTTGCTTTAACATGAAGTATTTGGCCAATCAGCAGATAATAATCAACTTCAAAATTTGCGATTATTAATATTTATATTAACGTTATATATTTACTCACTACAGTTTCTAGGCAATGTCAAGTGAAGGATTGACACCTCCATTGCACGAGTTTCAGTAATTATTAGTAAACTCCGCCACCACCACTTTGACCTGGTAGATAACAAAGCTTCGCAGCTTACTTACATTCCGCTTTACACCTGGCAATACAGTCATAGTTTTGACATGTGAAGGGAATTGTCTGGACATGGCAATCTGTACCAGTATTGGAGTAAAACAACCCAGGTTCATACCCCCAAGCCGTCGATACATTGTATGAACCATAACAAAAAGCTGCAAATTCGCCACGAAAGCATTTATATCGACAACACTCTCGACTTCAATCTCGACGAAGCGCCGACTCATAGGATTTTTCCGGCTTGTAAAGTACGAAGTTCTTCTGCCAATTCTTTCAGTTAAGGTAATCGAACTTAAGAGTGCACATCGACAGAGTATAATATTAATGGTCTTCTTTGAGTTTCAGTATGTAGATTGGATAATATTAAAATTGACCTGGATCGGCTGCGACGAGTTTGGACCTGTCATCTGCATTGGCATATTTCGGTTGACATGAGTGCTCCCACGAAAGCCGACGAGGCGCTGACTGTTGATGGTGTTGTGGAAGGCAGCGAGCTGATGCAGCTCCAATGCCGCTTCTACGAGAGTCGCTTCCCTGAAATCGATGAGCTCGTCATGGTGAACGTGCGCAGCATTGCCGAAATGGGCGCGTATGTGTCGTTGCTCGAATACAACAACATCGAAGGGATGATCCTGCTCAGTGAATTGAGTCGGCGGCGCATCCGCAGTATCAACAAGTTGGTTCGCGTCGGCAAGAACGAAGTCGTCATGGTGCTCCGTGTGGACAAGGAAAAGGGCTACATCGATTTGAGCAAACGCCGTGTGTCTCCCGAGGACATCATCAAGTGCGAAGAACGATACAACAAAGCCAAGACCGTCCACGGCGTGTTGCGTCAAGTCGCGCAAGACACAGGTCTCGAACTGAACGATCTGTACGAGAAGATTGGCTGGCCCTTGTACAAAAAGTTCAAGATGGAGCAGCCTTTGGGTGGCGATGACGAAAAGAAGGTCGAATACATCCACTGTTACGACATCTTCAAGATGGGTATCACGGATGCAACGGTCTTTGATGGCTTGGACATCGAACCCGCGACCTTGGTGTCCCTCCGCACGCACATTGGCCGCCGTCTCGCTGCTCAACCCATCAAGATTCGAGCGGATATCGAAGTGACGTGCTTTACGTACGAAGGCATCGAAGCCATTCGGGAAGCGTTGACCGCCGCGCAATTGAAATCGACGGAAGACGTGCCTGTCAAGGTCAAGTTGATCGCCCCGCCCATGTACGTGATGACGACGAACACGTTGGACAAGGTGAAGGGCATTGCGACGTTGCATGAAGCGATCGAGGCGGTCCGCACCATCATCACGTCCAAGGGAGGCCAGCTGGTCGTGAAGATGGAGCCCAAGGTGGTGAGCGTGAACGAAGAGCGCGAGTTCCTGCAGATGATTGAAAAGTTGGAGAACGAGAACCGACAAGTGGACGGTGACGATGACGAAGAAGACTAAAAACGCGCGAAAAGTTGTTGAATAGACCTGAATTTTTTAGTCTTTTATTATTATTTGAATACGGGCATACATTTGGCAAGATAATTGCACTCGTATTTTAATTCCTTCCTGAAGCGACACTTGGGTACTTTTGATGTGAATGGAATGCCGCCTCTGTCGCCGCCCAAGATGAGTCCGTATGGCGCGTCGGCCAAGTCCAAGAAGAGGAAGCTCGTGCGGAATGAAGTTGCATTGACACCATTAAGTCCTACCTCCATTGACGCAACCTCATCCCACGGCGGACAACATCCCGAGACGCCCACGACATCATCCACACCGGCAAAGCAACGCGTAGGAGCGACACGCTGTCATTTCTGTGCATGAGAATGATCCTACTGCCTAGAGAATGACAGTAGCCGAACTCGAAGAGAAGAAGACTCTTCTGCCGTACTTGGAAAAGATCGAATACATCAATGCGCAACTGAGGTACGAAGCATATATCCTTCACCATGGATCGTTGATAAGTGCGCTTATGCTTGCTATTAGATCACGAGGAATAGACATTGCAGTGCCCTTGTTAAAACCATCCTCCGTGACCGCCGTACCCCCCCCTTCCCAAGAGAGGAACCAGCCACATGATGACGACCTTGTTGAAAGTGGCGATGTCCTGCGGCTTGAGTCCCTCAGCTCTCGCTCCGAAACGGACCTCAATGCAACATCCACGGCCATGTCGCCGCCGCCACCAACGACATCGACAGGGGCAACCACGATGACTCCCCTCACGACCGCTGTGTTGCATCAGCGGTACCCTCGCTTTAGTGCGTCCATCGGCACTTCCATGCTGTGTCGGTCTCGTCCCATCGCGTCGTTGTTACGGCTCGTCGACGAAATCTACGACGGGTACTACGCGGTACAGTACACTTCTGCATTCTTCTACACACAGGGTCACCTCTCGACTTGGACATAGCATTACACGGAAACGACCCGCGCGACGTCCTTTCCGCTGTTTGTCCGGACGCATTTGCAGCGCACGCTGGGTCTCATGGCGTTGGCCGACCAGGAATCGCTGGACCTTCTGTACAACTTGGAGATGCACCGCGAGACCTTTCCCCATGTACCGTAGTCTCGTTCTCATGCCTCTTGCTGACGCCGTGCGTAGCTCGGCGTGTTTGCTTCGTTCATGCGGGAACTAGAGGACGAGGAAGGCGCCTTGTTCTACGCGCATTGCCGCAGCGTGGTTCAGTCCACGTTTGGCTTATCGCTCAAGACAAAGGAGAAGCTGCTGCCCCAAGACTTTGCACGACAGTACCACGTCGCAGGCGCGATCGTCGTGGCCGACCACCCGCGGCTGCGAGATGGCACCCAGTCCGTGCACTTGTCGCAGACAGCATGTTCGTTGCTCGTGCTCCGAGCCGCCAAAGTTCCGAAACGGCTTGCCAACCACGTCGCGTCCGTCATGTTGGCGCCGTACACATCCGCCGTGACCGTCGACGGCGCTGGGCGGTCGTTGGATCAAACGATTGTCGGCTTAGACGACGTTCTGGCGCGGCTGCTGCGGATCTTTCGCGCAGTTCCCGAATATATTGTGCTCAAGTACAAGTACAACGACGACGGTGTGGATTGCATTTTGACCAACATCCATCCAATATATATTCTACTTGGTTCCACTGCCAGTGTGACTAGGGGAATCGCTGACCCTTCTAACCCGACTGCAAGACACCATTCACCACGACTTGGACAAAGCCAAGCTCAAGGCAGCATTGGACCAACACGTGCGACATATGCGGTCATTGCAGATCGAAGTGATGAAATTGGACCGGGTGAACGTCCCAGAGGTCCACACCAAGCTATTTTTGCTCAAAAACCAACTGCGAACGGCCGAGCGTGACGTGCAACACCTCACAGACCAGCTGCGGGCCACCGACGGCCAGGTATACGACATATATTGCCATATCATATGACCGATACCCTCTAGATCAACGCCGTGTGGTCGTCTGTCCTGCGGGATGCATCCAACGCGCCGACGACGCAGCTGTCGCCGCTCGACAACATCTTGGCTCGCGTCGGCGAGTACGTGGCAGCGTGTCACCGCGACGTTGTGATTGAGGCGAAACTCAAGAAAGTACTGCATGCAAAGCGACGCCATCCGTCCGAAACTAGTTGGGCGAGTCAGCTCGACGCCCTCCAAGAGCGCTGCGTGATCAAGATCCAGCGTCTCTATCGCCAACGACGGGTATATAATATATATATATACCTGATGTTTTGAATACGAACCAAATCTCGTAAATGGATTATTTCAATGTTAGGCATGGCATCGAGAGCGGAAGGCGGCATTGGCAGACGTCCAGGCGCGGCGGCAGCTCAAACACAAGCGCAAGGCGGAAAAGGAACTGGAACGCAAGCGCCTGGACGCTTTGCGGGACCGCGACGCACAGCGACACATGACGCGCATGAAAGAGAAGCACCGTCGAGACAGCGACGTCCAAGCAAAGTTGAAGCAACAAGAGGACGCCGTGCTGAGAAAGGCTGCCGTGGCCGAATCCGACCGCCGGTACGTACGTACCCTTATCATCGTACTCGTAGGTGTATGAAATATGAATGATGGTGATGCGTAGAGGTGCCGCGGCGACCGCGCGACTCGTGGCCCGGGTGTTCAAACGATGGGTCCAGTTCCGAGTGGTTTCCCTTCGCGTGAAATATGCCAAAAAGTTAACCCTCCTGGGTATATTTGGGCGATGGAAGCTATGGATGCAGACGTCGCACGCCCAGACTGACGCTGCCATCACCATTCAAGCTGGTTGGTATTTACACCGTCTTCGTGGACCAATGTATATGAACTACGAAGCTTGACGGCATCTGTTGGTAGCCTTTCGCGGCATGCGCGGACGACGACAAGCACGAGTGCTCAACCGGGCGCGAGACAAGAAGAACCAACTGGCGACGCGCAACGTACGCCGACTCGTCCACCGTCGGCTGTTCAAAGTATGGGGGGCATGGACTGGGTTTATCCAGCAGCAAGTGGACATCAAGGGCCGCTTCGCCCGGTGTATGGCGCGATGTCTAATGGAAACATACTCGCAATGGGCGCGTCTGCTGCCGAGGCGGCGGAGTGCGGCGCTGACGATTCAAACCATGTACAGAGGTCATGTCGGGCGACAACGAGCAGCCCGACGACGGATGCAGCATGTCGCTGCAGTTCAAATCCAACGGATGGCGCGAGGCCGACAAGGGCGCAAGGTCGCGACGATGGCGCGGCTATTGAAGGCCCGCCAATCCCAAGGGGTACGTTTCATTGCGATTCACCCCCCATGATGATCATGCATGATTTATATGATTAGACCAACGCACTGCTCCGTCGGATGCTTCTTCGCACGTTGTCGCATGTATTCGACGGGTTCAAGCGGTACTGGCAACTGCAGCGGCACATGGACGCCATCGCAGTCGCCAGAGTGCATCGTCGACACATTTGGTGCTTTCGCATGCTCCAAGCGTACCGTGTGGCAAGACACCTAAAAAAAGCAGAGCGATTTCGACGGCAGTTTGACGCGGCCACGGTCATCCAGCGGTACTTTCGGGGGTTCTGGTGCCGTCAAGCATTCCGCCGACTCGTCCGCCGGCATCGCAGCGCGCTATTGATCCAGCAAACGTACCGGCGGTATCGGCACAAGTGGGTCGTGTACGAAATGCAGCGCCAAACAAGCGCGGCGACGGTGATCCAGTGCCGCGTTCGGCGCAACAAGGCGGTGGCCGTGGTCACGCGGAGGCGCCACGAGTTTCTATGGCAAGCGGCGCGACGGGGGGACTACCATGTCGTGCTCAGGAGCTTCAACAGCGGCTCGGCGTGGACTAGCTACGACGAGGACGGGAATTCACTGCTGCACTTGGCCTGCTTGGCCGGATCGAAGCGACTGATTAAGCTCTGCCTTCGCTACGGCATGGACATCAACGCTGCCAACACCACAGGTTTGCTCACCCCGCTCCACACGATCATCGCCACTACCTATCCGTACGTCATCTCCTTTCTTGGTTTAGGTGTTACTATACTGATGTTGTGGTTTATAGGCATCGCGCCGAGTTGGTAGACTACATGATCGACCATGGTGCGTGGCACGAGTGCCGCGACGGACGCGGCTTCACCCCGCTGCTGTTGGCAGCTTCGCTCGGCCATGTAGATTGCATCCAAGTGCTGCTGGCCAGAGCCGCCGACCGAAACGCACTCACAACAGCCCAGCAAGACGCCATCGGGTTAGCCACGTCCCTGAATCAAGTCGCGGCTGTAGCGTCGTTGTTGGAAGCTGGGTACAGCCCCAATACTGTCATAGACCCAGGTACACATACATGGTTGTTTCATTCAGTGAATGTGATGCATTACATGTGATCGGGTATATGTAGCGGATGGCGCGACGCTCCTTCACGAGTGTGCCGCCCACGGGTATGTGGAGGTTGCCGCGTTATTGATCGCCCGACAAGCCAACGTCAACGCCCAAGACATCGAAGGCAACACACCCGCCATCTATGCCGTTTTCAACCAACATACGGACGTTCTGGCGGTACTTTTGACGGCGGGGGCAGCTCCAGACATCGTGAACGTTGCGACGAGGTCGGCGATGCATTGGGCGGTGGGCCAAGCGGACGCGATCCGACTGCTCGCCGACGCCGACGGCGACGTGAACCTTCGCACCAAGGACAACGAGACGCCGTTGCACTTGACCTGTGTATCCGACAGCTTTTTGGAGTCCACTCGGGTGTTGCTATCGTACGGTGCCTCGGTGGACAGCAAAAACACCCGCGGCCACCAAGTACGACGATATCTCTTTTAATATATGACTGAAACGAGGGTCTAGCCGGCCCATATTGCCGCGCGAGGTGGAGCCGCGGCCACGATGGATCTCTTGATTCAATACTCGACCAACATGAACGCGAGGAACTTCGACAACAAGAACCCATTGGGCGAAGCTCGCATGTTCAACCGCTCGGCCGTGGTGGCCGTCATCCAGCGGCATTATGCAGACGACATGAAGACTTTGGATGACGCGGGGATCGACGTCGAGCTCGTCGACGAAACCGGCGTGATCCTCCCAACCAAATCCCCCGATGAGTGGCAAACCACGTTGGCATCGAGCGTTCGATTGTCGACGTTGAACGAATGGACGCAATGTGTCGATCCAACCACCGGTAGGCGATACGATGTAGTCGAGCACTCATAAATACGACATGGCGCGTTAGATTGGCTCTTTTACCACGATGCAACGTCGAATATGTGTACTTGGCACGCACCTATCGAGTACCAAGCCGCTTTGGGGGCACATTGGCGAGTGGAAGAGCAGAAAAGCCTGGTGAATACCACATCCCCAAGCACTGAAAACGGTGGACATGCCGACACTAGTACTCTAACCGACCAACAAGTCCAGCCCACAGACACGACAGAACCCAAGGTGTATGTTTACGTCCACGACCAAACCGGCCAAGTTCGGACTACTGTGCCCCCAGTCGACCCAGACAAGCTGCAGGTGTGTTCCTATACAAACAATGCACCAATCTTGATTCACGCGGTGAATATATATCTGTAGGCATTGATCCAAGGCATGGACCAATACAAGATGCTGCGCAGTCGCATTCACAAAGTGTCGTCCGAGACGGCGGCGTCCGTGGCCACGTACCGCGCGTTTTGGGCCGACTTTACCAAAGATGCAGAAGCGTTGCGGCGTCAGACCCAAGCCGCCATCACGATTCAAAAGCACTTTCGAGCGTACTTCTACCACAAACGGTTCGTCCACCTCCAGTTGCAGCATGCCATGGCCATCCAGTTGCAACGAGCGTATCGGGGCAAGATCGCGCGGCGCGCCGCGGCCCACGAACGCCGTCGCCACCGCTGCGCCACTACCATCCAGGCGTTGGTGCGGGGGTTCCTTGTGCGTCGTCGCGAAGCCAACCACCTCCATGCGTACCGAGTCCAGGTAATCCAATGCCTGCATGTAGGGAGTTGCTAACTGGTTACTGGTTTGTTGTATTAGTACCGCCTGGAGCGGCGGGCTTCTGTGAATGTCCAGCGGTGCTGGCGCGGCATGCATGGTCGATTCCGTGCAAAGAAGTTCCAAGCAATGAAGCGAGGCCCGCAGACGTACTTTGAGTGGGCAGACGCCCGCAAACTCGCGACGATTCTGTCGACGTTCCAAGTGTGGCAAGAGATGCTGCTGGCCAACACCAACAAGTCGTCATATGGGATTTTCTACGCGAACCATATCACAGGGCAATGTGTGTGGGACAAACCGGTGGCGTGGGTTGAACACGACCGGCAACAGGTTTGTCCACGAGTTATCAAACCCTTCAAACGAAGTCTACGATTGTATTTCGCCAAGAATAGTAGTGTTAGTAGTATTAATATGTAGTCCTGTAGTTACTCTTGTGGTATGTTTATTCGTTCGCATCAACAACTATTATTGTGCGTTCGAGTGAAATTTCGTGTTGTGGTGTGGTTTCTCGTTGGAATTTAAATCGATTTGATTGGCTACTTCAGAAGAGCTCAACATTATTAGCCAATCAAAACCTTCTTAATGAAATTTAACCAATCAGATCGATTGTGGATCGGTTCTAAAACAATTTTATGATTTTTTTTTAATATTTGGTCGGCGCGATTCGATTGCACCCGCTCCCCACATTTGTATCAAATCCACTATTACTATATTATATCATTTTTCAGGATTTACTTCTCCACGATCGAACCGTGGAAAACCTACGTTTTTTCACCTGATCATCCATCTATCCCCATCCAAACACATGTGTATAATTATATATATTGTGGTATATTCGATACGAATTTCCAGACCCCGTCGAATCGAATCTCGCCGCCGAATCGAATCACGAATCGACGCTATTGGCTAATCCATTTTTGAGTGGATTTGATTGGCTCTTTCAGAAAGGACAAGTATATTCAACCAATCAAAAACTCTGGCGTGATTCAATATTGATCCGACAAACCAGGCGAATTTTGGAAGTTTATAGCGAATTCACAATACATAAATGCACACAAAAGAGAGAGCTCTATTCATATCGATCATGGACATGTTGTCCCGTGTTAGTTTTTGGAGCGGCAGCAAATGTACTATTACGGGTACACGACGCAAATGCTCGAGGCGGCTGTCACCCTCCAGAGCTTATTTCGCATGCGCACGGCGCGGGTCCATTTCCATCGACTCATGCAGGGCGTGGCCATCTGTCGCCGCTGCGAGTCCGACTACCTCAACGACCCGCTCAACTTGACGCGCCTTGGCAACTACGCGCTGTATTTGCACGCGATCCGCCACGACTACGACCGCGCCCGGCCGTTGTACCGCCGTCTCATGGAGTATATGGCCGCCCGCGGGCCGGACGTGGCCTTTATATTGCGCTGTTATGCCGTGTTTGTGTACGTAACGGAAGAAGAAGACGACGACAGTGTCGCCATGCTGTTTGCCCGGGCTGACGCAATCGACAAGCCGAAAACGAAATTCCAGCTCGCGTTCCTTGGGTTCTTTCGGTATTCGCAAATCATGTTTGCCACAAATGCCCAGAGCAACTTGAATTACGCTGCATGTGCCCACGTACGTTCTTTGGTTGCTTAGGATATATATCGTTAGGTTGTTTAGGACTTTAACGTGATGTGGTTGTAGTGGGTCTACGGACAAGCCGCCGTGGCGAAAGCACACTATTTGCGCGCGTTGGACGCTGATCCGTACAACAAGCGCATTCTGCGACTCTTCAACACGTTTCTTGGTCGATCAAATGACCCGGTCGGTTGTGAATAATGTCATATATGACAGTTGAATCTCACATATAAATGTAGGACGGGGACGACGGCGCTGCCCACTACATGCGGTACCAAGCGACGCTGGTGCAGTCCGAGGACGCAAGTCGGCAACAACAATGGCTGGACGCCACCGCAACCGAACAACGCCATCGCGCGGCGGTGCTTCTTCAAACTCGATTCCGAGCCAGACATCAACGCAAGCGCGTGCTGCGCATGAAGAGCGTCCTTCCCGTGCCACACAAAGCGTTGTCCACGGAAGAACTGCAGCTCCACCAAGCGTTCGACACTGTCGCAGCTACGAACCGCAACCCGTCCGTGCTCCGAGTGGACCAGTTGGCCGACGTGTATCCGCTGCTGGGGTGGTCGGTCCAAGAGGCTGCCGACGACGTGGCGTACGCGACTTCGCACATGGAGTTCCAGTACCCTCAGAGCATCACATGGACGCGGTTTCGTAAGTGGATCCAAGAAGAAGCGGCGCCGCCGTCGCACTGGGAAGTCTGTGGTACCGACGACGGTTCGGTGTACTATTACAACACGGTGTCGGGGGCGACGCAATGGGAAAAACCCCGCATTCGGCGCCCGATCCTAGCCCCACGGGTCGATCGTTGGGAAAGTGCCTTCACTGACCAAGGGGACGTGTACTACTACAATGCGTTCACAGGGGAAAGTCGATGGGACAATCCGTCGTCGGTGCTCGACGATGCTGCGTCTGGATGGGAACAAGGGGTCGACGACATGGGACAAACGTACTATTACAACCCCACGACGGGGGAATCCGCGTGGGAAAACCCCCCTGCTGCTGCTGTCAACGAGGTTGACGACCAGTGGGATGATGCGACGGATGGTACTATGTCGTACGTTGTGCACAAAGTCACGGGGGAATCGTTGTGGGTCCGCCCGACCGATGGATGGGCGGCTGGCCAAGACGCACACGGCCGAGTGTATTACTATCATATTGATCGCAACGAAAGTCAATGGGCGAGTCCATGGAGTTGTTCGACGTCAAGCGGCGACGACCAAGTTTCCAGCGTAACAGTCGACGAAAGCCACAAAATGATTGAGGCGGTAAATGAATCTAATTAGTATTGAATTATCACAATTTTGCTACTACGACTACTACTTTTGTCTACTATTACTTTGTCTATGACTGCACCAACCACGACGACTTTAACGCGTCGGCACACGTACATCGTTTTGTGGGTTCGGGGTGGAGGAGGCTACAGAGCAACCGGAGGGCGTCTGGCCCGATGGACGGGGGAAATAAAAAGCCCGGAAACTTGTGGCGGCCAGACGGGGACAACAACGGGTCGCCGTCCGTGATCCACGCCGTAAAGTGGGCAAAGCGCGGGCACTGGGTCAAGTCCTTGCCAAAGGGAAGCCCCCCCACGAGCATGGTGTACAAGATCACACCAAGCGACCACATGTCTGCCTTGCGTCCGTCATAACCAAAATGACACTTTTGAGTCACTTCAGGGGCGACGTAGTGCGGCGACCCCACGACGGATTTGAGTCGCCGCACCTGCGACGGCAGCTCTGGAACCCCCAGCAGTTCGTCCGACGAACACGTGGACTCGACCGACGACGAGTGCCCCACGGCGGCGGCGATGCAGTGCGCACTCAGCCCAAAGTCGGCGATTTTCAGCACGTCGCCGTCCCCGAGCAGCAAATTCTCTGGCTTCAGGTCTCGATGCACAATGCCCAAACGATGGCAATACTGCACCCCCGCCACGAGTTGCTTAAAGTACATGCGCGCGTCGGCATCGGCCAAGCCGCCGTCGAACTTGATGCGGTCAAAGAACTCGCCCCCGGACGCGAGCTCCAGCACGAGGAAGATGGTTGTTTTCGACGGCTGCACAAACTCGAGCACGTCAAACAGCTTCAACACATTGTCGTGGCCAGTGTTCCCAACACACCCGCTGTCGACGGTGTTGCCGGTGAGCCGATGCATGTGCGCGATTTCCCGATAGATGGTCCTGCGATTCTGGAGAAACGTCGCGTACTTCTTGGGCACATGGGGAACGTGCCATGTCTTGGACGCTGTGACGATCACATCGTCGGGAGCTGTCATGTCGACGTCGGTCTCCAGAGGGTCGTCGTCGCCGTTGTTCGCGTCCAACGGCCACAGCGACGCACACATGTCCAGTGTCATTTCCTTGATCGTACCTGTGTGGACGTCCTTGTAGCACGGAATCAATTCGTGTTGATTGGGATGAAGCAGCCACCAAACATGGCCTTTCTCGACGGCGGTAGAGGAGAGTGACGTGTCAAACGCAGCCCCAGCCCGAATGACTTCACATCGCGCCAACGCTTGCGGGAAAAACAGTTTGTACCCGACAGGATTCAGAATTTTCACGGCCACGGGACGGTGGTGTTGCATGTCCGTGGCTTCGTACACAACACCAGCGATGCCAGACCCAAGGTAGTTTCCCAGTCGAAACTTCTCCTGCTGTGCAACGATGATGCTCTGACCATCGTACACGTCCATAATGGACGGTACCAGCCAGTTCTCGCTCAACGGAGACACCTTCTTGCCTTTCTCAAAGGCGCACAACGCCATGGTTGGCACGCCGTCTCGTCCGGTATAATGTTCGATCTAGGGTTGGTCGTCACTTTCACGGTCGTCGAACACACTCGCGCGGGTCCGTCCACGTCTTACGCAGGTCTTCGAATGTGTCGTCTTCGGTAACAAGACGGGTCCTAGGTGGTGCAGTGACGGCGTCCGAGTCCACCGAGCGCGAGATCTGCGTTCGTTTTCTCAAATTTGAATAAAATTCGAGCACCTCATTTTTATTGCGGAAAGGAAACCGAATGGATATGTATTGTCCGGTTAAAATACTCTTCCGGATGGCCATAAAGTAATCCCGTCTTTGTGTTTTCTGATTGGTTCATTCTCACAATATGTAACCCTTCTGATTGGTAGAATAAGCTGCTCGGGATGACCTTTCTCGCGCAGCATCGGAACATGCGTTTACAATTAACGTTATCAGTAGTAGTACTACGTACTACAGTACAGTAGATGTGAAGTTAAGGTCTCGCCGCGAGTTATAGACCAAAAAGTCTTCGAATCGAATAAAATGAAGGGCATATATTCATGCATGTCGGGCGAGTGTGATGCTCGCTTGCCTGGCGATGATCCTGCCGAGAAGACGAGGGGGCCCCGACGTGTCACATCTGCCAGAGGCGAAATACGAAAAAGCTGGAGATTATCCGTGCGACACACGGTAGATTATCCGGATAGGAAACTCGCGGGCCGTTTTATCTTGCGACATCCCCACTGGGCCACCACACACACACGCGGCGGCGGGGCGGCGATGACTTCTGAATCGACGCCGCACGTGGCAATAGGCGAGGCTATTCAAGATGACAAGGTGCATGTGGTGAAAGAACGCGACATGTTTGCTCTCGTGGAACAAATCCTGATGCAGGAAGACTTGTACGCGATCGCGGATGTCCTTTCCGCTCACGTCCGCTCGCTGTTCCTTCCGGACGTCGCCGCGTCTAAAGTGACCTCGGCGGTGTTCCTTGTGGACCACAACACGACCTCTTTGGCCAAGATCGATTCGACAAACCTCACTGTCCACTCATATTCCCTGAATCGAGGACTTGCTGGTCTTGCCGTTCGTTCCAGCATTCCCTTCGTCGGAACCGATTTTGCATTGACTTTTGACCCCGACGTTGACATCGCCCTCGTTGGTAGTCCATGTATGTCATGTATACCTCTGTTGAACTCGTCGTTGGCCGTGTTTGCTGTCCTTCAAGTCCGGTCTCCCGAGCCTGGCTTGTCCATGTGCGATGTGGATTTCCTCCAGCGAGTCGGCCCCATCTTGAACCAATGTTTGCGAAAGTCCATCGAGTTCCACGACATTGTGCTCCGCCAACGCACCCAAGCGGCGCTTCTCCATCTTGTCAACTCGTCGTCCACGGAAGAGACGATCCTGAAATTGATGGAGCGGGTCATCAACGGCTCGACTCACATCGTCCACGCCCAGCGCGTCACGCTCTTCCTCGTGGACTGGGCCCGGAACGAACTATGGTCGTTGCAGCCCACCTTCCGACACACCCGCGTCCGCCTCGATGCATCGTGTCTCTTGGGCGACGCCGCCTTGAAAGGTACACCATCCGTCCACCGTCACAATCCCATCGCTTCACACTGTCGTAGGCTGCATCATCAACGTTCGAGATGCCGCCACGGACCCGCGCTTCCACCCTCCCGTGGACGACCCGTTGCAGACGGGCATCATCACGGCGCTGTATGTGCCCATCGGCATTCCCCACGGCACCGCCGACGCCGCGCCTCCCATGGCGGTCCTGGAATGTATCAACAAACTCAAACCGGACGGATCTTCGCTGTCAACCGAAGGGTTTACAAACGACGACGAGTGTGCCTTCGAAGCGTACGCGAGCGAAGTGGCCGTGGTGCTCCGACGACGGGCGCACGACACAGAGTACCTCAAGCTGCTCGGGGACTCTGCAGCATTGGCGTCGACGTCGTTGGAGGGCACGGCGGCGGCTGCCACCAACCGTCCTCTGTCGTCGCTGCTGTTGGACGCGTGGTCGTCCCCGTCGTCCCCCATGGCCAACAGCAACTGCAACAACAGCGCCAATCCACCCCCGCCGCGGCGCATCCACACACCAAACCTCGTGATCGACACGTTTCACCTTCGAGAGGAAGGTTCCACGAGTGCTTCTGCTGCGGCGTCGTCGTCTGCCCTGCCTCCGTCGCCGCTGTCGTCACTTCCGGCCAAACCGCTCCTGCTGTCTCCACGACGCTTCTGCGTCGAAGGCGACGTGACGGCGGTGCCCGGATGGGACTTGGACGTGTTCATCCACGACACGGACCAACTGTTGGGGTTTGCCGAGCAAATGCTACGGGACCCGCGTCTGGTTGGACCCCACGACCTGAACGTGCCGACGCTGCAATCGTTCCTCCAAGTCGTGCACGACCACTACCACCCGAACCCGTTCCACAACTTCCAGCACGGCTTTTCGGTGCTGCATGTGTCGTACCGCATTCTCACAGACACCCCCGCACGTCACGTGCTGCATCCGCTGGACCGGCTGGCGTGTCTCGTTGCGAGTCTCTGCCACGACATCGACCACCCCGGCCACTCGAACGTGTTTGAAATCCACTCCAACTCGTCGCTCGCCCTCACCCACAACGATGACGCTGTCCTCGAGCGGCATCATGCCGCTACCACGTTTCGCCTGCTCCAAGACCCTCGCGTGAATATCTTTGCCTCGTTCCCGACCTCCGACTTTCGATATGTGCGCAAAGCGATCGTCCGCGCGATCCTCGGCACGGACATGGCGGTTCACAACGACACCATCGACGCTCTCGTGAGCCGCTTCCAGCCCCTTCCGACGGCCACCACCCCCGTCAAATCCCCCCCGCTGCACCACCCGACCCTGGCGTCATCTGTGTCGTCTTCAGCGTCCACCTCCTCTGGGGATTCGACTGGCTCTCTCCCTCCAGCAATCTGCGAGTCCCCGGACGTCGTGCCGTTCCCCCCGTCGTCGCCACCGCCGCCGTGGCGGGTTTTTGAAAACTCGGAAGACGACCGACTCTTCCTCGTGAAAGCGATCGTCCACGCCGCCGACCTCAGCGCCCAAGTGTTCCCAAAACACATTGCGTTAAAATGGAGCAATATGATCGCCAAAGAGTTTGCGTACCAAGCGCTCATGGAGAGCGCTGAGGGGCTACCCGTGACCCACCAACACGTCGATGACCCACTCCTCATGGTGGAAAGTCAGCACTTTTTCGCCGCGCGACTCGTGGCGCCGCTGTGGGTTGCGCTGGTGCAGTTTTTCCCCCAACTCCACCATTGCATGACCAACCTCCATGCCAACATTGCGCACTACGAAGTCGAAATCCGCCGATTGCAAGCATGTGGCACTGCATGCCAAAAGGCACATGCCGACTCGAACGACAAGGCCCCGGTGCTGCCAGCCCCGACCAACGAAGGCCAAGCTGTGCCCGGGATCAACAAGAACACCCCCGCGAAATTCAACTCGTTTCGTATTCGAGCTGCGTCCAACACCACCGCCACCACCCCCCTCTTGACCCCCTCCCCGACCTCGTTGTCGCCTCTGTCAATATCCCCGCGCAAATCGCATCACCAATTGCTGCACATATCAACAACATCCGAGGACGATTATACTGCAGACAACGTGATCACGCTCGAATAACTACCATCTACCGCCGCCCGCCCGCCCGCCCACACACTACTATTTATCTAAAATACTATTTTGCCAAACGCTTTCTACAATCCGTGAGTAGTAGTAGTACCTAGTATTGTTGTTGTGGATGGACCAACAGAACGATGGCGTCTTCGTACGCATTTCGAATGAGATCGAACCTATATGTGGCAGCCTGTGGTGTCGTGTCGCTTCGATCCGGATGATATGCGCGAGAGACGACTGCAAATTGACAATATGTCCCACGGCATCAGCGGCATTCGCCTTGTACCACGTCGTCGAGTGCATTTATGTACCATGGCTGTCGCCACAAGACAAGCTGAACTTGGAGCTTACAAGTGCATGTGATGAGGGGGGACCCACGGTGGTGTATCTCGTCAGTCTTAAAGGTCTGACATACAGTAACAACGATCTACGATGACAAGTAGACAAAGTCTCGATCGAGTGACAGCGCACGGCGGCCCGCCACAACAAGCGTATACCGCAGAGTCCGCTTGTAGGGTCTAGTAGAACACGCCGGTATCGACGTCAGGACAAGGCTGACCTTGAAGCGTCGCTCGGAGGCGCATACGATGGTCGAGAGATGGCGGCTTGGACTGGTTGTGGATTGGATATATCAACATAAATCGACCAAGCTACCGTTCACACACAGTCGTGATCGAAATCCAGCATTGAAACAGTTGAAGCTGCATATTCATACCTGATCCTGCACATGGAGCACGATGGACACGTGGCAGTGAGGCGCGAGGGTGCGACGGTGTTTGACCACGGTGACGAATGACAGCGTCGACGGGCATACCGTGGCCACCCGACAGTACCACAGATTGCGTCAACTTGGTGCCAATTCGCTCGTTGGAGGCACTCGACGTGGGCGAGAGATGCCAAAGGCAGCGATACCGCGGCATGTACACAGCGTCGAGCACGGTCCACTGGATTGAGGAACTTTGGGGCAAACACGGCGGAGAAGGAGGGCGACATCGCTCCAGCACACAACTGAATTTGGTGCCACCGCTGCAGCACTGTGGTGGAGCCCAAACGCCGAACGTAGTCGACAGGGGCGAAGTCGGAGGCAAGCTGACACAGGCCAGCCTTCTCGGACGATGTCCACCCAGGTAAGTGCTGCTCTTGCAGGCCCAGTGCTGGGGCCACCGACGAGACGCCAATACGCAGCGAGGACTCCTCGGAATCCCGAGGTGAGGCGAGCCAACGTCAAGTGTCGCTGGAGGCAGCCGAGGATGTCGTCGATGAATGCCCATGCGTTGGGCTGCATGCACAACGGGAGAATGGAATTGACATCCCATTGGAGTTTGCGATGAAGATGGAGGAAACCAAGTGGTCTGCAACGCCACGGTACAGCTCAATGGTTATGGTTGAGGTAATGGCAAGGTTGACGAGAAGGAGGCACTAATGTTGTGGAAGCAGAGAGCTGGACTGAGACTGGTCGCATCACTACACAACGCCAACGCAATCTCAGACGGCGTGGAGGTGCCGAGGTGAAGTTTTTAGGTGACTCGCAAAGTCAACGGGCGCTGTGGCAGGACCCCGGAACACGGTGCGGCCTTGTTGGCTACAGACAAGTATTGCGGCGCCCGCACTGTACATTATATTCGAGGAACGTGTCATCTCCTCTCCCTGTCGCCAAGGTACTGCTATGTATACCAGTACACTGGCGCCAATGACCAGAGTACGTTGCCAATTGATGGTTATCATATGCAGTTGGGTCAAAAAGTGAAACCGTCTAATAGAGACTCTCGCCCAAGCCAAGACGCGGGAACATTGATGACCCTGATATATTTGAACAGACCGGGCTCCATCCACCCTACTACTCCTCGAGACATAAGACACACATGTTATATTCCTATAAATTGGCTTTGGATGGTGGGGGGTGGGGGGGGTCACTAGTCAGTACTAGACCATTTAGCAGTTAAGTTGGACGAATGCCCGAAATATTTGGCCGTGCATCCGATATATTTGGTGGTGTGCCCTATATTTAGCCATGCGCCCAAGTAATTGGCCATCTGCCCGACGAATTATGTCGTGTGCCCGATGAAAATGGAATAACTCAAAGAATTATAACGTTACTACGTACAGTAATAGTATTTCAGATGAAGTGCAAATCAGTTTTGGTGGAAACATCATGTGGTTGAAGTTCGGAGGAAAACGCGCGAAGATAAGAAAGAATTCGAAACTTATACTTGAATAAAGTATTGTTTAAGTTCATGCTTTCCTCCAACATTTTGAATGCTCATTATTCAAATCGCCAAGGAACGCACAGTATGGACGTCGCTGCACCCCCACGAACTCCGGTATTGATGTCAGTTGACACTGTGAAGTACTTCGAGTACGACAGATGATACCCCCCACTGTACGTACATAGTCACGAGGCCCCTACAAACGCATACCTCTCTCCGCAAAGCAACGAGTCGTCGCAGCGTTCTGAAACGACGACGAAAGGAAATCCGTGGCGTTCGCCAACGGGATAAAGCAAAGTACTGCTCGAAATTAGCTATATAGGGGTCAATGCTAACCGTTTGAATCGATACGCGCAACGCTGCGGAGGCCATGGACGACATGGAAGTTGGCATGTGATGCCTAAACGATGATGTGAAAGTTTCATTTCGTGTTTTCTTTTTATGTGAGTTCAATTATTAATTTGAGTTATTCCATTTTCATCGGGCACACGACATAATTCGTCGGGCAGATGGCCAATTACTTGGGCGCATGGCTAAATATAGGGCACACCACCAAATATATCGGATGCACGGCCAAATATTTCGGGCATTCGTCCAACTTAACTGCTAAATGGTCTAGTACTGACTAGTGACCCCCCCCACCCCCCACCATCCAAAGCCAATTTATAGGAATATAACATGTGTGTCTTATGTCTCGAGGAGTAGTAGGGTGGATGGAGCCCGGTCTGTTCAAATATATCAGGGTCCTCAATGTTCCCGCGTCTTGGCTTGGGCGAGAGTCTCTATCTTTTTCCACTTGTCGGCCTGTGCGTTGCCCTTCTCGACGACCCGCTCCTCCTTGGCCAGGAATTCCTTGGCGCACTTGTCAAACAGCGCCATGTCGTAGTCCATGTACAGCTTGAGCACGTTCTGCGCGAGGCCTTCCACAGTCGTGTTCCAGTGGCCGAGAGAGTTTTTGTATAACGGGCCATATATCACGGGCAGAATCAGCGCGGCGTGCTGGCGGCTAAGGCATCCGTTGTTGACCAGGTGCTCGTTATTCCACAGAAACAAAGCGCGCTCGCTCACTTGAAAGTGCTGGCTCCCGAGGCACTTGGACAAGACTCGGAACAGGTCCTTGTGAATCTGCTGCAGCTGGTCGGGCCCCATAAGCTCGAGGATCTCTTCCAGTTCGTTCAAAAACAGCACTTGTTTGGACGAGCACGCCCATGGCCAAAACTTGACGATGCCTGAGATGATGGGGATCGCCGTGTCGGGGTCCTTCTCGACGTATTGCGTGATGCAGTACGACAATTGTTGGTGGTACAAGCTCACGCACTTGGGCTTGTGCAGCGGCACCAGCGCTTTCACGAGGAACTGGAGGTGCTCGCGCTTGAGTGGCATCGCAAACCCGTTGATGATGCTCCCGAGGATCTCGAGCAGCTCCCCCACGCCGTTGTGCCGCTCCGTTTCGTACACGAACCGGTAAAACACGTTCGAAATCGCCTTGCGAATGAACGACCGGTGCGACATGAACTTGCCGTAGATGCGATGGAGGATCGTCTTGAGGTAGTCGCGCTCTCGCGGGTCTTCACTGTCAAACAGCTCGATCACGTTCGAGCAAAACTTTTGGTCGACAAACTTCTTGGCCACCTAAACAACGTCGTCGTGGTCAAGCATGGAATCGAGCCAACAACGCAGCGGCGTACCTTGGCGTTGACTTCCCCCGACACGATGAAACGCAAGAAGAACTCGTACACGACCTACCATCACGAGCGTTGAGAGAGGGAGTATTGATGAGATGCGCAAATGGGGCGAAGGGGAGAGAGTTGTCGGGTTTCGTTGAAGCAGATTCATGCGAAGGGTACCTGCAAATGGGGCCAGGAGGGTTCGAGCACTGGTTCGTCTTCTTCGGGGTCGAAGTCTTCGGTTTGTGGCGGCAGCGCGCGGCAAATATTGGCCGACTATCAAACATGTGATGAATGAGGAGGGGTGCGTGCAAAATGGGACTGAAGCGACGTACCACCATGCCCATAATGTCGGGCATCAACGCTTCCGTGAAGATCTTCTGGCCGCCAGCATTGTTTACGTAGTCGACGAGTTCCAACAAAGTTTGCCGCTTGAGATCTTTACCCTTCTTGTCGGACGCGGCATCTTCGAAATTGAACAGCACCGAGCACAATTCGAGCTTTTGCTGGAACAGCGCCTCCCGCTTTTGCATGTTGGTGTCTTTGAGATGAGGGAGATCCTTCAACGCCGCCACCTTTTGATTGCGGACCAGCGAACTGCGGCGGCGTTCGCGCTTTGGCAGCGACACGTCGGATCGCGCCACGTTTTCAATGCCGTCATCGCGCGCAGTTCCCTGGGACGACCCCACCCCCATGCTGGTCGCCGACGCCAGCTGCAGCTGGCTTACCGCGGCGAGGTCCCCCTCGGATGAGTTACTCAGACGGCGCTTGACCGTCTGCAGCATCTTGTTCATGCTCATATAACCGCTCAACCAATTCTCGCCACTACGACGACTGGGCTGGGCTCCCTCGATACAAATTCCCATACAATAAGGCTCAGAACTACAATTTGAGGTAGGGTTTGGGCGACGCTCAGTATACAAACGCCAAGATACTTCTCCGTACCGTATGATTGGCCAAAATCGTATCCTAAAAATATCCATTTCCCAATGGAACATTGCGCGCATTGGACGAAATATTCCAAAGTTACACGGCATTTGATTGGTCATTTCGAGACATATCGATGATATGATTGGCCATTTAGTTGGCACTTATAGTGTGAGATAGTTGTGCCCTCTGATTGGTGGAAAATTTGATCAATAATAGTGTGAGCTATTCCTCTCGAGAATCGCCATGACGGCACCAGAAAACCAAAACCCTTCGACGAACGACATGGTCAACCAAGGTACGTTCAACGGTTGAGGGGGGACACTACAACTCATGCAGGTGGTATGGACGTCATGTAGGAGCGAAACCTACTAAAGCAAGCGGCGCCGTCTCTGCCTTTGTCATGAAGCTAGACCAGGTCGTGAACGATCCGGCAACAGGTATGGTGTTAGCTCGGACAAAAGGTTCAAGTGGGGCCAAATCGACTGATGCTTGACTTCTAGACGACGTGATCACGTGGAAACGAGGACCTGATGGTGCTCTCGTGGAACCGCACAGCTTGGTTGTGCTCGACAAATCGGTATGTCACCCCCGTCGTTTCCTTGTCATGACTACAGTCCCTCTACGCAGAAATTTTCGGAGACGGTCATGCCGCAATATTTTCGGGGGTCGAAGTATTGTTCGTTTATCCGTCAGCTCAACGGTACATTCACTCTAAAGGTTCCCTCCCTTCTAACAAGTCATGCAGCGTACGACTTTTCCCACGTCGGCGTCGTGAATGGCGCCGATCCGCCCGCGTTCACGCATCCCTTTTTCCGCCAAGACGACCGGTCCCTCCTCTCTAGGATCGAAGTACATGCATCTACCTCGCTCGTCGTGTCTCTCGTCTGACCTTGTTTCGCGTTCCGTTGTAGCGCCGGAAGCAGGACAAGCGGTCGCGCACAACGCAACCCGACGACGTCAAGACCGTCAAGAAGGTCGAAGATAAGATCGTCGAATCGTACGCCCCGACCTCAGCGCGTCGTCTGGGCGACAACGAGTCGGCGCGGTACATCGAGGCCGTGCAGGCCATCCGAGACATGCTCGCGTCAGGTGTGTGTGGCCGTTCCCGCCTTTTTCCATATTCCGACTCTTAATGTCGGACGATGCTAGCGCAAATGTTTGGCATGACGCATCTGTTTATGGAACGAGTCAAGGAGTTTCTCCACGTGGAGCGAAAGGACTTTTCCGACCTGCAAGACGGCGACGTGCTTCAACTCCTGGACAACATCATCCTCGGCAAGACGACCGACGCGCACGTTGTCGCGACGGTCCCCGCGTCCCCCGACGATCCGTCCAGCGCCACCTCGACGACGACGTCCTCCGTCGACGACGGGGACGACATCCACCACCGCCGCCACGATAACATCGTTCTGCACCACGGAAATGACCTTCACTCACGTGTCAAACTCGAGAATGATGGTGATGACGACGACGACGACGGCTTCCTGGACTTTGACGTGGACGAGCTCGAAGAGTTGCTGGCAGACCACAATTTGTGATGACTTTTTTTGGTGTATTTGAAGTGTTAATATATATATTAATATATATATATATATATCAAGGAGGCCCAGGATGCATTGTATTGGACGAGGCTTCTGCTTTGTTCAGTCCAAAGAGCGGAAACGCGCGGTTGATGGACGGTAGGCGGGCTTGGACGGTGTCGTGGTGCGGCGGCCGCAGCGACGGGATGGAGGAGGATGTCATGTTCGATGCACCAGCCGAAGCGGAAGGCGGCACTGAAACGGGTGCGCCGAAGCGGTGGTGTTTGGACAGGTTTACGCTACACAGCAGGCCAGACGTGGAGTTGATCGTGTGAAAGTTGTCGTGGAGCGAGTTCCAGAAGGGTTGCGTGCGGGGGTCGGATGTCCTTCCTTCTTCGTGTAGTCGCCGCTTCTTTGGCAGTTGAATGCGGCATTCCAAGCTCAGGGGTTTCATGTGTGCGGCGTCGTCCATGAGCTCGTCAAACGACGAGGGAGAGGTTGAAGAGGACGACATGTCGACGTCCCCGAGTTGCTGTGGTTGCCCTTTGACAAAGTCCGGTCGGAAGTATCGCGTGCCGTCGGACGATTTCACGAACCCGTGCTTCTCCAGCTGCATTTTGAAAGTCTTGAACCGACCGCGGTACAGGTTTGGCATCGGCAGGGACGTCTCCATCTTGTCAGCATCCAAGATCGAGAACGACCGACCGTCAGCGTCCCACGCGATCGTGTCCGGCAACAGATTGTTGTTCAGGAAACCATACAAGTTGCGAAGAAAGTTGCTTGGAATGCCTATGGGGGCAGCGGTGGCGGGTGGTCCATGATTGAACGCCGCCGAGTTCATCGCCATGGACCGATCGACCCCGATGTCATGGACACTGGGCCGGTCGAATGTGCCGATGGTGTTCACATGGCAGCTCACATTCTGCTTGCTCTTATGTGCCATGGCGTCTAGCAGCCGTTTCCGAGCGTCATTTGGGTCGGAGATCACCATGGTCGTCGTCGGGTTGGTTCTTGGTGTGATAATGGTCCAAGGGTTTGGTTCGTGTGGAAATATTGTAATTCAATTAATATAGTGTTGTGTTGAAGCATTATTTTAAATCCACCAGCGAATAACGCCATTTTAGTATGGTCACGTGGTTGGGGAAATAATTATGGACTCCCATTTGTAATTGTATTTGCCTTCACCCATTTGATCCGTCTCCAACATTCATCAGGCACGAATGCCGGTCAAAGAATGCATGTATGTATCATGAATGTTGGTGTCTTGGACCCACGCGAACAAGAAAGGATGACGACGACGACGATTCCATTTCAGCTATCGTCAAGAAAGTTAATGAGGTTGTAAATATGCAAGCGACGATAAATACTTCGTACGCTTAGGACTAGTACGTACGTGTTAACGTTGTCGTGACGTCGTGAATTGGGGAATGACGTTGGTAAAAGCTGTATGACATCTGAAAAACGAAAAAAGATCTCCCACTGCGGGGCTCGAACCCGCGACCACAGGATTAAAAGTCCTGCGCTCTACCAACTGAGCTAAACGGGATCTGATAATATCTTTAGGACATTTACTACTAGTTATATTTGTATATTACATGAGGGCTCGTTCATTGTACACACGACTGTCAACTGGTTGACTGGGAGCTAAAACTCCAAGTAAGAACTACAACAAACCATGCATGACCAAGTCATTTATATGAGATTGCGACCACATCGCATGCAGTTCTCATGCTCCAGGTATGGAGCTATACAGTACGCTGCTGCAATTGGGGAAGTCCACCATCGAAAAAGTAGATTGCGTTCGACCACAAGTTGCGGTCCACAACCACTACTCTTGTGGACCAACCAACAAGCTACTACTTCATACTAGTACACTGTAATAGCTTCGTCCAGTACAACACATCAACAATTGTACGATCCACGTTATCGCCTTCCCATTCAACTCGTTGGTGGAATTCTTGACATCACATTCAACGATCGATACATTCGTCCTTGCCGTGTCTTTTCCCGAGCGTGTGCAACCCTCAAACCCTGCGGCCAATCCGCGTTTGTCCTTTGGCGTGGTGCACTGTATGGTATACACTGTACCCAGTACTGTACACCAGTAACGTTACAGTACCGCACAAAAGAAACCAGGACAGACTTCTGTAGCGTCGGAGATGCCGAAGGGTCGTCGGAAATGACCCGGCCTACAAACTCAAGAGATTGTTCGTGTGGACAGTCGACACACCGCGAGCTGATAGCAGTTCTGCTTGTCATACTCTGCTGTTAGCCCCCGCACACGGATCAAGCGTCTCTCATTGTTAGTCACCGCATCTTTCACCTATGTCAGATACGCCCCATTCCGCATGGTTGGTCGGGGCATACACATCTCGAGGTAAAGATGGTGTAGCTGCTTACTGCCGCAATAAAAACGAGAGTTTAACCCATGCTACCAACCATACAGCGACAACTTGACTTGGTTGTTGGTTGGCTAAGCGATATGGCGCCGACGCCACCTGATTGACGGCAAAATGACTAGAGGGCGCCGAGGAGCTACGTCGGTTTAGGGGTGCTTTGTTGCAGGTTTGACGAGGTCCTTGTTTTTCGTTACATGGTTGCGGTGTTGAGGTGTAGCCATTTCAAACTGACGACATTCGGCTTATAAAACCTATAAAACGCTTTTTCGTCCATTAGGTTCCCCAAAAACAGTGGATTTGATTGGACCAGCCGATTTCGAAGCGAGATGCAGCCAATCACAGGCGAAGGAGTTTCTCCCACCAACCGGACCCACGTGGTGACAGTGTTGGATTTTCCCCACAACGTCCATTCAGCAAGACCATCATGAAGCCGTCAATGCCGCCGATTCTGCTGCCGGAAGCGCGCAAGGAGGAGCTTCTGGCAGAGATCGACCCCATGATCCAACCACTCCTGCATTCCATGATTCCCAGCGGTGACAAGTGGGAAATGAACTTTGTCCGCAATGGCGTCACGTGCTATGACAGTTTGCGCGCAGATCCGTACTACCGTCTCTGTCTTTCCACATCCGTTGTTCGGTCTTCCCTGGATGCCGCCATGAGTGCATTGGCCACGGACACAACGTCTTCGCTCTTGCGTGCGGAAAATGAAGCCCTTGGTGACCGCGTGTCGAACGCGTCTGTAATCTGCCCCCTCCGGCCACGCACTCGAAAAACCCAACAACACTACATTGGCGTCAAGTGGCTGTCTTACAGCATCAACAACTACCAACAGTTCGACATGGTGTTTTGCGATGCCGTCGGCGTCGGGGTGACGCCATCGACGGGGCGTCGGTTTGGGTACCGCATTGTCCGGTCGATCTCGATTCCGGAATGTCCTCTGTTGGTTCCGTTGCCACGCGGACATGTGGTGTTCAACGTGATCAAGTTTACCGAGACTGCGGAAGCCAATGTGCTCGATATGCAGGTGGCTATCAACCTGCTCTGCGACGACGTCGCGTCCCTGTCTGGCATCTTTGACCCGTATCCCCAGACCACGCGCCTTCGCTTGTACATCGAAGGGTACTTCCGCAAGGGCTTCGCCCCGCCCCCTCGCAAGAGCACGTTGCTCATCCCCCCGCTGTCGCTCATCGGCGGTCGCAACAGCAACGTCCACGACCAGCCCAAGAAATCATCGCACTGCAACCTGTGTCGCAAGAAATTCCACTGGTTCCGTCGGCGGTACGGATGCAGCGAGTGTGGCAACGTCGTGTGCAGCTCGTGCACGGAACAGTTCAAAGTCGGCGCCATCCGTCGCAAGGTGTGCCTCGTCTGTCGATGCACCACCACCGTACATGCGTCGGGCAACCACCACAGTTCGGTCGCGCATTCGCCGTCCAGCATGCCGCATTACGCGCCCGTCACGTACCCCAGCATGTACGACTCGGAGCCGTCACCCATCTACGACATCCGCACGAGTCTGTGGTCGCCGCGGTCCCCGCGGCACTCTGCGTTCGACCGGCCATCCTTGTCGGATCGGTCGTCGTTTCAATGCGCGGACCATCCTGCCATGCGCAAACTCTTTAGCTCGTCTCGCGGCGCTGGAGACGCCAAGCACGACACCCGATCGATCGGGTCCAAGTCGACGTCAACAACGTCGTCGAGCTCCATCAAGACTGTGCTCTTGCCGTGCGCGATCCCGGACGACGCCGACCCGTTCAATCGAAGCAGTTTCCAAAGTACGCCCGTCCAGTCGCTACAGCAATGGAACCCCGTGGACCTCACCGCACGGAATTCCATGTCTGGCCAACGCGACTCGTTCACGTGCAAACTGCGCAAGTCGCTGTCGGCCGGGTTTAGTTAGGTCTGCATTTGCCTGTTGAATGTCAATGTGATTGTGCTCATGCATGCGCTGGTGGGGTACTAGTACTGCTGCCGCCCGCGTGAAACCAGCAAAAATTTGGTGGCCACCTTGCACTGTGGAGTTCGAAGCTCTATGGTTTTGCATAACGTTAGATACTACTACTTGTACCACAATACATTTATATTGATAGTAGTACTTCGTAGTAGTACTATTAATATTTGTAGATGGGCAGTAACGTTAGTATTGATTAGAGACGTTTTTTTCATACTACAGTACGTATTACCGGTACTACGTACTAGTAGTATACTGTAGTATTAATAGTAAGTAATACTTCAAGTAACGTTATTGTCGATTTTCTTAAAATTTCCCAATTTTGCATGGTTCGTTCAATCGAGCACAAATAGAGCCGAGACATCTGATTGGCCATTATCCACTTCGCCCTTTCCAGTAGAAACTCGAAAATGGATTGTAGCCAATCAGCGACAAGTAATATTGGATTGACCAATGGGAGAGATTGGTGCTCGATTTGCTCGGCGAGATTCGATTGAACAGGGCCCGGAAGTTCATACCGAATCTCCAATACTACGTAGTACTACTATTGATGGTATTGTTCATTCGATTCGAAATTGGAGTGGGGTGCTCACAGTCAATCGAATGAGCAGCATCAAAAATCGGCAGAAATTCGATCGACCAATCAAAACACCAAACAACTACCGTAGCTAACGTCAATCAAATCCACTCTTCGAATAATTCAACATCGAATTAGTATGTGATTGAAATTCGTGTGATACAGGACGATCTTTACATGCAAAAGTCAGTACAAAGAATCGATCGATAGATTTGGCGAATCAGCATCTCGATATTTCGTGTTGGCCTTGTATGATTGGATATGATAATATTCGTCTCTATATTTTATTACACGTCTCAATGCTGAAGTCTGGTCAGTTTTTTTCAATCTCAAACAAAAAAATACAAGTATTTAAATAGAATGTCAACTAGAAACACTAGACGCTGTACCGCCATACATGCCTACGAGAGCGTCACGGCAGTTGTGCATAGCTACGTGATACATGGAAGTGCTCACTTTTGAGCCATCGCTACCATAGACAAAGAAGCAGCAGTGTATTGCTCGTCGCAACCAGTGGATGGCCTCCACTATGCCGCTACTGTTGTGAGCAACAGCAGTGAATTAAAATGTGACTGCATTTTTTTACGCTGACTAATTAAATTCATGTAAGAGTTTATTACGTGTTGCGAAATGCATGCAATTATATTTTTGATCAAATTATTTTGCATATTAATTTAATCAAATACAAACATCAAGGTTTTAAGGACATGAATTGATTCACCTCAAAAGTCGTGAGCGTAACGCTCAAAACATTTAATTTCGATACAAATCTGAAATATAGTCCAATCATGCTCAATGATACGTAAAAAAAATGGTGGCATTTTATATTCTCTTGTGGTGCTATCAGCATTAAAATAACCGTTCTCGTTCTCGAGCTACTGGGATTTGAAGTCATGGCCAAAACTTGACCAAAAACAGTGTCAATAATTGATGCATTACCTTACGTATATTACTACTACCTCCGATTGGAAATGATTGATAGGTTTCACTTTATTGGGGTTTGAACAAAATTGTATCTCAGTCTTGACAATAGGTATAAGGTAACGGATCTATTTTCTGAACTCTTTTTGGGTTCATTTTGGTCCAAACTTTGAAGGGCTATTGCTCGGCAATGCACTAGAGTTTTCAAAATCTAAGGTAGGTGTGGAATTATAATTCACGAAGCGATTTTTAAACTTGAAATGGGCTGCTTTAGATGATATTTGTGATTTGTATGCAATAATAATACGGTGGGTTGGAGAGAGACGACTTTCTATTACCTGAACGATTGGAGATATTAATACCTTGGGCTACTGTTAGTATTGATTGAATTAAAATACGCAATATAAATATTTTGAAATTTATCCGTAATTGTATTTGAATGGTGCACTACATGGAATTAAATTTCACCAAAATATAAAAGAGCGAAGGATTTAAAATTTCATCCTCAGTTCAACTCTTCGAGGCCAAGGTGAGGACTATGTCAGCCGTGGCACCCAATCCCGCCCACCATACCAACCACACCACGTGCCATGGTCCCACGAATAATCCTGTAGTACATCTTAGCGGCTTTCCAGGGTCTATCAGAATTGGTGGTAGCATGTGCTGATGGTCAAGACTTCGTGGTATTTTTATTCAACATGATTTATAAAAATGTACGAAAGTCCATTGTGTGCAATTCTATGTCATCAAGTTGTAAGTTTACAAATGTATCGTTAGTGTTTTTTTGCCAATCATATTGCAATGTTCATTATTATTATCCAATAAAACGGCTTTGCTCGATTTCAGGGTGATTTCAACAATCCCCCAAAATTGGCAAATATGAGCACAATAATTGTGCGGGAAGAACACCAACTCGATGGCTAAGTTCTACGACAAGGCGACAGGCATCACGGCTTTGGTGGCGGAGATCCGTCAACGAGCGGTGGAAAAGGATGAGATGGCCAAAGCGGTCGTGGGCCATGGAGAGCCCTTCGCGTACAGCGGATGGACGTTCGTAGGACGCAAGAGTCATATCACGCCGCTGCAAGCGTTGGACGTGCTCGGCAACTCGATTGGCATGACGCCCCCCGAGATGGTGTTCGGAGAAAACCAATTGCTGTTGCTGCATGAAGCGTCAGGAGTTTGCATTTCGTTCATGGCAGTCGAAGCGTTGTCGTGCTGTCATTTCAAGGCGGGGAGCGACGCCCAACAGTTGAAAGTGACCATGGCGCGCGTCCAAAGCGCCACATCAGCGTACGTAGACGATAATCCTTCCTTCCTGAGCTCACGTGTCGTCAGCGATGAGGTGAAGGAACTCGAGATTTCGTATGATTGGACGTACACCAGTGACTACAAGGGTACGTTGGCTCGCGTGGACGATCATGGAGTTGCCAATACCACCGCCGACGCAGTCCGTGTGGTTACGACGACGGAACGAATCGACTTTGAAAAGTTGAAGGTCCGCGAAGACATTCTGTGGATGGAGGACGTCAGCTTGTACGAAGATGAGCTCCATGACCATGGCGTGTCGATCTACTCTGTGCGCATCGTACGTCTCTTATGTATCTACCCTCCGTCGTCGTCTCAATGCATCGACTATCTAGCGGGTCATGCCTTCGGGGTTCTATGTCCTCGCGCGATACTGGATGCGGCTGGACAACGTCGTTGTTCGCCTCAACGAAACCCGCATCCACCATGTGTTTGGCAAGGACTTCCTCCTGCGTGAATACACCGCGAAGGAGGTGACGTTCGACACTCTCTTTGCCGCCGGCCATCCCAACCACATGTCCAACTACACGAACATCGACACCTTCCAACATCTCGTGCCCACGAAGTCGTCCCATTTCGAGAAGATCTACCTCCATTAACGTATTGGACGCTCCCGCGGCGACGGCGGCCACAGATTTGCGTTGTGATGGATCAACACTCTGGACAGTGGTGGCGCGAGATTGGAATTAAAAACGATTTGTTTTGAAGTATATTTTATGTCAATATATAATCTACTGCTTTGTATCCAATGGATGTAATTTTAATGCGATGTGAAATAAATTTGAAGCGCATTATGCCAGCATATATTAGTCGATAGCTTTTCTTCCGATTGCTTGAAATGGGAGTCACGTCCGCCGATGATGCGATCGCGACGCGGGTGGTGATGTACATGCAAGAAGTACTACAGACCCCACAAGTGACAGAAGTGGTGACCAAGTTCCACAACTTCCTGCGCAGCATCGGGGTGCCGCCGCCATATCCCGACGCGGAGCGCCTCGCGATCTCTGTCGTGACCGTGATCGGGACGTTGATCTTTTACTACGTCTTCTTTGGGAACCGCCATCGAACGCGGCGGTACGACCTGCAAAAGAAGCTTGAGGAAGCGGCGCAAAAGGTGCATGAACTCGAAGAAAAGCTCGCGGACATGGAGCTGTCGGAGGACGAGGAGAACGGCCGCAAGCCGAAGAAGGAAGTGCGCATTTGGATGGATGGCGCGTTCGACATGATGCATTACGGTCACATGAACGCGTTCCGCCAAGCCAAGTCGGTGGGCACGTACCTCGTTGTGGGGGTGAACGACGACAAGAGCATCACCGAGTGCAAAGGCGCACCGCCAGTCATGTGCGACGAGGAGCGCATCGCGTCCGTCGCGGGCTGCAAATTCGTCGACGCCGTCGAGCCGCACTGTCCCTACATCATGAACGACGAGTACCTGCTGCGCATGATCGAGAAGCATCGCCTTGACTACATCGTGCACGGCGACGACCCATGCGTCGTGGACGGCAAGGATGTGTACGAGAGCGCGCAAAAGATGGGCAAGTACCGGACGATTCCGCGGACCGAAGGCGTGTCGACGTCCGACATCCTCGGGCGCATGCTGATCCTAAACAAGGCGCACCATCGTCACGACACGGTCACCCAGCTCAGCTCCAAGGTGCGCGGCGCCAACTCGGCGCAGCTGCAGTCGCGGCCGTCGCGCTTCCTCACCACGAACCGCATGCTTCGGCTGTTCTCCGTCGGCAACAAGGCGCCGAGCCCGACCGCCCGCGTCGTGTACGTCGACGGCGCATGGGACATGTTTCACCCCGGCCATGTGGACATTTTGAAACTGGCCAAGTCCCAAGGCGACTACCTCATCGTGGGTGTCCACAACGACGGCGTTGTCAACAAGCATCGCGGCCTCAACTACCCCATCATGAACCTGCATGAGCGCGTGCTCAGTGTCCTCGGCTGCCGGTACGTGGACGACGTGCTGATCGACGCGCCGTGGGAAATCACCAAAGAGATGATTGCGTCGCTGCGACTCAAAGTGGTGGTGCACGGCAGCCGCCGGGACGGACACGACGACCCCGCCGAGATGGCCGTGCATTACAAGGCCGCGCGCGATGCCGGCATCTACGTGGAAGTGCCGAGCCCGCGCACGCTGGACGTGAACGACATTGTCGCGCGCATCACGGAGAACCGCGACCGGTTTGAAAAGAAGTTTGTCAAGAAGATGGAAGCGGAAAAGGAGTATTACGACGATCGATACGCTGCCAAGGAACAAGACAAGAAGACCCAGTAGTACCACCATCGATCGAGATACAAAGTAGTATATGGGGACATCTCGCTAACAACTGCGAATCAACAGCATGTTTTGTCGAAACATATATAGTATTCGATCTCGCGTGAGTTCTGATTGGTTGAATATATTTGTTCTTTATGAAAGAGCCAATCAAATCCTCTAAAATACAATGGATTAGCCAATAGCGTCAATTTGATATATTCGACGGGCTCTGGAAATATATCCACAATATTGGACTTCTTTCGAGTGAAATTTCGTGGTTTCTCGTTGGAATTTAAATTGATTTGATTGGCTACTTCAGATGAACTCAAAATTATTAACCAATCAAAACCTTCTCAATGAAATTCAACCAATCAGATCGATTGTGGATCGGTTTGATCGGCGCGATTCGATATGCACCCTCCCCAAATTTTTATCAAATCGACAATATGTATGTATGTACATATTTCGTGTGGTTCTGCACTCTTTGTTTTTTCTTCATATTTGGGGTACTTGTGTACTGAGAGGTATCCGGATACGCGGTTCAAATTTCAAACCACATGATGCACGAGGTGCGCCGGAAATACACTTGAGGTTTGTATGGCGATTGGCGGATTGTCCGGATAATCCAAGGACACTGCCGGACGAATTGTCGGCAACTTGGACCGGCGCCGACGCCGTTGTCCTGCCGCCGCCGTCAAGATGTACCGTATCCCTTCCACCGACGACAAAAAAAGAGACAGATCTCTTTCCATGTCGTTGTCGTCGTCGAGCTATGTGAGTCCTCAGCGTCGACAGCCCAAGAAGAAACCAATGCTCGATCGTCGATCCACTCTGCTCGATTTGTCGACGAGCCAATCGCCCAGGTTTCCCTTCGACGCAGCGGCAGCAGCAGCAGTGGACAATGACTACCCCGAGACGCCAGAGTACTTTCGTCAACAGCGTAACAAGCGTATTCCCACTGTGCCGCGCGTGTCGCCACTCCACGCCAAAGCCATGCCGTCATCGTCGTCATCAGCCCCGTCGCCATTGTTCAAGGCGGCGGACCAGCAGTCGTTCTTACAGTCCCGTGTGCATTCTCTCACCCAGGCCCTGATCAAGTCGAACCAGCATCACAAACGAACGCAAGAGCATTTGACATGGGCGCTGGAAGAGCACGCGATGGTGCAGTTGGAGAAGCAGCAACTCCAAGCCCAGTTGAGTCGCGTGATGGCGTTGCAACATGGAAAAGAACTCGATCGAGCGCCGCCGCCCATGCCTTCCTTTGACGAAAACGATGACAGCGACGTGGACATGATGCAGGACATCCAAGGCGACGACCGCGCGACGGAGCAATCCGTTGGCATGATCCAGTCGACGGCGGCGCTGGCCCAGCACCTTCGCCAGGACAACGACGCCCTCAAAGCCGCGTTTTCGTCCCACGTGATGGAAATGCAACGCGCGATGACCCAGATGACGATCTCATTGCATCAAGCTCAAGCTCGGAACACCCTGCTCGCGCATTCCGACGCGGACGTGGCGGCATTGAGAGCCACTTGTGCGTCGCTGCACGCGGACCGCAAGCGTTTGCACAACACGATCCAGGAACTGAGAGGTGTGGTCTTCTTTGTTATATATATATATATATATATATATTGTGCTTTCGAGTGAAATTTCATTGTGTTGTGGTTTCTCGTTGGAATTTAAATCGATTTGATTGGCTACCTCAGAAGAGCTCAAAATTATTAGCCAATCAAAACCCATTTCTCAATGAAATCCAACCAATCAGATCGATTGTGGATCGGTTTGGTCGGCGCGATTCGATTGCACCCAAATTTGTATATCAAATCGACAATACAGGTACTTTTTTTCATGGTGGATGTTATGTAGGCAACATTCGCGTGTATTGCCGCGTTCGACCGGTGCTGAAGCTCCAACATGGGGCATGTGCCGCCATCCGTGTGGAATCAGATACGCGGGTCGTGGTGACCCAGCACAGCCCGAACGGGTCGACCGTGTCGCAGGACACGGTGTTCGACGTGGACAAAGTGTTTGATCAGCACCACTCTCAGCGTACGAATGATGACCATGTCGCAGACCGGATCGATAAATATAACTGATTCTGATTCTAGACGACGTGTTTACGGAAGTGCAGCCGTTGATTACGTCCGCGTTGGACGGGTACAACGTGTGTGTGCTCGCGTACGGACAAGTACGACACTGATGATTCTTTGTGTGGGATTGTATGGGATTGTGAGTGTAGACTGGATCAGGGAAGACCCACACGATGCTGGGCAGTCTTGAAAGCGATGTGGACCGGTAGCATTGCTGTGTGTCTGAACGATATCAATCTGGACGACTTGTATGTAGGGGTCTGAGTCCGCGCGTGTTTGGCCAAGTGTTTGCGCAGTGCCACGACAACCAATCTGAGTCTGATTCCGTGCATTTCTGATTCGATCGTCTGATGATGATCCTAGCAGCATCGAAATGCACTTGTCCGTGTTGGAAGTGTACAATGAAAAAGTGATGGACCTAGTGCACCCATCGCCCGTGCCTCTCGACGTCCGCGTCGACAAAAAGCTCGGCGTGACCGTCCCCCATCGCACGTGGGTACGTGGCGACCATCCGTTCCCAACGTGGTTCAACATGCAAGCAGGTGGCCGTATCTAGCGTGGATGAGTGCATGCTCGTGATGGAAAAGGCACTGCGACACCGTGCGGTGGCGTCCAACGACTTGAACGCTACGAGCTCTCGGTCACATTGGTACTTCTACTACTAGCTACTAGTACTACTACTAGCACGACAAACTAGTTTTGCCTCTGGATTGCATGCATATATATGGATGATGATATATTATTGTCCTTTTACCCAAAGTATGGACTTTTGTGCTGATTCTTTGCCAAATCTATCAATCGATTCTTCTTTGTACTGAATATTGTATGGAACATGTTGTCCTGTGGTGATTTGTATCACACTAATTGAAGTCACACACTATTTAAACGTTGATGATGGTTTCCTGTATTCTGATTGGGTCAATTCTTCTGCCGATGATTCTTGTGTACGTACATTGATTATTTGGTTGTGTCGATTCATTCTCTCCATATCGCTCCAGTTTAGAATATAAACACATAAACAATATGGTGGTTGTACAGCATCACGTCACTTCAAGTTCGACGGACGAATTCCAGCAAGTCACTCAGTGGGGGCAGTGTCGTGGTGGAATCGAAAATCAATTTGGTCGATCTGGCAGGATCCGAACGTCTCGGGTCGTCCAATTCGGTACGGGGATGATTCGTGTTGTTTCGATGTAGTTTGTGCATGGTCCATGACGTAAACAATTGTCGTTTACGACTGTTTTGTTTCACGGTGCCTGTACCGCATCTGCAGGAAGGCGACAGGCGCAGCGAGGCGCAACACATCAACAAATCGCTCCTGGCGCTGCGCCACGTGCTACTGCAGCTGAAAAACAAACAAGAGTACGTGTCGTACCGAGACAGCAAACTCACGCTGTTGCTCCAAGACGCCATCGGTACGACGAATATATATTTATATATATAAATATATTTTTGCATCGTCAGGGGGGCACGCCAAGACGCTGCTGGTTGTGTGTGTGAATCCATCGGGGGCGTGCGCGCACGAGTCCAAGTGCTCGCTGGCGTTTGGCGAACGGGCCAATGCAGTCGAGCTCGGCCGCGCCAAGCAGCACATTACCAGCAGCACGTCGTTGGTTCGTGGAAACAACAGAAAGCCCTAACGGTCGTATTCATACCCACCCACTGCTCGTGTCGATGGGCAAGTTGCGGTGGTGGTGGCTTGCTAAAAATAACGATAACATCAAAGTCTGCTACAATCGATTGTACATCTCATACCTGGTATAGAGTAGATGCATCTAACTTTTGTCGTTGGATGGTTTCAAGAGGTTGTCCACTTGTGAGAGCACCATGTCCTTCAAATGCACAGAATTGGGCTGCCACTGCGGCTCGAGCGCGTCGAGCATGCGGTCAATGTCGAGTTCGTACAGCAGCGGGTCGAAGCTCAATCGGTCCGTCGCGGCCTCGTAAAATGCGCGGCGCATTCGATCGAGTCGAATCAGTTCGTGGCTGAGTCGGCTGCATTCGTTGGCCAGTTGACTTGTCTCCATGATCAGTCGCTTGCCTTGCGTGACGAACGGCGCCAGCGACTGCAGCGCGCTCTCCCGCTCGCGCTTGAGTTTGGGGGAGACGCGGACCCTGTCGAAGTACGCGACCCACGCGTCCACGTCGGCCTCCTCGGCCGCCAATTCCTCATACGTGGCGTACTCGGAGTGGCACTCGCGGGTCAAGTCGGCCAATTCCTGCTCCAGCGCATCGATTTCTTCGTCCAAATCGAGCGGCATGAGCTCGGTTGTCATGGCCACAATCTCGTCGTATGCAATCGCCACATCTTGGGCAATATACAAGTCCTGCGACACTGCGACCGCCTTGGCCATTGTGTCGGTCCACACTTGAGCGCGGAACACGGCGTGGCTGCATGATGCCGCCATGTGCGCGTCCAGCTTGGCGCCGCCCTCGGCCTTCCATTGCGCCACTCGACCGTCGCGCACCTTTTTGTACACGTGCCGCTGCTTCCACGTCCGGTACGTCCGCTGCAGCACCACCGCGCTCGTGGCCTGGCGAGTGAGCATGTCGTTTGCAAACTGCTTCATGCGGGTCTTGGCGATTCCGCTCGCCCGGTCTTCGCTGTCCTGCCGCCGCTTCTTGTCCCGCAAGCCTTCGACCACCGCGCGCCATTTTTTCCATTCCACTTTGCGATGCCACCCCCGCTGGACGCATCGAGCGGCCGCGTCCATTTGGATAGCGTAGCGTTGGACGACCTTTCGTGTCAAATGGCCACGAATCCACGCCTGGATGTGCGTCGCCCGCTGGTGGCGATGGCGAATGTACGACGGAGCCATCCACCCCCGCGACCGCAGCGACTGGCGGTAAAACTGCACCAAAACGTGCATCGCGCCTTCTTGCACGAGGCGCCAGTGGCTCCACGCATGGGTCGCTGGGTACACCAGCCCTTGGTAGTACAGCGACCGGATCACGTGGTGCTTCCACTGCCGTTGACGACCCAAATACACCGCATACGCCCGCACTTTGCCCAGCCACATACGAAACGTGGCCTGGATCTTTGTCGCACTCGCATGGCGATGGGCCACGTACGCGCGGAACCGGGCGAGGCGCCGCCGTGTGCTATTCAACATGTGAGCATGCCGACATATAGATCCAGAATGTTAGTCCACAATCGTTAAGGGGATGGTTGGTCAGTACTAGTATCGAACACTCCACAACACATGCCCTTCCTCAAAAGAGGATGTCAAGATGATGATGATATAGCGACGATCGATCCATCCATTGACGTTACCGAATGTGGGCGAAAAACCGCTGCAACACCCGCGCACTTACGTCTTCCATGTACATTTGATGCAAGTGATGGCTCCGCTGTGCATTGGCCTTGACTCGGCCTCGATACCCCCGCCAGCATCGCTGCATACTCATGGCCACATGTGTCCCAGCATGTCGCTTGGTTTGCCATGGCTGGGCGAGCTTCAATTGGAAAATGCTGTGGGTGGCCAACAGACACAGCACGACAGCCGACGCGTAGCGCTGCTGGAGGACGTACGAGGCCGCCTGTTTACGGCCCATGCGGCCGCGGACAAGCGCTTGAATCGTCGTGGCGTTCGAAAACAAGTGTCGGCTCAACGCAATGCTTGCAAAGTAGGCGCGAAACGCTCGTTGGATCACACTGGCGCTGGCCGTTCGGATGCGCGCAACGTCCGACACGTACGCCCGTCGGGCACCGGCACGCCGACGGCCCAGAAACCCCCGCGCCACTCGATGCAGCGCCAAGCTGGCCAGCATCGTCTCGTAGCCGTTGAACATGTAGGCAAAGAGGGTGGTTTGTTCGGTTTGCAGCAAGGCCAAAGCTGTCACTCGACCGCGATGCCCTCGCACCAGCTGTTGCACCTGCAAGGCGCGGCGGTGGCGACAGGTTTTGTATGCCGTCAGTCGGTCCTGCCACTGAATTGTCACGAGCCGCCCTCGGTAGTACCGGTAGGCGCGCTGGATGGCGATGGTGGCCGCATTTTCGACGAAGCGTTTGCGGACTGCCGCGTCGAATGCGTCGGCGGCTCGTTTGGCGTCCACTTGGCGTCGGATGACGAGGCGAAGCATGAACACGCGCAGGTACCGGACGAGGACGCGGGCGGCGGCATCCCGTCGGACGGCGGCGTCGATGGCCGCTTGACGCACCTGAGCGGCCTCCGCGGCGGCAGATCGGATCGCTCGTACCCGCCGCTGGATGCGTCGAGCGCATTGCGCGCGAAAGTTGAGGCGGGTCCAACGCAGTCGACGCCGGAGTTGGTGCTCTCGGTACCGCTGCAAACACAGCCGCATCCACGTAATCACTTTGCACGCGGCTTGATGGACGGCGCGGCGCCGGGCGAGGAACCCCCCGATATCGAACGGTCTGGGCTCCAACCCCCCATCCCCCACTTGGCTTCGGGGGTGAGTCGCCGCGACGGCAGCGAGGCACGCCTTGGTCACGTTGGCACAGCCTCGTATGGTCAACGACATGAGTCGAGGGCAGACGATTTCCGGCTCGAGGCAGCACACGCCGATGTCGGAGATGTAGACGTTGCCGGCCACGTTGATATGCTCCAGGTGTCGACAGCTTTGGGTCAAGGTGACGAAGAGGTCGTTAGTCAGCTGGTCGCAGTGCTCGATGTCAAGGGACGTGAGCTGTGGAGTGACTTGGAGGACTCTTTGGAGGGACGACGTGGAGAAGCGGCGGCTGCGGGAGAGGTCGAGTGTGCGAAGGCTGCTACTGCAAGCGGTCAAGCAGAGGACGAGGGCGGCGCACACGTCGTCTGTCACAAGCGAGCCGAGATGGAGATCTTTGAACTGCCGAGAGGTCGCCGCTCGCAACGCCGCCGCCACGTGGTCTGGTTCACATGCACTTTTGGTGAAATTGAAGCTTGTGGCGGTGGAATCCACGAGCAATGCGCGCAAGCTGGCAGGCGGAAGCTTTGGCGCGGCGAAGAAGTTGGTGCTGTCCCCGGCGGACACGAGCATCCCCGTGACCCCAACGTCTGCCAAGAGCCGGCAGCGCGCCGCCAGCTCGACGTGCGCGATGCTGTCGATGTGAGGTACGCCGTGCAGGACGAGAGTCGACAGGTGCTGACACTGGGTCGCCACCGCCACCACGCCGATGGTACTGACGAGGACGCAGCCGGTGAGATCGAGAGCGCGCAGCTGAGTGCATCGGGCGGTGGTCGGGTGGAGTTCAAAGTCGGCGTCGTGTTCGCTTAGTACGGGCACGTACTGCACGAGGTGGGTGACGCCGACGTCCGTGATGTCACAGCAGCCGTTCAACGTGAGTACCTCGAGGTGCGGGCAGTGCTTACCCAACGCCATGAGACCGGCGTCCGAGACTCCGTGGGTGTGGGTGAGGTTGAGTCGGGTGAGTCGGCGGCCGCAGCCTTTGGCGATGTTTGGGAGGACAGAGAAATGAAGCGATTTGGTGTGGCTGAGGTCGACGTGGGCGAGCAGACAGGGGGAGAGCCGCTGCTGGGGAAGTGCGGCGTACATTGTGATGCCTTCGAGCGCGGGGAGGTGGGCGATGGTGATGTGCTCGAGCTTGAGGCAGTGGGTGAGAACCACGAGGAGGCCCGCGTCGGAGAGCTTGATGCAGCCGGACACGTCGAGCTGAAGCAGTGGGGTGAAGGAGCTGTGAGGGCGGTCGGCAAGGGCGTACAGACCTTGGTTGGTCACTTGAGTGCAATGGGCAATGCGTAGCGATTGCAGTTTGGAAAACGACCGAACAATAAAGGCAAACACAGCGTCGTGCACCCAGGGGTTGCTTGAAATGTCGAGATCGGCGAGAGATGCGGACGATGTGAAGGCGAAGAGGCCGTGGCCGAGCAGCTGCGGACAAGATCGGCAATGCAGGGTGCGCAAGGACGGCAAGCCGCCAAGGGACGTCAATCCCGCGTCAGTGAAGTCGGAGCATTCGTTGAGATAGATATGCTGCAGATGCTGACTGGGATTGGCACATGATAGTTGCAGTGAGGACAAGAGCGACAGGTCGGCGTCGAGGACCTTCCATCCGGACAAAGTTACTGACGTGCTCAATGTGGTGTGGAACTCATTTGTGTAGTAGAGGTCGATTGGAATGGAGCAAGTAACCGAATGTGATGGCAATGGAGCTGTCGTGGGGGCAGCAGGCACGACGGGGGCTCGTGGTTCTGAGAGAATGTGGAGGACGATGTCGCTGCTGCTGTCTGGACGGTTGTTGTTGCTGAGTGTTGCGTTTGGATCTATGGATGGTAGACGCGAAAGGTGGGGCTTGGGTTTGCGATGAAACATCTTGGCAAAGGAACTGGGGCGGGGAAGAAACGTGGGGGTCGTTGACCGAGGTTCCAATAGCTCTGGCAACGGGTTCGCCGTCACAGGAAGTGGTATGAGATACCCTCGGGTGCGAAGTAGAGTTGATGACTCTTGGAACACCCGGAAGCTTCTCTTGCGGCGAGATGTCGATGGCATTGACGGGTCTTCCTGTAGGGAATGGTATGGACTAGGAGACGATGGCACCATGGACTGTCTCCATCGGAAGGCGCGGCTTTTCGTGGAATTCAAAATCTACAGCGGGTCACCTGCGCAAATTAATATAACGCGCTCATTGAATTGTTTAGTATTTTTAATAGTACTACTACTAGTATGTTACCAAATTTACAGTATTACTACTAGTAATACAGTAATTACAAAACTATAAACTGACATTTGGCGTTATTTCGTGGATACCTACTTCGTTGTGTCATGACGCTGATCGTAGTCGTCTACGCGGGCATCGAGTGCGTTTCACTCCTCATGCTACTATTGAGGATAAGTCTGACGATGCACGTAGGTATGACCTGGAAGTTGACGCCAACGACACTGCCGCGGTCTTGTGCTTTCAGCTGTATTCGCTGCTGGGCGTAGACGTCGACTCGCAGGTCCTCGTGACTTCGACCGGTCACAAAGTCACACTCGACGACACTATCGCTTCGCTCACTGCATCAGCACCTTGGCTGTTGCTTCTTGACTCGACAACCCCCTCGTCATGCTTCAATCCGTCGATCGATTCCGATTGGAAAGACATTTGCACTCGCCTTGTAGCTCCAAACATTCCACTCGCGCAACCGGCATACAATCTCCACGGCATGGCGATCTGCCAGCCATGCGCCACCACCTGTGTCTCCACCTGTACCTTCCATTTCCAAGCCCCTTCCATCTTCGTCTCACGTCCATTTGTAGCCGGCTCCTTCATTGAAGCCGTCGAGAACACTGCCGATACTCGGGATCACATCCGGCAATCCTTCATCTGCGACCTCGCGGTCGTCGTGGGAGCTGCCGACGTCCCCGCACCTCTGGGTTTCACCAAGCTCAACGTGGATTTGAACCACACAGCGTCGGGACCGTTTGTGTTTTTGTGCTACAAACGAGGTCTCCACCTACCAATCCTTCCTTGACAACCACAATGTTCTTGTAACGCAGAAGTGTGTGTGATTTGCAGGAGGGAACCGTCGGCCCGTATCGCATGTGAAGGTTGTTCACGGCCTGCCAACTGCGCCCCCACAAGTCGACGGGTACGAGGTGCTGCCTGTGAACCTCAACCATGGCACGATCAGCTCCATCGGCATCTACCTCTGCGTCCGTCGGCTGGCTGCGGACGCATGGCGGCAGTTGTCCGGTCTGGCGTTGCACGACCTCCACGTGTCATCCTCTCGTGATCCGGGGGCGTTCGTCCTGTCCCAGGTGGACCTGAATGGAGGCAACGACGGCACCACGCCGCTGTTTCTTCGATACAAACTCAACCCCGTCGCTGGGTTTGTCTGCGGGTATAGTAGTTACTACTAGTAAGTACTAGTACTACATCCATGATGTAGAAAGCATGGGGAGTGTCTGTTTGAACCTCGCGTGACGGGGGGTCACGAGAGCGCCACGTCATGGACCCACCTCACATCGCAGCAGCAGATCGTGGCCGCGCAACACATCGATGCGACGCTCCGTCGGTCATGGAACGCGACGGCCGCCATCCATTTCGAGCGGGAAGAGGCCCGCTTGAAGCAGATGCTGGCGGGGCAGCTGCACAACACGCTCAAGTACGAGCGGCAGGACTACCAAGCCCAGGCGCTGGCCGCGATTCCCCTGGCGCGGCTGCACGAGCGAGCGCGAGCCAACCCGACGCCCCAGCCCACGTTCGAAGTAGGACCAACTTGACTCCAGTTGGACTTTGCCAAATCTATCGATGGATATCTCTGTGATGATGATTGGTATCACACTAATTGAAGTTAAACACTAATTGTTTTAATTGGGGACGTTGAGGATGGTTTTCTGCAATCTGATTGGCTAAAAATACTTTTGCCGATATGGTTAGTTTAGAATCAACAACACAAAACGAATATGATGACGGAGTGCTGTGGTGATAGATCGAAGTGCTGCGGCAGCTGATTACGTGGTTCAAGCACGAATTCTTCTCGTGGATGAACGCCCCTGCTTGTCGGGTGTGTGGGGCCCCCGACACACTCAGCATTCGCCAAGAAGGCCCTGTCACTCCCGAAGAGGTTGGTTGGTACATGCATTCAAGACCCGTAGAAGAAGAATGTGTGTCAACGACGGGAGTGTATGTAAACAACGAGGTGACGTGGTAGATTGCGGGCGAGGCGGGGCGTGTGGAGGTGTATGAATGCCGGTTGTGCCAGGCCATCACGCGGTTCCCTCGGTATATTTTTAATATTTTCACATTCGTCGAGTGATGGAATTAGCAATTCAATTTTTTAATTTTTATTTATTATTATTGTTTTGCAGGTACAACGACCCGACAAAACTGCTGCAGACGCGCACGGGGCGATGTGGCGAGTGGGCCAACTGCTTCACGCTGTGCTGTCGGGCATTGGGGTACGATGCGCGCTACGTCCATGACTTTACCGACCACGTGTGGACCGAAGTGTACAGCTCTCACCACGAGGTAAACTATATCAAAAGTCCATGATCACAGTGCACTTGTTTTCATTTTTTATTTATATTATTGATTCCATGTACAACGAAAGAGCCAGATCCAGTCAATCAAATTTCGCCATCATGAATCGACGTGATTGGCTAATCCCAATTTGAGTATGAATTTGATTGGCTCGGACAAAAGAGATTCAACAACCAATCGGAACTTTCAGTATTGATTACACGCCCAAAGGATTGGCAGTTGATATTACGAATTCACACTATATAGTATTATTTTAATATATTATTTTTCGATAGAGATGGCTACACTGCGACCCGTGCGAAGACCAGCTGGATTGCCCGCTGACGTACGAAGTGGGGTGGGGCAAGCACTTGACGTACATTTTTGCGACTTCGGTCGATGAAATCGTCGACGTGGCACGGTACGTACGCCTTGGAATATATGGGTTGACCGACCTTATCATGCCATGGGGGTGACAACTAGACGATACACGCGGGACTACGACGCCATGCTGGAGCGGCGGACGATGGCGAGGGAACCGTCTCTATTGCGCATATTGAGTGACTTGAACGCCACGAAAACCCACGCGCCCGATCGGAAACTCGTGCGTATTTCGGATAGAATATTATAATATTAATCATATATATATTAGATTTTGGCGACGCGGGCAGCGGCGGAAGCGGTCGAGTTGGCGGCCGTGAAGGAAGCCAAGACTCATGAGACCGTCGGACGGGTATCTGGATCCAAGGAATGGCGCGATGCCCGCGTCGAATCGGGCAATGCGTCCGGCAGTGCCGAGCCGCCGCCGACTTCTGTTGTCTCGTCGACGCTGACCACTGGCGCGGCGTCCGTGTTGGACGTGAATCAAGAGTTGCGCAGGTTGGTGTTGCTGGGATAGCTGTAGACGAATTACAAGTTGACCTATTGTCTAGTTTACTGCAACGTATGCTGCAAGGGAAGGGCTGCAGCTTTGCAGACTCGTGTGTGAACCCGTTCTGTTTGCACTCGCACGTGAAAGCACCAGGTACACAACTCCCATATATCCCTACCCTCCATATATTGAAGATATGTTCGGCTTCGTAATATATATATACTATTAATAGTATTGTGCTGCTTTCTGCCAAAGTTTGGAGATATGTGCTTGCTACTTCGCGAAATCCGTCGGTCGAGTTTTTGTACTGAAATTTGTAAAATTTGTGTAGCCATTCACACTATTTCAAGTCACATACTAATTATTCGATAACTTGATTGGCCATTTGAAAATGCTCTAGCATTTGATTGGTCAGTCGATTTGGTTGTGCTCATTTTTAGTATTCAAGTGACTCCACATTCAAATTGACTTGACAAATATCATTGAATAAAGTAATATATATCTGCAATATATGTCTTTGATAGGGTTTGACTTGACTTCGTACTCGGCCACTTCTATTCAATCGATTGTACATCTCCAAGACGCATCTGCCCAAGGTCTCACGGCGTTAACCTGCTCGGAACCAGGTACGATTTACTAAAAGTCGTTCCTGTCCAATCGCCTTGTTTGGTCGTAGGATCGTTCCAGTCGTCGCTGCTGGCACTGCCGTTGGCGTTGTACTGGCCGCTACAGGATCACGTGTCGGCTCTGGTCGTGGATGCATCCGGACGCGGGCGCCACGGGATCAACGTCAACTGCCCTGTGCAAAAGCCATTCGCGGTCAAGTTTAGTCGATTCAACACTGGGCTTCAGCTCGTGCCTTTGACTCCGCCTCGATCGCTGTCGTCCGGGGTCTCGACCTCGACCTCTTGGACGTTGCAGTGGCTGTTGAGATGGCATGACCAGGCCGTGGAGGCGCTACGACCTCCCAACGCCGCGCCGTCGACGCCGTTCTTGCATCTATCACCGTCCCCAGACCAGCCCTTGTTGTTCCACTTGGCCTACACGGACGCTCTAACGTATGTGTTGCTCTCCGATGACCATGTCGTTGTATTTTCGTTCTTTTACCCAAAATTTGGTTGACTTTTGTGCTGATTTCGCCAAATCTATCGATATATATCGATACTTTGTACGGAATGTTGTATTGACAGTAAAAACGTGTTTTCGTGTACTCACACTAATTTACATAACACATAAACGTTCACGATGGCTAAATCGTTGTGCCGCTTCATTCTTGTGAAATACTTTTCCTTGTGTCGATTATTCATTCTCCGTGTCACTCCAGTTTAGCATAAATACCACATAACACTACCGTAGGCTGGAATGGCTTGGTCCTCCCGACACGACCGCCGCGGGGTCCTCTGCCAGCGACTCGCTAGCAGTCGACACCACGTACCACATGGCGCTGGTATCCGCGTCGGGGGTGGTGACGTGCTTTGTGAACGGCGTCGCCGTGTTCGAAACCCGCCCTTTGACGACTAATCCTATCCAACTCGCCAGCTTTGAGTTTGCCGTCGCGCCTTCCCCACGTTCGTCCGTGTTGCCGCTGCTGAGCCACGTCGCCCTCGTCACGCGAGCGTTGTCGGCAGAGGAGCTCCACGCGCTGGCCCGAGCCGCCGTGCCCTCCCCACGACTCGTGGCGGGCGGCGCTGACGATTTCGTCGATCCGTCGGTCACGTGCTTAGAGTCGGTGGCGTCAGAAGACTCTGGGCATCGCGTGTTGGCCGTCCATCGTACGATCCTTCTCCTCCTTCAGGATAAAGCATCATCGAGAATGCTTGGGTGTTGTAGTGTGGAGCGGTGATTTCTTTGATGGCGTCCAACTGACTTATGCAAATACCTCCACTGGAGTCGTGACGCCAGGACGGGCGTGGGCCACGACGACGGCGGCGGGTGCGACCAAGCAGACGCTGCAGCTGTTGGAAGACGAGTTCATCGTCCAAGTGCGAGGACGCCGCGGGGCGTGGATGGATCAGATGAGCGTGACCACCAACTTTGGACGGTCGCTCACAGCGGGAGGCACCGGCGGCGGGCCCTTTGACGTGTTCATTCCTGCTGGGTACATGGTGCGGGCATTTAGCTTTGACATCGGAGACCACGTCAACCAACCTGTCGTCTTCTCGTGTCCGGCGCCGCGAGGTATATAAAAGGACGAAGAACATGAATGACAGAGTATATGTAGGACCCGTGTATGTGACGTTGAAGGCAGCCAAGGCATCGCAAGGGAAAGCTGCGGTCGAGCTTGCAGCGCAAGGAGGTAACGCTAGCTCGTCTTTTGCCCCTAGGCTTACTTGTGTGGTAGTGGTGCGATACCTGACAAACCTCGCTGACAAGCCGGACAACGAGACCTTCCACAAGATCAAAGCAACCAACTCGTATTTCCAAAAGAATGTGGCGCCATTGGGGGGTCATCTCGATGCTGTCTTTGATGCATGTGGATTCGATCACGTAGAGGAGGATGGAGGTGATGTCTTCTTCGTCTACCGGAAGCATGCAGCTCCGCCACATGCCGTCCGCCGCGCTCTCTACGACATTGCGACCTTTCTCGCTGTGGAAAAGTAGATTGCACCTTTGAATCCACCAATCAGACATGCGTATTTTTGAATAGCCAATGAAAACACTTTATTGTCGCAATAACCAATCAAAAACGTTTGTTTTCAAAACCAACTCGGTCGCACTGCAATAATGAAAGGAATCCCGAATGGTGAGAGCACCTTGAAGATGTCCAGGTTCTCATGCAGCTTGTGTACATGTGTACCTCGCAGGAGTCCTAGAGGATATCTTAGCGAAGCATGTTCCCGAGGGCGCCGAGATCACAAACGGCGCCGTGGACGTCGTTGCCGCATGCACTGAAGGTATGGCTCGACATGACGGCAACGGTTGGGAGGTTTCTCGCTCTTGGACGTTGCATGATAGAATTCGTTCGCGTGCTCCTGGCAAGAACCAACGAGATTGCGCGCGGCCAAGCAAAGAATGACTTGGTGCGAATGATGCCTGGTCATGTGCTGCAAGCGCTCGAAGCGTTTCCAGGCCTGCATGCGAAAATGCCATGCCTCGAGGACTCGCAGGTAGTCGACCCATTTTCAATTAATGTGTTGATATCCTCGTACCATGTATATGTCCAGTCCAAGAAAGCTGGCGCGTCGAAGAAGCGAAAGTCACGGGCCAAAGCGCACAATGCCGACGACGACGCCGACCTCAAGGCGGAGCAAGCCGCGCTGTTCAAGCGCGCCGCCGCCGAATCCCAGCATCGCCACATTGTCGTTCCGAAGATCATTCCTTCCACAGAGTATCGCGATGAGTAGTTGCGTTGGAGTTGCCCAGTTAGTTAGCTTTGGCGGTAATCCTGAATGACGTGGCGCGTTCACCGACCACAAATGTTCTCCACTCTTTCGCGCAATATGTTATCCGGATCAAACCCACACTTATCCGGATAAATCATTTTGCCTCAAAGTACACCGAGATACGCGTCATCTGTCTGTAGTCATGGCGGTGTCGTTGCAAGACAAGCAGAAAGGTAACGCATGAAGATGATGCGTGGGCTCACTTGCATGCAGACATGTTGCTCCGCATGCTGGAATTCAACGTTGATGGCGGATCGGACGCGGCGAATGCGTACGAATCATGACCGGCTGTCGAAGTCGTGAATGTGATATATGTGCGTAGTGACCGATGGGGCGAGCAGTGGAAGGTGTTGGTGTACGATCACTATTGCCGTGACATCATCTCGCCCATCCTGAAGCTGCACGAGCTGCGCAAGAAGGGCGTGACGTTGCACATGTTGCTCGAGAACGATCGCGAAGAAATCCCAGACGTACCGGCGATCTACTTTGTCCAGCCGACAACGGCCAACCTCGAGCGCATCATCCAAGACAGTACCAAGGAACTGTACAGCGCCATGCACTTGAACTTCGCCACGCCGATTCCCCGCGACAAGCTGGAAACGTTTGCGAAAGGCTGCGTCGACGCCGGGTGCACTGCGATGGTTTGTCCTTGCATCGTTACAATCGCCGTGTCGTTATGACGACGTTGGCGTACGTAGATTTCCAAGGTGTTTGACCAGCACGCCAACTTTGTGTCGCTCGAGCCCCAGCTGTTCTCTCTGAATCAACCAGGCAGCTACGTCGCGTGCAACGACGCGCACTCGTCCGACGCGACCATCGACGCCACCATGTCCAGCATCGCCCAAGGTACCCCCCCCCCTCTCTCTCTCTCTCCATCCATCCATCCATCCACCCCCCCCCTTTCCATCTTGACCTGCAGGCCTCTTCTCCGTCTTGGCGACCCTCGGCACTGTACCTGTCATCCGATGTCCTCCCACCGACGGCCCGTCCCGCCTCGTCGCGGAACGCCTCACGCAAACCCTGCGCGACCATTTGGTATGACGATGATCCTGTACTTGACACCTCCCATGCTTGCATGATGTAGACCAAGCGCAGTGGACTCTTCAACGACGCTGCTTCGTCGTTTCAGGTATGTTGATATCCGACTAGAACACTTGCCCATGAATGGACTCGTCATTGGATGGATGGTTGGGGGGCTTACTATTATTGATCCTAATGTTTCCAGCGCCCCGTGCTCATCATTCTGGACCGCAACGAAGACTTGACGGCGATGCTCCACCATCCGTCCACGTACCAGGTATACCCGTTGTCATCCATGGTTTTGTAATATATATATAATTGAAATGTGTCCAGCAATATATATATATATATATTCAATTCTGGACATGCTCACGTCGCTACATTCCTGTTCACTCTTCATGTCGACCGACGAGTGTTTTGGACCTGCCTGTCTTTCCTATTCATAGGTTTGTAATATATTATTGAAATGTTATCGAGCAATACATATATATATATATATTATTGAAATGTTTTCCACCAATATATATATATATATTCGATTGTGGACATGTTCACGTCGCTACATTCCAGTATACTCATTCATATCGATCGACGGGTGTTTTCGACGTGCCTGCATATATACATATATATATATATACATATATACATATATATATATATATACAGAGTATTGATGGTTTATGGCAGGCATTGGTGGACGACATGCTCGGCATCAAGCTGAACCGTGTGGCGTTCAGAGTCCCCAACGACAAGGGCGTGGTCGTGGACAAGTCGCACGACTTGGACGTCCAAGCGGACAAATTCTTTAGCGCGACGGCCGGTCTGTTGTTTCCAGATGCGATTGCCAGTCACGAAGAAGAGCTCAAGGTGGTGCTCAAGAAGGAAAAGGACATCTCGGCCAAGGTAATTCCTCCGCTTTTGACTGCGTCCTCCAACCATGCTATCACGAGGCTGGCGGAGGCGGCAACAGCACCAAAGAGCTGGCGGCCGCCGTGGACACGCTGCCGGCGCTGCTCGAGATGAAAAAGACGCTCGAAGTGCACACGAACGTGTTTCAAGCGACCATGGACGCCGTCACGACGCGCCAAGTGCCCGAGTTCTCCATGTTGGAGCAGCGATTGATCGAAGGGTTCAACGTCCCTGCCGCCGAAGTCGTGGCGCTGCTCAGTGAAAAGGTATCATTAGTAGTTACCAGTTCCTGTGCGGATTTACAGTTTTTGTCATTTTACCCAAAATTTGGACTTTTGTTCCTATTTTTCGCCAAATCTATACATCGTGTTCTTGACTTTGTCAAAACACGTCGAGGGTCACACTAATTTCAGTCACACACTAATTTGATGTGTATGGATAATTTGATTGGCTACTTGACTCATGTTGGGGAGTTATATCGATTGGTCGTATATCGATTGTCTGTCGACCAATTTCGAATATATCGTATCAAAACGTGTCGAAGGTCACACTAATTTCAGTCACACACTAATTTGATGTTTATGGATTATTTGATTGGCTACTTGATTCATGTTGGGGGGTTATATCGATTGTCTGTCGGCCAATTTCGACTCTATCGACTTGGCAATCGCTTGTTGTGTATCAAAGTACAGTATATATGGACGATATCTCTTGCACACGTCGATATATCAAGAGCGAGCTCATCACAAGATTATCTTCTGGGTTCAATGGGTCTATCTCATCTTGGTGTATGTCTTGTATGGCAGGGCAATGCTGAAGACAAGGTGCGGCTGCTCATGATTTACTACCTAACGACAGGCGCATCGAGCCGAGAGATTGCCGAATTTGAAGCGATTCTGCGACCCCCAGGAAGCTCGACGACGGGTCCACTGGCGGCGTTCGACTCTGCGTGGAAGTTTATCAAGCAGCACACGTCGCTCCAAAAGCACGCAAGTGTCGGCTCGTCCTTCTCGGACTCTGCGTCCAACAACAATGCGACCGCCGCGGCCAAGCTCAAGGGGCTGGCTAACAACTGGGCGGGGAGCTTTGCAGGCCAGGCCCAAGGCTGGCTCACTCAAGCCGCGGAACAGTTCAAGAACTTTCTTCCCGAGAACAAAAAGCTCCAGGTGACTCGCGTCGCCGACGCCATCTCGGAACTGCGGTATGACCGTCCACATGTGGACAACGATGATGGTGATGATATGGGAATGATGATGGGGATGTAGACCCAACACGGAAGACGAGAGCTACCTGTACTTGGACCCAAAGATCAAAGCTGGCGGCGGCGGACAAGTGCCGCGCCAGCGCACGCCCTTTCGCGACGTGATTGTGTTTGTCATTGGCGGCGGCAACTACAACGAGTACCAAAACTTGCAAGCGTATGCCAAGGTACACACATGAACGAAGCTGTTGTCGACAGATTCGTGACGGAGTACGAGTAGGCGCAACCGGCGACACACCCGCGGCATGTGCTGTACGGTTGCACGGAACTGCTGACCCCGAACGAGTTTTTGGCGCAACTCAACCAAGTGCACACGTAACAGTATCTAGTCGTTGCACGTGCATGCATGCTGCTGTGGCCTAGCCTAGGCTGATGAGGATACACGAGATGATACATTTACTTTTCAAACGAACTCCACGCCACCGTGCCCTTGGTCTTCGACGCGACCGCCGCGTCTTGCTCGATCAATCGGTCGAGGTACTTTGACAAGTACGCGAGGCCGACGCAAAGCCCCATGGCTGCCACGCTACACAGACACACACGACGTGAGGTGCTGGCGACGACAGACACATGCGAACCCGCTCCATGTAGTTTGTTACCTTTGCTTTGTCGAGATGTTGCGGAACGGGAGGAACATGCTGACTGTGCAAATGATTGCAAATGGATTACTTGTGGTATTATTGACCAATGAAAGTGGTTTATTCCGAAGCGTCCAATCAACACTCAGCAGAACATAATTGGGCCAATCCAATCGCACCTTTCAATTCACTGTGATCGTCATTCCCAACTCGCAACCTTCATGTAACCTTAGCTCTAGTTTGGGTGACTGGAGTTGCTGTGGACTGACAAGGGCTGACCAACGATGGACTGGTCGTGAGCAAGATGCTCGCGTTGGTTGACTGACACATACTACATGACAAATGGGTTGATTATTTAGAGATTTCGATGCCAGGTAGTAGGCTTATACTATTGTCTGCGCACCACTTCTGGACAAAGTGATGTGATTGATAATGAATTATAATAGGAATCATATCGCATTCATAACTCCCGAATAGACCTGGATTTTGGCTTCATGTAACATATTCTAGAATTATAATCCGATACCTACGACTCGAGTTACAAGCCTTTCCCCTTTTCCGGCAGCGTCCAGAAAAAGTGTTCTTAAATTGGACTTTTACGTTAGTGGTATACCGAAAGGTAAAGCTCAAAGAGTCCATTCTCGGGCTCGGACAGGCCAAGAGTCTCACTATCACACGCGTCCAAAATGATACAGCAAGCATCTTGTCTTGCAAGTGGCCCCGGCTTTGCCTTTGCGATCGAAGTCCCCGCACAAGCAGCGTATACTTGCCTTTCGGATACTGTATCCGGAATGCAAATGGGCATTGTGCTGATATTTGTGGCAATGAATTGGCATTTTTCTATGAATGACATTGATTTGGCCATGAAAGGATAGTTTTGGACGTGTTTTGGCCATGAAATGACATGTTTGGCCATGAGTTGACATGTGCTTGCAGTTAGGACACATCGGAACGGGGGATGGACAAGGATGGGTATTTGCAACAAACAGGTTCATCGACCCCCACATATTTTCATGCACGTAGCAACGACGGCGTACAAAACAAGCAGCCAACGAACGGCACTAACGTAAAGGATCTATTTACGACGCACGGACCTATTTATGATCTCTTGGAATTAGCCAATCAAATAACAAAAATATTAGGCGGGATAACCTCTAAAAACCGATACCAGTGACGCGCGAAACCGAATTTTATCGTATTGGATCACCTCTGGTACTGCGCGGCCATGCCCACCCCTCGGAGTCGCTACACAACGAAGGAACTTGACGCAGCGGTGCTGACCGTGCTCGCAGGTGAATGTGGCAAGATCGTGTCGTTGAAGACACGAATTCCGTACAGCACACTCATGCGAAAGATGCGTGAGTCCCGTGCCGGAACAAGAAAAGACCCGCAGCGCAGAGGCCCAAAGACGTCAATTCCGCAGCCCTGCGAAGCCGATCTGGTTGCCTGGATTGGCGCCATGCAACAAAACGGGTACCCTCCCAGCCGTCAAGCCGTCCTTGTCAAGGCCACGCAGATGCTGCGCCGTATCGACCCGCTCCAAACAGCGCTTACCAGCGGGTGGTACAAGAAGTTCCGAGCTCGACACAAGAACTTGACAAACAGGGTCGCCCAAGTAATCTCGCGTGCGCGAAACTCTGTCGACGAAGCCGGCGTCGATCGTATGTTCAACTCCGTGCACAAGACAGTCATCGAGAACAAGCTCACAGCCGACCGCATTTTTAACATGGACGAGACGGCGTTTGCTTCGCGCCGGAAGTCGAGTACGGTAATTGCGCTAAAGGGTTCGCAGAATGTATGGGCAAAGACAGTGTCTCCAAGTTTTCATTTGTCTATTGTTGCATGTGTTAGTGCGTCTGGGAATATTATGCCACCACTGTTTCTTTTTCCTGGTGAAACTGTTGCCAAAAATTTGAGTTTTGAATCTTCTGTGGTTAACGCCACAGTTACAACATCTCCCAAAGGTTTTATGAATGAAGTCATTTTTAAATCTTGGATTAAACACTTCTCAGAGTCATTAACGGTTTTGCGTCCTGTTCTTTTGATTTTTGATGGGCTTGCTGCCCATTTCTCGTCAGACATTGTGGACTTGTGTAAATCGCTGGAAATTATATTGCTTTGTTTGCCCGCGAATGCCACGCATCTTTTCCAACCCTTGGATGTTGCTGTCTTTGGTCCGTACAAAACTGCAATTCGAAAGGCAATGTTTAAAGAATTGGTATCAAACGGTATATAAACAACTAATTTACTGAGATTCAAATTGTATTAACAATGATATAGTATTAACAATGATATAGATACTGGGGATGTTTACACCATCGCGAAGCCAGCGGCACTCCGAATTGCGTCAACAGCGTGGACTAAGAGCATGATTCCCGCGAACGCAATCAGTGGGTTCAAGGCAACAGGCCTGTGGCCCCTATCAAAGCCACCACAAATGATGAAGCGCTTTGGCTTATTCAAGCATGGGGGTGTGCCCAAGTCGTACCTGCAAGCGTACTGGATCGAGCGTCGGGATGTACTGCGTCGCGAAATGTTGACCCTGCCAGCGGATGAGAAGAAAAGGGCCTCTGGAAGATCAACGATCGATGTTGGAGGTCGAATTCTTACCTTGGAGTTGCTGCACGAAGTGGACAAGACGAAGGAGCAGCGCCAGGCAGCCACGAAGCGAAAGAACGCGCTCAAGGCCACGCGAGGAAAGCGAGGAAAGCCGATTGTCTTGTCGAAGAAGGCCTTGATGTGGGCCCGGATCGCTGGATCTCTTGGCTTGGCTCCATTGCCTAATGGACGTGCAAATGCCGTTAGAGTAGATGCTGTGGAATATGTGCTTTGATACCAATCCAATCGCTGCTGTGTTCGTTGTTCTTGCTGTTGTGTCTGGCGCTTGTTTCAGAATGATTCACTTTTAATTCCAACGTGGAAAACTTTATATCCTCTATAAACAAGTGTAAATCCTGTCGAGACTTAATAACCTAACCCTCCAAAAAATATGCATTTGGCAATACAGTATTCAAGTAATTTGTGTGCGCCGTAAATAGATCCCCAAAATCTTGGTAATTTTGGTTTGTTATTGGAATTCTAAGACACTACATCTGCCAGGAACATGTCAGTCACCACACATCAGGCTGGATTCACCAGAATCTCCCATACACTCAGCACTTGTTAGATCGTGAATCCGATACCTTGCTGCTGAGATATCGCCCATCAAAGCGAGATGCCCGATTTGATGCGTCGTAAATAGATCCTTTACGTTACACGCGAAAGGTGGCGACGACGCCGCGGTGGTCGGACGCGTACACGGGACTGTCCTGAGCCTGGCTGAGCATGCCGTTGTCTTTCGGAAAGTGCGCCGAGTCCGCCGTCGGCGCCTGGCCAAACACATCGCATGAAACAGCATGGCCTTGGCCTCGCGACAGCACAAAGTCGATGCGCTTGACGGGGTCATCACTCGGAAATGTGAACGCGTGCTCGACATGCACCTTGTCTTTCGATTTGGGCTCGGGTTCTTCGTGATGGACTTGCAGCCACGCGTCGCGGAGGTCCGTGGTGTGGCCGTGGAGGGGCATCTTGCCTTGGAGGAACTGGATGCCGTGGGACTGCGGCTCGGCGTTCAGGTCCCCCAGCAGCACCTGAGTCACACCCTTCCCTTGCTGCATGAACTCCCACACTTCGACCATCGTCTGCTCCCGCGACCGCTCGCTCAGTGACAGGTGCGTCACGTACACATCGATGACGCCCCAGTGCGGCACGTCCACCTAGATCGCATGAATGTCATCTATCATCATCACCGTTGCCGCAGAGATGGCGTGACTCACCGCTGCATGCAGACACAGTCGGTGATGGGAATCATTGGGGTCGTCCACGACGCGGGAGAGGAGGACGTAGTCGGAGGTCAGGATCGGGTGCTTGGACAAGATCGCCGGCCCCTCTTCGACATGTTCCATCGGGTTTTGGTCGTTAGGGTATGCCATGGCCGGTCGGTACACGTACTGGTACGCAGTGCCAAGGCGGTCCATAATGTGCTAACATGTAGCAGCGTAACCAACACGATGAGCGGCACGTCCATTCAGTTGTACCTGGATCTGGGCGTGGTGGCCGACAGGGCCAAACGAGTTGTCCACGCGAACTTCTTGCAGCCCGACGATATCGGCGTCCACTTGACGGACGAACGCAACCAAATGGTCCATCCGCCGGCTGTACATGCTCCAGCGATTGGCGTGGCCATACACGACGCCGGGGGGGTTTACGTTCCATACATTGTACGTGGCAATCTTGGGCTCGGCAAAGGACGACGATGGGGCGTCGGGAGGTGGCGCCGATGGAGACACGAGGATGGCAGGAAAGTGCGAATGCTCCAGCACCACATACGAGTGTTCTAGCGTGTTGAGGTGCACGACAGCGCGGTGGCGAGTGGTCGATGTGACGAACGTCAGGTGGAAGTTGACGCCGTGGTTCACGCGGACACGTATCGAAGATGACCCTGAGCTGACGTAATTGTACGCGACGACTTCCCAGGGATGGACTCCGTCGCGTGACATGTCGAGCTGCAGCACGGTGGCGTCCTCGAGAGTGACGTCCTGCCTGGACATGCGAAAATGGGCAAGTGCGGCGGCTAGCGCCGATTCTGCAGCTTCTTTCGAGCTTGGCTCGATGTGGTAGAGGATGTTTCCGTACGCGAGAGCATTGGGACGTGGACAAGTCGAGGTGCTACCAAGAGAGCACGTCGACGAGGAGGCAAAGACGTCAATCACCGACGACGCCGGGACCACCTTGGAACGAACATGCTCGGATACTGTATGAGAAGTCACTTGCACTCCCTGGCTAAACATGGCAGGTATGTGCCTCCAAGTGTCGATGCTACCTTGGCCGTCAACCTGCATCACAGCCCACAACGCGGCGACGACGCTGAGGAGCCGCATGATGATTGTGATCTTTTCACCAGGGGTGACTTGACGACATTCGAATCCTCCAATGGGGATCCAAATTGAATCTATTTGAACCAATCCAAGGTCATCTTAACTCTATTTGTATCCAATCATAGAACAGATATGGAGCAATATCCGGATAATGACCATGGCATCTCGGCCAATGGTTGGCATGAAAACGACTGGAACTGCCAACTTCAATTCAGTAGTTGTCATGATTTCCGCGCTTGCATGGGTTCCGCGCGGCGCGTCCAAGCGCGTGCCGGACAAGTTTGTCCTGTCCAAGGAAGAGGTGGATATGATGACGCAACTGGCGCAAGAAGACGAAGAAGAAGAGGAAGAAGCTGCTGCAGCGGAGGAAGGTGAGGACGATGATGACGACATCGAAGGCGAGGACCCCGAAGAGGATGCCGACATGGAAGGCGACAACGACGAGGACAACGAAGCGTTGAAGGAGTTCAACATGGATCAATACGACGAGGAAGACGATGAAGCTGCCGTGAAGGACTACCTGCAAGGCAACGGCGCGGAGATTCCAATCGAAGACGACGACCAAGTCCCCGACGACATTGAGGACGACGACGAGGACAAGGCCGACATGGAGATCCGATCCACCGACTCGGTGGTCCTTGTGTGCAACACCGAGGAGGACTTTAGCAACTTGGAAGTGCACGTGTACGAAGAAGACACGGGCAACTTGTACGTCCACCACGAGATCAACCTGCCGGCGTTCCCATTGGCGCTGGCGTGGATGGATATTGCGCCGCTGCCTCCCGTGAATGGTGTGCCTGTGAACGGTAGCTTTGTTGCGGTGGGGACATTCAAGGCGGGTATTGAAATCTGGAACTTGGACGTGCTGGACGTGTTGGAGCCCACGGCAACGCTGGGGGGCGAAGCCAACGCTTCCTTCCGGTATGTCCTTCGTTTACTACTATCCCCCTCCCTTGCATTTTGTTCATAAACACTCAACAAAGATCATCATCATGTTCGTAGGGATGTGGCCATTTCCAAGGCCATGCGCAAGAAACACAAAGCCGCGTTGAAACCAGGCTCCCATCAAGACGCGGTGCTCGGCCTCGACTGGAATGCCGGCCACCGCAACATGCTCGCAAGTGCATCCGCCGACGCATCCGTCAAGATCTGGGACGTCACGACCCAGCAGTGCATGCACACGATGACCCATCACACGGACAAGGTCCAAAGCGTCAAGTGGAACCCCGTCGAGTCGACAATCCTCGCCAGTGCATCGTTCGACCGGAGCCTCGTCGTTCTGGACGGCCGCGCGCCGCAAGCGTTCTCCAAGTTCGCCTTGTCCGCTGACGTCGAGTCGATGGTGTGGCATCCGCACAGCCCCAGCACCCTCGTGGCATCGACCGAGGACGGGATCGTAGTCGCCTACGACGTCCGCAAGGGCAGCTCGGCGGCGCCACTCTACCGATTCCAAGCCCACGACACGGCCGTGTCGGCCATCTCGTTCTCACACGCGTTGCCGGGTCTCTTTGCCACCGCCGGCACGGACAAGCACGTCAAGATCTGGGACCTGGAAGGATCGACGCCGCAGTGTATCGCTTCCAAGGACATGCAAGTGGGCGAACTCCTTACCCTGCAGTTCTACCGCGACTCGCCCTTCTTGCTCGGGGCTGGCGGCACGGGCGGCGTCCTCGCGCTGTGGGACACATCGGAAAACGATGTTGTCGAGCGCAAGTTTTCCACACGCGCCGCCAACATTGGCAACCACCCCGTGCCCCAAGCGACGGGGGGGCTCACGCTCGGCGCGTCGTTCAAATCGGCCAACGACGTGGCCGACGAGTTGCTGCGGGAAGAGGACCAAGCACAGGCGGCCGCCGCCAAAGCCGCCACCGGCAAGAAAAAGAGCAAGAAAACCAAGAAATAAACACATATACAGCATCAATGACCTATTTCTATATAAAACGAGGCAACTGGCGCCATAGCTCCATACTAACATTATGTACTACTTCGAAGTACTTTACTACGTAGTAGTAGTACAGTATATATTAAGAGATCCAACGAGATCGCCATGGTGGTGGTGGTTGGTTGGGAATCCCAATACCGTTGCTGCCGACGTGTGGTAGCCGGCTAGCCTAGATTTTGCCTCGTTTTCACAGCTTCTGGCTACAGAACCGGCTCACGAGCTTCGAATGAACAGCTAGTACATCGACACCCAACCGGTTCACTGCTTTTGGCTACAGTACCATTGCTCGCTGGCTAGCGCGAATGAAATCAGCGAAGAAACTGTATTGTAAAACTATGGTAAGCTGGCCAGCTTGGAAGTAGCATGTATAGGCTACCGTGTTTTATCCGTACGAGTGGTCGGCTAGTGTGGTTGATATCGTTCACTGCGTCTGGCTACGGAACGACGTTGGAAGGCTGCTTGGCGAGGCGGGAAGCGAGGCGCTGGACATGCTGTTCGTGCTGCGCCAGTTGACGCTCCATGCGCTGGCGCTCCCGCTCTTGTCGCGCGGCCTCGCGGGTTTCCCGTTGGGCGATTTGGTGGGGTGTCTCTCCTCGCAGGGCGAGATCGATGTGGTGCATGACCGACTGCATCGTTTGCAACTCATGCTGGACATCTATGGCTTCGTCCACTTCAAGATCATGCACAACTTTGAGGGCGTCGGCCATAGCTCGGGGCGAGGGCTGGGAAGAAGGTGGAAGATCTAGAATGCGACTGGAGGACGGAGATGAGGGTGGTGACGCATAATGGGAGCAGCTGCCGTCTAGGACGACCGGAGGCACCAGTGGTGCATGGGTGGGAAAGCACGAGGAAGAGGCTGTGGGTACTGAGGCATCTGCTACGGCCATCGCAGGAAGGGCAGCAGAGAATGCTGTGCAGGTGTCGGATATTGGAGTGGCGTAAGTGGCAGTTGTAGCAGTGGGAGGACCTAAATATTGACACGATGACAACAATATGGGGTGAATAGCAAGTACTGTAGGCATGAAACGACGGGTACTTTGGAACGGCAGACGGCGCCGGAATCGATGGGTACAACGATGAACCAGTTGTGAGAATGGGTGATGCCGATGACGAGGCCGACGCTGAGTGTCGGAAGGGTGGAGGACACGGCGTCGGTTGAACTGTCGGAGGGGTATCACGTAATGAAGGATACCGCATCGGAGTGGAGGAAACGAATGAGGTGGCGGGTGTCGCTGGCACATCGAACTCGTCCATTAGAGTGTGCTTCATTGAGGCAATGCTTGCACGTGTAGATGTTGCCTCTGGCTGGTCGAATTCGTCCATCAACGTGTCATCGTATGTTGCCATGTTGGAATAGAAAACAGGAATGTCGGCATGGCACGACGTACACTCTTCAAAAAATACAATGTTGGTGATACTCCAGGTATTATCATGACCGTTTGAAGTGATGTGGCAATAAATCGACCTCACGATTTGATTCGCCAAAAATACATTAATTGAGCCAATCAAACAGTATTTCCCTGAGTCTGGGAATTTAACATCAGGAATGACAAGTCTAAACGACGGCAGCATGAGCGCCAACACAGTTTACCATTGTCTATTTGTCTAGGGTTCTCCTGCAAACATGTACTACGTCTCGTGTTTTCATGACAACACGGTACTCAAGACCACCGGTATTAACTTCACCCAGTATACTAGTACTATTAATAGTATGAGTTTAGAGCAAGTCCGAGAATACTGTTATTCATATTACACGTATACTACGTAGTAGGTACTAATTACCACGTACTATTACCGGTACCAAAATAGTACTACGTACTACTACGTAGTAGTACTGTATTAATATACTAGTACTTGAAGTAAATACGTACAGTAGTATTAATACTACTGAAGTACTATTAATATTGATAGTTCTTCGAAGTATTAATACTGGTAGTGCCAGTATCGGTAGTTAATGTGATTCTATAGAAATGGCCCAAGAGCAATACGGAGTACTCCGAAGTACACGGTAACTACCTTGTACTATTAACTAAGCTTCATAATATTATTATACTATACTATGAAAAGTAGGTCGAAGTATTATTATTAAAAATATTAATATACCAACAGATTGGATTTACATTTTGTACGAGCGGGTACAACAGGAGTAAAACTAATATCATTGTACAGCATCAGGAGGCCATACATACCGTCCGTCACACACGAGTGTTTGGTCGAGGTGACAACGAGGACTGTTTCATATTATTACGCCATCTTTTTGGAGTTTGCTTTGGCTTGCCTTCGCTTGACAATCGCTGGCACGAGCATGAGCGCGGCGAGGGTGAGGAAGCCGAGCACTGTTTGGACGTCGAAGATGTCTCGGATGCTGTCAAGGTTCGACAGCATCGACCCTGCCTTGACAGTCACAAAGTTGTACGGCATGAGGCCAATCAACACGGACGGCGCGAAGAGACGCAGAGGGATGTTCAGGTACGGGCTCGCCATGTTGAGAAGCCAGTTGGGCGAAAATGGAAAGATGCGCAGGAACAACAGCACGTACACCAACCGCTCCTCTTGGCGCGCGGCGTCGATCTGCACTTGCAGGAGATCCAACTTGCCTGCATAAAGCATCTCAATTTTCATATCAACAAGGGTGCGTGCAATGTCGCCGTACCAGGGAGGAAGTAGTCGGTCATAGACACCAAGCTCTCGTGGGAACCCAATGTTGAAGACAAGATGTAGCAGGACGACGCGCCACACTACGCCAAGTCACATGTGTGACGACTTGCCAACGAGGAAGCCTCGTACACGGATAGACGTACCGTTGTGAGGACGCACACCAGGGGGAAGGCGATGTGGATGGGAAGAAGTACGCCGGCAATGACGTTGAGCAAGGCTGAGCCAGGAATAGCAAACGTCTGCTTTATGAAGAAGACACTAGCAAAGCATGCGAGCGTCAACTCAAAATCTTCGGACATGGCGCTGCGGAGGGCGGCGCTGACGTCGCCTCGCTGGATGTCTTCGAAGCCCAGGTTCCACGAAAGGGTCTCTGCCAAGGAAGGTCGTCGCTCCAACAAGCGCGAGAAGAGAACGTATGACACTCCAACGCAAGCGGCGAACACGACAACTAGGCGCCATAGGCCTTGGAGCACTTGGAGTACAGTCATGGCCACGCTGCTCAGACAATGCGTTTGGATTTGGTTTGTTTGACAGTGTTTTTAAAATCATTTCTAAATACTGTCCGTATGGCACAACAATATTTAGAAATGCGTTTTGATTGAATATACTATTAATAGTATCTGAGCGACCTCACACTATTTCGAAGCTTTTCGGATACCGGTAAGCGTATTCGGATTTTTCAGGGACCATACTTACTCGATCCACCAAGGAAGCTTAGCAGGAATGTCGTCTGACCACGAACCCGAGGACAGCGCCGATGCGACCAGGACGGCGGCAGAGAAAAGACTGTTTGAGATCCGCATGAAGATGAATGCGGGGCGCAAGAAGAACAAGGAACTCGCTGAAGAAGAGCACATGAAAGCCTCCCTCCCGGCTGGAAAAGCCAAGAAATGGTCGGCCGACGTTGACGGCGCTGCGCCCAAGCGCGAAGTCGCCTCAGTTCCGAAGGACAAAGCGTATATGCTGGATACTGTCGTGGATGCCGAATTGAAGGCGAAAAAGTCGCACAAGAAGGAGAAACAAAAGGCAGCGTTTGGGTGGGAAGTGTTCAACCAGGACTCACTGTACAATGCGTACAAGAAGCGACTGCATGCGCTTCCGACCGAAAAGGTTCCTGGATCCACATCTACCAAGGAGTACGACGAGTTGGAGTACGGGAAGAACGATGGAACGACCGAAGAGGGCGTGGATCGTATGGTTGCGGAACTGGCGCATCGTGCGGACGTCAAGAAGAAGTTCAGTCGACGACGACAGCATTACGATGGTGAAGACGTGGACTACATCAACAACCGGAATCGCGTGTTCAACAAGAAGATCTCCCGTGCCTTCGACAAGTACACTGTGGAAATCCGTCAGAATTTGGAGCGCGGGACTGCTTTGTAAAGCAATTCGCATCCTCGTTGACCATGCTCACCCTAAAATATGCTAATGTCTAATTCACATCTTCCAAGCGTCTTTTCCATGTGGCTTTCGGGTCCAGGGGGGGGGGCTTGGCAATGCAGAAACCCCCTTTGGATTGTGGTCAACCTCATTCTATGCCATGATTGAGACGTGCCCAAGTCGAATACAGCAACAGACAGCTTCACTCGCTCCGTTACCGGTAATGTCAATGATCGATTTAGGATACACTGATCAATTTAATACCCTGATCACTTTATGAGATACCCCAAGCAGCTAATCAGGACGCTGCAATCTACAAATACCCCTAAACACGCCCTTTTGAAGGATACACCGATTTACAGTTACACAAAGGTAGAATGGCAAGGTGGTGGTGGTCTGGCGATTGTAGAAGCCATTGCGGATGGCAGGTTATCGGGTTCAGACAATCCCACAACAACGACAAGTACAAGGCAAGGTCCAAGTGTGAAGGGCGATTGATAGAGTGTGTGTTTTACATTGCCACAATGTAGTCTATTTTTTGGATGCGGGCCTCGAGTACTCGTCGTCGTCGTCGTCGTCGGCAGCCTTGACGCTGGGTCGTTCGGGTTCATACGACGAGTCGCGCTTCCAGTCGGGCACGTCTTCGGCCGTCGGCTCAAAGCCGTAGCCGTCCTCTTCCGCCCATAACGCCTCGTCTAGACAAGATGCATATCATCAATCTCCATCTCGAACGCGATCCTGGGACGTACCAGCCTTGTCGTCGAACTCGGCGGCATCGGCGTCGTCGTCGTTGGTCTTGTTCTCGTACAAGTTGAACTCGTCGTCCGTGTTCTTCTGGAGCGCTACTTGTTCAGGGTGTGTCTTTTGCACCAGCCAGTCGGCCAGGTCGTCCTTGTCTTCCTGGGACATCAAGTCGAATTCGGACGGCACGCGGGCGTCGTCGGCCACCTCGTCGTCGACTTCCACCACGTACTCTTCTTCAAAGACCTTGGTGTTTTCATCGAGGGTCGACTTGAATTCCTTCCAGTTGAACGGGGCGTCTGGTTGTTCGGCGGAAGCCGTGGCAGACGCTTTGATTACTTCTCGCAACGGATCCTTTTGCACCTTGAACGTCGAGAATCGCAGAATCGGGTAGCTCAACTTCATCATGGCTTCCAGCTCCTTCAACGTCTTCGGGCTAGTCTCGAACGTCTTGACCAACAGCTTGGCCTCGCGGTGGCGTTCAAACGTCCCGCCCCACCGACGGTCATCGATGGCATATCCGAGCGTTCGGTGGCCGCGATGCGACACATCTCGCACCACGCCACCCTTGGACAGAATGAAAGTGGCCAGCTCCTTGAAAGCCTTGGCCGTGTCGGCCGGGGAACTCTTCAAGTTGGTCAGAATCACCTGCTTGTACAACACCATGAGGTCGAAGGTCGAAGTTGCGACGAATGCAGATCAACGAGAGGCGAGTTCTAAACCACCGACAAACCAGCCAATAGACCACCCTGCAGGCTATGACCACAACTGATTGGATATAATTCTATCCACTACTTTCGTAATATGCGAGAGTGATTGGTCTAATTATGCAATATATCAGCCAATCCAAGTGCAGGTCATATTTGACGACCCCATAAGATCGTCATTATTGCCACATCATAAATAAACCAAGGTTGGCTCTGTCAATAGAAGCGGCCCACGATAACGACGTCCATTGCCGCCCCTCTTGCACAAGTTACTATGAAGAGTGCAGTTGGTCGATTTGCTCACCGAATTCCATCGAGGACTGCGAACGACTTTGAGGTGATTTCCCCAGGGCAAAAGTACAGTCCATCACCTCACGACAAATTTCTCCAGAAGCACGGCACTTTTGTCTTGCAAGCGTTTTTTCTTCTTCGATTCGCCGAAGTGTACGTACGTACCGGCTCATGTTGGCAGAGAATTGGCCATTATCGCAATGTCAATTCTGTACACTGACTGTGAATCGTCGTCCTACCTACTATCGTACATCGTAAAGTATCTGGAGCAAGGTCCCGTCTGGCAAGGTTCCATTGCTGACGTGGTCTAAACGACGAAAACTTCATTTGCGTGGGGGGGGGGGTGGAGGTCATCGCGATTTGCACGTCATCGATCATAAAAATCGGCCAGGTGGCACGAACCCTGTTAATCCAGCTGTGTGGCCCAGTTTGTATGCTGAGTGTTTTTATTCGACGGCCCGCGCAAACTAATCAATGGATACATTTTACAAGCTTAAATTGTGGTGGAATCGATTGCATTATCTATAACCACGGAGGCTCAAGATCAAATTAATATACTCTTTATCTTGCATACTCTAAGTAATTATAATCGCACGTGCCATACCCGTTGGTCGTATCACGACGACGCCGTAGAGATCTCCCAACCGACATATTGAAAATCCAGCCAATCAGCGATCGCCTGGCGTCTCCTATTTCTTTTCATGGGTGAAGTTGGGGGTGGGGGTGTGATTCCCTTAGATCAGTTCCATCCCACTCCAAACACACCCCACCCCCATGCCTATTATTCCGCAGCCCAGTTTAGTTGCATTTACATTCAATCGGTCGAGGAGTCACACGATGAGCGCGAGCATCATCGGCGTCCAAGTTGGCGCAAAGCTGCTTGAGATCGCCTACGACATGAAGATGACGATCGTACTGCTGGCTGCCATTGGATATATAGGCTACCGCGCATCCACCGCCAACCAGATCCCTGCAAAACAGATCCGAGCAGCGACCCTCGCCAGCGAACGGGTATCCCTGGAGCTCCTTCGCGACGAGGAGTCCACCAAGCTGCTTCTAGTATCAACATTGTCCAAGTCGGCATCTCCTCTGAATGTCCGACGAAAGAAAAAGAAGTCAAACAAGCAGACGAGTGAGGCTGCCTCTACTCGAGTCATCATCCCTGCTACACAGACGACGACCCCAACCCGAACACTATCTGAGATCGTCGGGGCAGAGGACGATGTCGAGGCGCAACTGGACACAGTTGATATTCCTGTGGTGCCGCCTGCTGTTGTATCGGACGACGTGGATGTGATTTTGGTAGAAGCCCCCGTGCCTCGCGTGGATGACGTGCCTGAGCAAGTTGTAAAACCCTCCAAGGCACCGCCAGCGAAACCATCCAACAAGAAAAAAGCAAAGCCGTCGGGAGGACTCTCCAAGGACGTGCCGGAGATTGACTGGCTGGACGTCGTGCGCCTGCCGACCAAATCGTCACCTAGCTCGACCGCGTCCACGACCTCGTCGTCATCTTCGTCCCAAGCCCGTCGCTCTCTGTCTCCCGTCAAATCTTTGTCCATGTCTCCTTCGCAGTTCAACCTTCCAAACACGATGGCCGCATTGTCCATCAACACGACCATGAGCCATCACCATCCTTCATTCGCTGCCAGTCCAGTCCCCGTGACCACGAAACCATTGCTGTCTCGCTCCCGCTCGTCCGTCGCCGACGGCCGAAGTTGGCGCGATGCCCTCGGTCCGCTGTGTCCGGCGCCAATCTCTCTCCCCGCGCTCACCAAGACCGTGTCGCTGGGTGCTGCTATCACGATATACCCTCCGTTGCCCAAGGACCCGCCGCCGCCTCTTTCGCTGGCGCCCAGTGAACTGGCCCAGATCGTCCAGCAAATGTAAGTCGACCTCTTCTTCTTGCGACACATATGTGTACTCATGTGTGTTTTGTGTGTATGCAGCGAATTCTACTTCAGCGACGCCAACTTGCAACGCGACCTGTTCCTGCGCAACCGGATGGACGCCCAAGGGTTCGTGTACCTGAACGTCGTGCTCAACTTCAACCGGGTCAAAGCGATCACGCAGTTCCAGAAGATGGCCGTGGACTTGCCAAGTCTCATTCGCGCGTTGGAGCAGGCACCACGGCTCACAGTGCAATGCAAACGACTGGCGTCGGGAGCGATCGACCCCGAGTTTGCGCGGCTGGCCAAGATCCGCCCCGCGACCGACTGGGCGGCATGGGTGCCATCAAACCCGCTGCCGTCGAACCATCCGTTCGAACTGCATGCCAACATGGCGCAGCTGCGGCGGTCGTGTTCGGCGAGCGGGTTTGCGCAGACCGCATGACCTCCCTTAACTTTAACGTCGTTTTTTTTTTCCATGGAACGCTCGAGAGAATTAGTGTGTGCAATGCGTTGCACGTGACGCCAAAACTGGAAAAAGGGAATTTTTGCCGAGACATTCCCGACCAAGTTCAACACTATTTGTTGAAGCGACCGTTGATTGGGTGCCGGGTTGTTGAAGGGCGGTGAATTCGTTGAGCACCTGTGACACGGGGCGGCATGAATCCAGGAGAGACTGGTGTCGGCCAAACACGTTCGGGTCGACTAGAGTGTTCATGGGAACATGCATATGTTCGGTACATGTAGTAGCACCGACGTGACGAGAAGAAGCAGGGGTAGAACCACAGGAGGTTCAATGGTCAAGTCATGACGACGGGGACTGTGAGTGGGGCGACTTGCCATCCGTCAACTTATATACGTCGCTCAAAATATCAACAGTTCCTCGAAACGGGTAATCGTCACACGGTCATGACAGCAATACAGTCAGTGTACTACACTTGTACTATTAATAGGAACGCTATTAGGAACATGCGAACGGCCTGGTTGGGTGGTTTGGACTGCCATCACCATAGTGTACACTAAGAACGGAGAACAAACACCATACACAGCGTCACTACAATGGATCAGAGTTCGCTGAGCCGGTCGTTGACCTTGGCAAGTCGTCCTTCAGCACATCCATCCGGTCATATAACCTTCGACGGATTAGATGACAAATATTTCGAAAATTCAACTTGTGTTTGCAAAATTTGCAATCGAGACCTGATACTCTGGTGTTTTTATCCATGCGAACAACACCCACATCAGATAAAATTATGGTCAAAATATAGTGTGTGTTTAGTTAACCACTCGGACGTAACCCTAACCGTTGAAAAACAGAAACACAATGGCAAAGCTCACAGTACTGAAGTACGTAGTACTACAACTTCAAAGTACTTCAGGAGTGTACTACGTACTAGTAGTAACTTCCTATACTACTACTATTAATACTACAGTATGCAGAACTTTACTTGTTGCTGTTGGACAAGTCCAGCTATGCAGTCGGCAAATCGTGACTGGTTCGCACAGGCTTTTCGGTCAAGTTATTCATTCTATCGCTCTAAATAACACGACATGAAAACCAAACTTGAGTTTAGTATGCTCGACCAATCGATACCGCTCAAAACAGTTTCATCCTCTATCTGGCATCATGGGGCCAGAAACGACATGGACACTCTTTCGCAGCGGCTTCCTGGCACAGTTCCATTGGCTGAAGCGCTTGAGGACAGCAAAGCTGCGGCCTAAGCCGCTGCACTGGCTCGACGTCGTCCGTTGACCAGGCCACATTTCCGTATTTGCTTGCTGGCATGTTTCGCCACGTCCTCGACTGCATCCGACCCCATGAGATCACGCCACGGGAGCATTGGATTCCGGATGATGCGCGCACCACCTGCGCCATGTGCAACGAACGCTTCTCGCTTTTCCGACACAAACACCATTGCCGCACGGTACGTCCTTCCAGTCCACATATGCATGACGATTGACATGTTGCAGTGTGGAGATGTGGTATGCATGGACTGCGTCACAAAGAAGGTCGCCGTGAGTCCCACCGCCGACCCCGCCAACGTGATCGTTTGCGTCTTGTGTCTTGCTCGACGGGAACGTCAGTTCCTCTTTCAACACTTGTCGGTTAGCGTGACGTCGCCGCAAGTCGCTGTGGACTTCAATCATCCCTTCCAAAACTCGTGCTTCAGCGATGCCGAAGCCTCCCACGATGGAACGACCAGTCGTAGGACACAACCATCCAAGCGGCCCTCTTTCTTCCGCACCCTCGTGAGCCGCACCTTCTCCCGATGGTAGTCGCCGCACAGGACTGGCTATCGTCGTCGCCCATCGGCAGCGAGTGGCAGTTCTATCGATTCCGTGCCTGTGAACCAGTCTACGTATAATCTATTTAATGCCAGTTTACAGTTCCACCCAATCAACGCGTTGGCCGTTTCACTTTTTTGGATTAGCACTCTTAGTTGACATGTGAAATCTCACATGATGCAACAGTTGGCAGGGGCGGCGGCGGCAACCGCATTGGTTGGACTTGCAGGTTCATGCGCCGTGTCGTAGTTCTCATGAGGCAGCCGCGTGGTGTCGTCCAAGGACGAGTCGGACGACAGCGCGTGGAAGTGTACCGTAAACAAGCCGCCAGGGTTCGAGTCGAGGCCGACGTGGAACTGCTTGAACGACGGCGACGACGACAGCGCCACCGCTTGCAACGTCGTCGCTACGATAGTCACATTCGGCATCTCGTTCAAGATGGCGGGAACAAAGTCCAGCACGACCACGGCATGGTACGGCGTGTGGAAAAACACTTCGACGCCATCGAGCACCACCAAGAACGACTTGGCCCGGCCACTACCCCCACATCTTTACGTCACCACATCGAATATATATATATATATTTGTACCTGTTGTCCTTGATGTCCATAAATATCCGCTGCAACCACACGACTGCATGCTGCGCCCCTTTCCGCTCGACTACGTCCTTCACATGCAGCACGCGGATGCCGCCATCAAACGTGCCGCGAAAGCTCACGTATTGGGTCACCGCCAGAGCCAGCTGCGTCTTGCCTATATATATATAATATATATATATATATATAATATTTTTTCAACATAGAGGAGGTACCGATGCCAGGCGGGCCGTGGATGTCGATGAATCGCGTGTGATGGAGCGGGTCCAGCAGTCGGTAGCAAATCTATTCACACTCAGGACGTAATAAAATCTCTTTTCGCGACGAATCTAGCAAAAAGGATGGGTATGTTCTGTACATCGTGGGCTTCGTTCAACCGATGCGTGAATTCCTATGACATTTTCCTTGTCAGTCGTAGAATATATATATATATATACAACTATACTTTGCACACGGCAAACGACAAACTGCCTTTTCGCAGCACCGATCGAAACGTGGGGGTCGCCTTTGGCTTGTCCGTTAACGGATACAGCACCTCCATGCCGTGGTGGCCATTGGATTGCGCATACAGGCAAAACTATATCCTGTCAGATATAAATATATATATTATATATATCGGAATATACCGTGTCGCTCGGCAGTCTGGTGCTGTGTTTGGCCAAGTGGAAACTCGTTTGGATAGACTTGCCACTCATAAGCGCTCGGTAAAAATTGCTACGTGCAGTGTCACATATCCATATCGCTTTTGATCCAAACCAGATATATATCGTCGACTTCAACATAAAGGGCAGTGTCATATATATATATATATCAACACAAAGATACTCGAGAGATGAAGCAAGGGTCGTACGTGGAAAAGCAAAGCAATTGCGACGACGGGACCACGCGGGTATGCGGCGCCACGGCCACAACATATGGCACCCCTGCATCAAGCAGCAACTGATGGGCTAGAATATATACATCGTACAACATGTCAGATTGACAACGAATCATACTTTGTGAATAAAAACCATCGTCATATATATATATATATATATATATATATATACCTGTGGGGCATCCGTTGTGGTAGACAGAGATCTGCACGACTTGCACCGCCGAGCCACGAAACAGCCGCGTGAGTTGATCGACGTCGACGGAAAAGGCGCCGCCGCGGCCGTCCTCCAAGATGAGCGCGGAAGAGGTCGCCGCGCACGCCACATGGAGCATCTGGCACCCGTCGGCGACGAGGTCCGTCAGCACATCCCACGACGCAAACTCCACGGCCAGATCCACTGGCTGTGGCGTGAATGTCACGGGAAGCCCCGTCTCGTTCACGCGGAGCTCCGACTACAGTCACATAACACATCGGACATCAAAACTCGACACAACCAAACATGTACAGAAGGATTTTTAGCCAATCAGATTGCAGGAAACCATCATCACCGTCAAATTAGTGTGTGACTTCAAGTAGTGTGATACAAACCCCACAGGACTATGAGCACTTTATGCATACAAACGTCAGTACAACGAATCGATCGATAGATTTGGCAAAGAATCCGCACAAGGACAATACGTACCATCTGCATGTACTTGACCAGTCGGGTGCTCATGGACGTGTGCATGGTGTGGACATCTCGATTCTGTGACATTGAAAATACAGAGGTGTGGACGACGAGCATGACGTGGGGTATATATTGTGGTAGTACATTGAGCGAGAGGCCGAGGCTACTGTAGTTTAATATCGGGTGCGCAAACAGAACGCCCTAAACAAAACAGTAGTAAACGCATCCTATTTGTATGTTGTTTCGGCATCTTTGGTTCGTAAGTGTAGGAACAAGGCGAGCGATGGGGACGATGATAAAAGACTCGTCCACGTACTAGCACATTATGACAAGGAGGGTGCGGCGGCGGCGGGATCTCGTGGTTGGTCACGACGTAACCGAGCAAGAGGAACTTGGCAGGAGACACAAGCAATCGAATTTCGTCGTGCAATGCCAGGGCTTTTGTCTGTTGCGGCGCTACATCCATCATTTCACACGACAAACACAAGTATATATATATATTTCCACCAGGTATGTATATACATGTATAAACCAGTCTACGAGGGATTATATATATATATATATATATAGGGCAAGATACTACCGATCGTAGTGAAACGTACGTAAGACTTGCAATCCTACAAACAGAGGGTGCCGACTCGTGTTGGTGAGGGTCAGATCCACACCGCTGGCCGTGGCCTGCCATTGAAACGTCACGTGGTTGGAGCTGAAGAACGCCTTGTAGTGGGGAAACATGAACGCCATGGGGCCTGACGTGAGCATCTCTCGCGTGATCGTCACGGATCGACGGCGGGCGCTGACTTCGATCTGCAGCAGCCCCGCCGCTCGGAACGCGTTCAGTTGCCGCCGAGAGAGCTGGTTCACGAGCTTTGGATGCAGCTGCAAGTAGTACACGACGTGGTGGAACTGGACCTCGTCCTCGGGGGACAAGGCCGCCGACAGTTCGTCGTCCAGCATGGTGTCGGCGTTGGCGGCCGAGCACGAGCTGTCCGGAAGGTCGATGGCCGCAGATATGTGCACAGGGCCCAAACTGATGCGACGGTTTGACGCGGTGCTTAAAGGAGGGCTGCTTAGTCGCCATCCTACACAGACATGGTGACGAGAGATGTTGCGATGGGGATTCCGGTACCCATCATCTCCTGCGACGAGCTTCGGAACGCGGATGCGGACATGGCGGAATACGATAGAGGGACGCCCATAGCGTGGCCTTGGTCAAAAAGAAGTCCGTCGTCATTTGGGAGGTCGTTGTCGTCGTCGTTGTCGTCGGGCCAGCCTTCCTCTGGAGACTGCATCATGGCTTGGTAAGGTTGCGAGAGAAGCGCGTCGTGGTCCATGTTGCCAAAGGCGCCGATGCCATCGTCATCCATGTCATCCAAGGACAAGCTGGACAAGTCCTTCATGTCATCCCTATCCTCGTAGCATGCTTTCGTTCGTTTGGGGTCGCCATCTGGAGGCGGAACGGGCGGCGAGTTGGCTCGCTTCATCAAAAGTGTATCCGTGCAAAGATGCAATCATCGAAAGCACAGAATGAATGCTCTTATGCGGATGAGTGGCATGTTTTATCCGGACGTTTTATGGTTACGGTTTCAGCAAACGAACGAATCCTTGACGCCGCTGCCTTCGCCGTAGCGCTAGCCACGTACCTAATGCAAGGGCCGTCATACCAGCCACAGCTACATGCAAACTCCATCGTCCTCCTCCTGCCACAGTCGACATGTCCAGTTCCGTGGAAGGAATCGAGCAATTCGTGGGGCGATCCCGCCTTGGCCAACGTGGTGCCAGCGGCGCACGGTTACCATGTAGATCCAACGTTTGACACGATTCGTCGGCATAGTGCGTGATCGTTTGAGCGTAGCAGTTGACTACGACATACTTGCGCGGCGAAAACTCCACGCACGCTCCATGGAGGACAAGGCTGTGGGCATGATCGTCGTCGGAGTCGTAGTTCGTCAAGTGCATGTACGAGCTATCATGGGCATAGTCCTTCCATCGCGGTGGAATAAGGTTCAATTCAAAAGCATTGACGCATGATTGGGTATCGTGGGCAACGGCCACAACGCCTGACAGTGTCGCCACGTATGTGAGCACCCCCGTACAATCTGCATTTTCAAAACGCTTCAAGTACTTGAGCGCCGGTGGCGGAAGAGGCATGGATGACACGGCGACGTCATTCAGCACCGAACATTCCACTTGGGGGCTAGTGATGTCTACCACGGGCACTGGATGGGAGCAATTCGCATCCGTATACAAGGCGTGGGTCATGGCAGAGCAGTTAACAAAAGCAAACAACCGAGGGGCGAGGCCAGTGGGAACGCACGTGCCGTCCAGCACCACGTCCGTGGCGTACTCGCGACGGATCTGCATGTACTGCCGACCCTCCATGAACTGGCTGGTGTGCGTCGCCGTTTCCACCCCCGCCGCGCAGGACCGCAGCGAGTCGTAGTTGACGCTCGGCCCCGACCGGACATGGACAAGACCCCCCGAGCAGTCACTGTGAGCGTACACGTTCAAGTACTTTGGCTCCATAACTGAAAAAAATGTAGATAGATGAAGTCCGCCGCCATGATATTCAACACGGCGGTGACTCTTTCGACAGACATCATGGTTTTGGAGGTTGAACTGTCATTTTCACGTTGACTGTTGAGCTAAACTGCACGCGGTCAGATCACATTAGGGTGCTCAGGGTGTATAAATAGCACAATCGCGTTTACTAGGGCAATATGAATAATATGCGTATCGGCATGTAAGTCAGTGTCCAAAGTACCTTTACCCTACTACTTGAGGTGTGCATTACAGTACTTTCTATGCAGTACATGTAGTAAGACGACTTTATTACCACAAGCTATATCCCCGCTCTCGTTTAGGTCCAAATTCGGGTAGGTCCATCCATATTCATTTAACTGATTGTTCATGCAAGTCATTGTAACGTTATCGAACGATCGTGGCTAGCTTGCAACGAGCTGCACGGCGATGCTTGGCCCATGGTCGAAGTATTCGTTCCCTTCACATTGTACAAGCAAGCTCCTATGTTGTGTCTTCATGGGGGTACTGTTCGTGTGGAATTAAAGTATGAGCAAACGACAAGAATCAATGGCATAAGTTCATTCTTAAGCGCCCACGTCGCGGCCAGTGGTGTGGTACGATGGCTGCGACGACGACGGATTCTTGAGCGGCAATTGCACGTATGACTTGCGGTTGCGGCGGTAGAGCACCGAGAAAATCCCTCCGGCCGCCACCGAAATCAGCACAAGTCCCACGAGGATCCCAACGTGGCCGCGCCACCACTCCCCGCCACCTTCGTGATTGAGAATGCCGCAGTGGATGCCCCACACCTTGGACGGAAACAGAACTTCTTGGTCCCCCGACAAGCACGAGTCGTCGTTGAAGAACACTGACGTGCGGGACGCGCACTCCACGTGCACGAACTTGCCCGGGGCGTACGACACGCAGCTCTTGTCCAGAACCGTGCCTTTGAACAGCATGTACGGGTTGGTCACACTCATGTATGTCTTTCCAGCACTGAACTGGTCTGGCTTTGGGGCGGCGAGGTCGATTTGGAAGCCGTCGGTGCACGGGTCGACGTCTTGGGCCGCGGCCATCGCCCCTGTGAACTCGTCGGCGTACAAGATTGCGCCGGTGCAATCGGCATGTTCGTACCGCTTCAAGTACTTGGGCGGGATTTTGGATTTTGATGACGTGGCAGAATATGCGTTGGGGATGATACACGACGTGATTGGCGGGGATGCGTCGTCCTCTGCCGACACCAACGGCACTTTGCAGTCACCGTCTTGAAAGAAGCCGAACACCCGCTCTTGGCAATCCGCATAGACATACCCACGTTGGATGCCAGTCCACACGCACGTGTGCTGGATGATGCGCTCGGTCACGCCATAGTCCCATTGCAGGTCCAAGTACACTTCGTTCGAGATGTAGCTGGTCGTGGGAACCGAGGTGGTCGTGACCTGAACTCCCCCGACGCACCTCCCGAACGACAGGTCAGTGGCGGTGGCGTTCACGCCTGAGCGAACGTACAGCGCCCCGCCACTGCAGTCGGCGTGCTCGTAGGACACGATGTACTTTGACGACATCTTGGAAATGAACAAGTTGGTTTTTGGATGGTGAAAGGCATGGAGGTGCCATGATGGATGGCGACGTCCGGCCAATATTTGAAACTGTCAACGGTCGCGACGGTTTCATGATAGCCAATTTGACGAGAAGATAAGGAAATGCTCGAAAAGTCACAACCGTGTTATTTCATTGTTGACTTACAGTATGCAAATGGTATCTGAAGGGAATGCAATCGAACGTACAGTAATAAGACGTTAGCCACGAGCGCAATCCCCAACCAGCGTCCTTTGCTCTTACATTGGGAAACACTCACACACAAATTCAAGGACCTGAATATTCCATTGGAACCGTGTACAGGTGCTGGAAAAATATCTTTCGGTACTTTACAAGGTGTTATGGGGTACAAACACTACACGGTGGTGACGGGGGAGACGGCTAAATCCGTAGCGTCGGACGTGGCCCGTTTGGCACTGAAGGCCGCTCGCCACTCGCGAACTTTTTGCACTATCGCAAAGACTCCGGCTACGAGCAAGACAACAATCCCAAAGCCCCCGACAATCTCGAGGTAATACGACGACGAATCTGTGTTCGCAACAAAGCACGACTTGTACAGTGTCACCAGGGGCACGCCGGCTTCTCCATCCTGGGGTACGGAACACGCTGCGTCGCGGAAGAATAACACGCTGAGGGCGGCGCAGTTGACGTAGACGTACCCGTCCAAGAGGGGTGCGCAGGTGGCGTCGCGGACAGTCGCTGACGCGCCGGGAAGAGTGACGTTCATGTACAATTTGTCAGTGGAAAAGGAACGGGGGGCAGGGGGTCGAGTCGAGAGAATGTAGCCGTTCTGGCATTGGTCGCTGAGGGGTGGTAAAGGATTGCCAGTAGATGGCCGTGCCGTGTACACCACCGACTGCAAGTGAGCGTTCGAACACTCTGGGTCGGTGAAATAAACCTGCGCGAACACGACTGGTGGGGACGACAAAGTCTGGACCTGTTGGTAACTACAGGACGACGAATAGACAGGAAAGAACGACTGCATGGCGGTAAGAAGAGTTGTTGGAGACGACGATCGCGGCTTGGAGCACGCGGCGTCGGCGAAGGTCGAAACGGCGCCCGTCAAACAGTTGGCTACGGCAAAGTCAGTTGGGCCCACGGGTACACATGCCCCGTTCAGCAGGGAGAAGGTGCGGCCTCCAGACGAAACCAACGTCATGTACGTAGCATTTGGGGATATCGTTGCATTCTTGACCAGAGTTTGCACGCCTTGTTGACAAGTGGACGGGATTATGGTATTTCGAGGTGGAGATAAGCTGGGGTGAATCGACTGGACGAGGCCAGAGCAATTCAGGTGTGCAAACTGCACTTCGTAAAACGGAGGCGTGGCAGTGTTAGGGGCTTCGTTAGCGCTGGGATTGGGTATCGAGCACGAGATGCGGGGTAACGACGGTTCGAAGATCGTAGGTACTGGACTCGTGCAGTTGGCATCGCTGTACACTGTGTAAGAACGACTGGCGCAGCTCGGACGAACGAAGAAGTCGGCGCCGCCGCCAACACAAGCGTCGTCGAGTGCCTTCTCCCACATAAATGCGTGCACAATGTCCATATACATTGCGCCAGGCACGTACTGGCCAGAAGCAAACTCGCGTCGATTGATTTGAAGACCATGGTCGCAGGCGGAATCACTTTGGAGCGGGTCCCCGGTCATACTGGGACCATAACGCAGGTATACCATGTGGCTGCTGCATAATGAGTCATTGAATGCCTTGACGTAGTTGAACTCCATGGCGACTTTTGCTTTGTGTGGAGCTAACGTCGTAATGAAGTGTGGTGGAAGGGCGCACGATACCATTGGGTTGCGAATCGTCACAAGGTTCCCCCATTGGCCCAAATCCGAAACCCTCGGTCTGCGACACAGGACCTTTCGCCATTAGTATTCTGTTCTGACTGTGAATTTTCTTTACATGCAACCTCATCACTTTTACTGCAATGTGGGTGATCGGACTAACGTGTACCTCGTTTTGGCGGCGATGGTGCTTACACTACATCTGTAGTTTTTCTTACTGATGAGATCGTCGTACGGTACGAGACCTTGAACGCCTACTACTGAATTTAAGCTACAACAAACCCGACTGTTATCTCATTGCGGATAACTCAACCACAATCTAACGTTAACTTATGCCAATGTGAACGATCGCTTGCTTCCATGTTAACGTTAGCCAAAGTCAGGACTTCTTGTGGTGTTCTTCCGTGTCGGAATGGGAGTGTTGGTCGTCAATGCAGACATGGGATTGGTGGACACCTCCACCAATGAAACCCCGCAGCTCAACTACATTAAGTGTGCCGCGACATTGGTTGACCCGCGGCACTTCCATCACCACCGCGACCATACTTCGCCGCCTCACCCACATGCTGCTCTCCGCGACACCCGAAGGGCTCACGCGCGCAGGAGAATCACTGCGTCAAGGCCGCCTCGTTGCGTTTCCCACGGAAACGGTGTACGGACTGGGCGCGAATGCATTTGACGCCAAAGCTCTGTTGAGCATCTTCGAAGCCAAAGGCCGACCTCTCACAGACCCACTCATCGTTCATGTGCCCACAGTAGATGACGCGCTGGCGCTGGTCGAGCTGGACGCTAAGGGCACTGAGATGTTTCAGACACTAGCCACGGCCTTTTGGCCTGGGCCACTCACACTCATCGCGCCGGCCATCGCTTCGTTGCCGCGGGAAGTGTCAGCCAACACGGGCTTTGTCGGGTTGCGCATTCCCAACCACCCAATTGCCCAAGCCTTGCTCCACGAAGCCAGAGTGCCCGTGGCCGCCCCCAGCGCCAATCGTTTTGGCCACGTCAGTCCCACCACCGCCCAGCATGTGATCGACGACTTGGGAACGTACCATGGAGGGTTGCAGGTCATCAACAATGTCGGCCATCCATGCTGCCAAGTGGGGATTGAATCAACGGTGGCTAAACTGGTCCCAGATCAGAATCAGCTGCTCGTGTTCCGCCGCGGCGGGGTATCCGAAGCCGCGTTGCACGACGTCCTCAACGTCCAGCGAGGCCTCGACATCGCCATCGTGTACGCACAAAAGGTAGTGGCCGACCACTCGACCCAAAACCAAGTCGCCCCCGGCCAACTGCTCACGCATTATGCCCCCGACGTGCCCACGTTTATGGTCAACTCGATTCCCACGCCCACCACCACCCCCAACCCCTCGGACATCCACACGTGGGTGATCATCGACTTCAACCGACGGCTGCGAGCGCTGCAGCCCATGGTTGCGGCCTACCTTGACCTGTCTCCCCTGTACGACACTCGTTTCTGATTCTTCCAAAGATTGTCAATCTGATTCCAGCGTGTCGACTGTTTAGAGGATCTATCGCCGACGCCGCCCACCACGTGTTTGACGCCTTGCGTTGGGCCGAGCAAGTGCCCCATGCAACGGTACCACGACACCTCCATCACTTGGATGTCCTCTGATTCTGATATTATCTGATTCTGATGTGCGATATTGTTTGATTCTAGCGGATTCTGATTCCAGACGTATCTGCCGTGCCCCAAGAACACGCCGCCGCCCTCCACGACCGGTACGAGCACATGTCATTTACGACCGTGTTGACCATACAAATCCGTAGCTTATTTCGTGCGTCGTCGGGCAAGCGCACCTCGTTTTAACGACACTGTGCATTACTCCTATTATCGTACTACTTACGAGTCCAAATCCTGCACGTACAGCAGCGCTTGCGGGGCCAGTCCCTACAGGAATGATCACCGCACAATGAGTTCGTTGTAGTAGTCATACTAGTAGCAGACTAGTAATACTAGCCAACGTACGGCATCTTGAAGGGTCACGTGGGATTGGTCCCAGCCCCAGCATTTCCGAGGGTAATTCGTCGCCAATTCGTAGCGCACGATCGCAATATCACGCTCGAAGAACGCCACGTCCACAAAGTCTCGTACAGTCTACAGCAAGATCAGACTCAGAAGCAAACGGCAACCACACGCATCCGAATCAGACGATTGTCGGATCCACTCAGACGTACGTGAAACGTATCGGAGGCCCAAAACAGGCGTTCCAGCTTGGTTCCATTGTGCAGCTGCAGACGCAAGAACGCCGTGTCTTTGCCCTTCGTCACGGGACCATTCGCCAGTCGACTTCGCTTCACTTTGATGGCGGACTCGCGCTCGGCCGCCGCGCGGCGCGCCGCGTCCGCTTCTTCCTGCAGCCGGATGGACAGTTGCCGGGCTTGTTCCTCTTCTTGCGCCTGGCGCAGCGCCTCCTCCTCCACCTAAACGACCAACCAATATTATTGTCAACAGCGTCGCAGAAATTGCAAAATTGCTAGCACAGACACATACGTGTTTTCGATAAAAAGAATAATATATAGTCTGGAATTCACGGTATAATACTTTGACCGTATAAAACAACATATATATATATATATTGTGAATTCGCTATACACTTTCAAAATTCGCGAGGATTGTCTAAACAATATTGAATCACACACTGGAGTTGTGATTGGTTGAATATACTTGTCCTTTCTGTACGAGATTCGACGGGGTCTGGAAATTTGTATCCACAATATTACTTAATATGTCAAAAAAAAGGCCAAAATCGGCCATATTTTGGCAATTTCTACGAAAACGGTACCTTGCGTCGATCTGCCTCCAACGACTGCTGGTACTCCTCGTCTTGTTGCTCCCTCAGCAATTGAGCTTCTGTCCTGCAAGCCAATATCATCGTCAAGTCCATGGATTCACACACACACAAATCGAAATGCACGAGTCGAACCGGAACAGTTCCTGGGCCCGCGCGGCGGCGAGGTGCTGCTGGTTGCGCTGCACGGCGACGCCAAGTCGGGTCACGAGCGCAGTCTTGGGAACGTTTCCTGGCAATTTACATGCATGTTGAGCTACGAACGACCAAACAAATGAATGCGAATGATAGAGTACCTTGGACCTTGTCGACTATGTTGAGACCGCGGGGCGTGGACAGGACCATGCAGAGAAACGGAAACGACGCGGCACCGAGGGACAACGAGACGCTGTAGCCTTCTGGTGCAAGGACCGATCCAGCCCAGAAGAGGACGTTGTCATGGGCGGCGGCAAACGATTGAACGTCGTCTGTGCACAGCGAGTTCCTACGGGAATGGTTCGTCGGACGCAGGAGGCTACGATGCGGAGAGATGCAGGGTAATGTTCGTACTTGCAAAATGCAGCGGCGTCTTGGTGCACTTCCGAGTGCAGGTAGATGAGCAGGAACTTGCCTTCGGTCTTGGCCAATGTTGTGGCTTCGCGGAACGGTACGTGCATAAAGTCCGGGCATCGGTCGCCGTATTCTTGTCGAAGACTGTTGTGCAGAGCTGCAGCCATGTCCTACATAACCAGAGTGTCGATCCTCAAGTACACACCCAATGCATGTGCACACTGAGCTCACCTCAGGCGAGTCGCGCGCCTGGGTTCCAAAGATCCATTGCCATAAGGACGCCGACGACGTGGGTGGCGAAGCGGCGGACGCGATGGCATCTGGGGATGCAGGGAGTGGACTCAATTGAGATGTCGTCGCGTCCAAGTTGCCGCCTTCCTCGGCATGCCCTACTCGGCGCCGCAATCCTGTCGCCACTTCTGCCATTCTGCCAAAGTCCTGTGAATTCGTTCCACGTCGTGACGCCGGATAAGGAATCAGCAACTCCATCCGGATAAACTACATTTTCGCCATGGCTGCTGTTGTCGACACCAACTCTGGCCACCACAACCTCGAGCACCACCACAACCTCGAGCACCACCACGCCCGAGCCGCCCTTGACGACGGCAGACCCCGCGTCCCTGCCAACCGCTATATTGGCCGCAGACACGCCTGAGCGGGGGCAAGCGTTGACGCTAGCACCAAACATCACCTCCTGTGCTGTCGCTAATGTCCCTGTGCCGTCGATTGCTATCCCTCCACCAGATACCACCCCTGTAGAATCCTATGAAAACGACGTTGGCTGTCGGATATATGTGGGTCACTTGACGTCACAGGCCAACGAAACGGATCTCCAGGCCTTCTTCCGGCCTTTCGGCGTGATCCGACACATTTGGATCGCTCGCAAGCCACCAGGGTTTGCCTTTGTCACATACTCCAAGGCCGACGCCGCCCAACGAGCCATCAATGCGGTCACGGGCATGGAGAATCCGTGTATATTGGGCCAAAGCATCACGTGCCAGCTGTCCAGGGACGGTGCAGGAGCAACTACCGAGCGTCCATCGGCTTCATTGGCACCGCGGACGCGCGTGCGCAAGCGAAAGGGCGAAACGTTTCGACAAAAGAAAGAACGCAAGCTCAAGGCCATCGAAGCTAGTAGTAGCTCTGGTCACTCGAGCCATTATCATTAAGTTAAAAAAGCTCATCGAACAACCGACGGGCGGATATGCAATGGCAACATCGTGCTGGATTCGAGGAGCATATCCACAGAGTCTGCCACCAGCTCCCGCTCGTCGACAGTTGATGTCGCCAGCACGGGCAGGAACGTACTCGGTTCAGTTTGCCCCAATTCATCGCAGTCGTGCCACGTCATCGTTATTGGATTGCAATGAGATGTCAGCATGACACTTTTGGGGTGATGATGATGACGACTTGATGTCGCCTTGGCGTTTTCGTTGAGAACTGGATCATCCTTTGGCAAGCCACTGCTTCGAGTAGCTTTAATAGGGGGCGATGCTGGTTGTCGTTCCAGTAGCGCGACGATGGATGTGTTTATGGTGTTGGGTACTTGAGCTCGTACCGTTGAACTTGGAGGGGGCTCGAGCGGGGGGAGCAGTGCTGACGAATGATGCGGTTGGGTTCTGTGTTCTCGGTCGGGGGTTGGTGCCGCCGTGGATGTTATGGAAGGCAGTCGTGGCTTAGTGGAGTGGGCCAGTGCTATGGTGCCAGGAGGAACGAGTTTGCTTCTGCGGTCATTGTTGGTTCGTCGTGGTAACTTGGCGGAGCTTTCATTAGCGATTGCCGCCCCGCCGCTTGCTGTAACCAGGGCTGCGGGGGCGACGGGCAGTGGCTGGCCTTCCATGCGCTGGCGAATGAGCTGTAGCACTTGACTTTGATCTGCCAACTGGCGCTTCATCTCTTCGTTTTGCTCCAAGATGGCTTCATACGCTAGAGCCATGTTGTTGTGTAGCTTTCCAGGGGATGCGGTTGCGGCTGGCTCCTGATCATACTGTTTGCTGTCGTCCCTCGATCGTCGTGTGGCGGTTGCTAGCGGTGGCTTGCTCGATCGTCCGTTCGGAGGGGGTATTGTCGTGTGTTCGTGATCGCTCGTTCGCTTGGACTTTGCCTCTCGTTTCAGTCGACTTGTCCCACCCATGAGTGGTTTTTGCCGTCCACGTATTACTTGTTTGTCCGATTTCGACTTGGCTTTGTCATTATTCCGCACTGTGTTAGCTTTCTTGCTGTTCTGGACAGGTAACTCAGTTGGACAAGATTTGGCGACTGGAGAGGCGACATGGTCGTCTTCATTGACTTCGGGGGCATCCTCCATCTCAACGGCTTCGCAAGGTTCAGCAACTTCGCCGATAGAATCATCCTCATGGAGGGGCTGTGGGGGTGGTGATATTTCTATGGACGGTAGCTCGGTGGATTGAACGACCGCAGGAGCGAGAAGGACGGCGGGCGGAGGTGGTTGGTGGCTGACATGGCCGGCTTGGTCGTTGTCAATTTCTGCTTCTAACTTCCGGATCCACTCTTCCCTTGACAGCTTGGCCGTCCGGCGCCCGTCCGTCGGGTGGTTGTCCCCTGTGTTGATGGTACTAGGTGCAATCTACTCTCCACTGTGTGAACGTATGTATACTCTGGTAGTTCACGTATTATTGCCTGTTGTGGTTGTTTGCTTTGGATTTGCGACTGAATCGACTCGAGCCATTCGTTGTGGGGCACTTGGTGTACTCGTCGCCGGCCAGGGCGTTGGTTGGTGCTTGGTTCTGTAGATGTTGCAGCGCAAGTTGCTGCAGTCGCTTGCGAGTCGCCGGAGCCACTCGCAGCTGGCGCGTCCACGTGAGGTGGCCGTCGCCCCTTGCGCTCGTTTATTTCGGCCTCGTCCCGCATCTACTACCCGAACGCTTCACATGCCCTAGATCCTGCGATATCCATCTCATAATCTGATACAGTGTATGTACTTGTTTGAACCGGATCTGCTCCTCCAAGGCCTTCGTGTACTCTTCCTGCGACACATGCTGAGTTACTCGTCGACGTCCAGTTGGCGCCACTGGTGTCGGCGGCAACGCGTCATCTGCTCGATCGTCGGTTCGTTTATCGGGATGGTGGTTGGTTCGAGACTTGACCGCCAGTTTCTATGGCCAGACTCTGTATGGGCGACGACTGAATGACTCGCGCGCTCACCTGTCGTGCTTCGTCGTCTAACGCCTTTTTGTATTCCTCCTGACTCAGCTGGACGGCTTGCCGCCGCCCTCGCGACGGCGCGGCCATAGACCGAAATGCGGTTCAAGTTGAAACGACTACTAGTACATCAACCGTTACACCAGTCCTTCCAAACCAAGACATCACCACTCATCACGCTAAGATCAGCGTATCTCCACAGCCAGCTTACAATCAAACACTTCGAAGCATATATGTATGTATTTTGTATCCCTTCGCCTCTGGCAAACAACCATCGCGGCCGACTCTTTCGTCTGAGTGCTATCTAGGGAAGGCGTGATGTCGCATGTTTCCGTGGTCCTGATTACGGAGTTGCATGCATGCATCTGCATAGAGGTATGCCGCTGTTTCGCGATGAAGGCAGCCAAGTCCTGAGGCCGTTGAATGCCATGCTACCCGCCATGTCACCCTTCAGCGAGAGTGCGGGAAGGTCCTCGGGCGATCCTACCATTCGACTTGCAACTGGGTGTGACGCTGGCCACTTCTTCAAAGGCAACGTGAAATGTCGCGTATACATCATTCTCAATTCAGTCATTGAAACTCAAACGTGAGGTGAACGTTTACACTTCGCCACGACGCTTCGCGGTCGTTAGCGGCGGCAACGAGTGCATGGAACGACGTTGAAGGTAGCTTTATTGCATGGCATCGAGATGCAGAATAAGATGAATGGAATGGAGTTCTACAGTACTAATAGCCGATTGGAATGCAGTCTATTCGATTCATTTGAGTTTCAGTTTCATTCCACATCCACACAGTGGAACGATCGCACGAGGACAAATACTTGCCTGCCTGGATCGAAGGACGAGCAGTGTAGTGCCGCTGACAGTCACTCACGAGATCTGACAAAGATGCAGACCGCTAGTCCGTCCTCGATGGCCTTCCGCCGGGCACTGAACTCGTGGGCGTCGGAGGAGCTTGATCCGAACGTGGATGACCAGCCGTACTTTGACAGCTTTAACGGGAACGATCCGATTCGACAGGGTGGCGTGCGCAACATTTACGCGCGCGAGAACATCGGCCTCCTCTTCAACTACATCTGCACAGGATGGGCCGAAGCGATTCTCCCCGCGACCATCTATCCGTTCATGACCAACTACCTCAACATGGACGGGTATCAGACCCAGGCCGCGATCGTGCTCATCACGTTCCCGTACATCCTCAAGACGTTCTTCGCCATTCTGTCCGACTGTTTGCCGATCATGGGGCGGCGGCGCATCCCGTACCTCATAATCGGCTGGTCCATCTGCCTCTGCTTCCTCGTCAGCTGTGTGTTTGTACCCCAGACCGACGCGTACTGGAAGCACGGCGACTTGAACACCTTCCGCGACAACGAGTCCCTCCGCACGGTCGTCATGGTCGTCCTCTCAAGTCGTCCTAATTGCTTCTCCATCTCGTAGGTGCTCAACCCGAACGCACCCAATGGCGGCTTTGGCTACGTGCTCATGATGATGGGTGCGACGGCCGGTTTCTGCATGGCCGACTCGGCGGGGGACGCCGTGATGGTCGAGTTCGCGCAGCGCGAGCCGGAAAACATCCGCGGGACCACGCAGACCATCATCACCCTCGCCAAGTTTGTCAGCGGCGGCGTCGCGGCCGCCATCATCGCCGTGTGCTTCAACGGCGTCGAGTACGGCGGCACGTTCAGCTGGACCTTGAGCTTCAACCAAGTGATGCTCGTCGCAGCGGTGGCTCCAGTACGCACAATCCTGTCGCTCTCCAGTGGTTGAGTTTTGGTGTCGTAGGTCGTTGGCATCGCCACGTCCTACTTCATTCCGGACCCGCCCATCAACTCGGACGACGACGACGTCCAGACCTTCCGCGAAACCTTCTCCGATTTATGGAATGCCGCCAAGAAGCGCGCCGTGTGGCAGCTCATGGCGTTCAATTTCCTCAACGCGTTCTTCTTTGATGCGGTCGCGGCGCCGTCCGACGTGATCAAGCGCACATGGGCCCAAGTCCCCCCTATTGTTGACGGTACGGACGACCTCTTGCTTATATAAATATATTATATATATATATATATATACTGGTTCGTGTTCCTATATATATATATATAAATACTTGTTCGTGTTCCTACATATATATATATATATTTCTTCCTGGATATCGTAGAGATGGATGGTTTGTTCGATGTCGTGCTTTTAAATACAGAAACTATAAGTAGATTGTTGTACTCGTTTCTCTGCATATATATATATAATTACATATATATGCTCTTTTTAGAATGATACAATTCAACATGTATCTATATAATCTATATATCCTCGTACGTTTTGTCAATACATATATATATATATATATATATATATACGTGGTGATGTGACATGTGTGTCGTTGTAGGCGTGTTCAATAATATTTTTGCCGTGTTCTTGTTTGCGCTGGCGATGCACCTCACGCGCAGCCACTTTTTGCACTCGGACTGGCGGCTCGTGATCTTTGTGACGACGGTCGTGACCGTGGCCATCCAGTGGACGGTGGACTTCGTCATGGTATTCGACGTTGTGCGGTCCCCAGAGTTCTACGTCGGCGTGCCCCTCACGTACCAAGTGCCCGTGGCCATCCGCAACGTAGTCGTCACGTTCGCGACCGTCGAAATCGCCGACGAGCGCTTCGAAGCATCCACGTATGCGTTGATTTCCACCATGAACTTGGCCGCAGGTACATATATATTTGTTTTTGATGGGGTTCCATATCGTTTGTAGATTCAATAGGATGGGGATCATCACTCTCACAATGCTTTATATATATTTGTATTGTGCTGTCGAGTGAAATTTCATTGTGTTGTGGTTTCTCGTTGGAATTTAAATCGATTTGATTGGTTACCTCGGATGAGCTCAAAATTATTAGCCAATCAAAACCCATTTCTCAATGCAATTCAACCAATCAAATCGATTGTGGATCGGTTTGGTCGGCGCATTTCGATTGCACCCTCTCCCCAAATATTTGTACTATCAAATCGACAATATTTCATTTGTCTTTTTTTGTACTACAAGGGTGTTTATGATTGATTTTATATTTTTTCAGAAGCTCCACCGAATAATATTAATATTCTTGATGTAGGTCCAATCTCAACATCGCTGTTCAAACAGATCGACGCGAGCTTCCTCGCGTACAAGGAGGACATTGCCAAGGACACGCCCGAGGTGCGGTGGGAGGTGGCGTACTGCCTCATAATCTGCTACTGCGCGCGGTTGTTTTCAAATGTGACGCTGGTCCTCCTTCCGCGGCAGAAAAAGGAGGCGCAGGAGCTCAAGCTCAAGGGCAATACGCACTCGCAGCTGGCGCTCGTCACGTTCCTCGTGGGGGTGTTCGCGCTGCTGTGGGGCGTCGTCACCAACGTCATGTCCATCTACCCCGGCACGTCCTGCCTCCCCATCGCAGGCGGCCCCGGCTGCTGCTCGGACGGCACGCCCGCCATCCACCGCGGCAGTACCACCGCTTGTTAGAGACACACACCATATTATGTAAGAAGAAATTGCCGCAATATTTATATATATTATAGATCAATAGTTTTCACTGGAAATATTACATCATCGATCAGAACCACGATACAGTACTGCTGTATGATCGTGGCCACCAATCCTCTGTGAGAATGCAACCGACTTGTATCGATGCATGCATCCACGAGTGTTGTGGCCTGCCTGGCATGTACTACTACTACTACTACTACTACTTGTGATAGTGTCAGCTCCCCATGATATGTAGATAGGCGTAACTAGTAATACTAGTAGTAGTTAGTAGTGTTTTCGAATCCAAGGCAGTTAGTTGTAGAATACTATGTAACTTGTAGTATATTTTGGGGTGGAGATGCTCGCCGCTTCACAGCACAAATTTATATATATATATATTGTCGATTTTCTTCAAATTTCCCAATTTTGCATGGTTCGTTCAATTGAGCACAAATAGAGCCGAGACATCTGATTGGCCATTATCCACTTCGCCCTTTCCAGTAGAAACTCGAAAATGGATTGTAGCCAATCAGCGACAAGTAATTTCGGATTGACCAATGGGAGAGATTGGTGCTCGATTCGCAATTCATACCGAATCTCCAATATTATTGGTCAAAACAACGAACGCAGTATATATATATATATATATATATATTCCTGTGTTGAGGCGATTCCAACTCTTGTGATATATTAATCGTAATGATATACATCATGGTGTATTATTCCATCGTAATTAGCATCCAATACTTGTCTTGTCACCATGGTACAGTGTCACAGATGGTTCAAAACAGTGTTAGCCTCTTCGTCGGCCAGCCGACTGAATTGCCTGCAGCTTATCCGGATTCACTTCATCCCACTCGATGCCAATCACTCTGGCAATGAAGCCCTTGTCCGCCTTGGGCGCGGCGTTGGCGCGTCCTTTGAGCACGTTGAAGCATGTCTTGCAGCAGCGCTTGTCGTCCAGCACGCCCGCGCCCTTGTGGATGCGCCCGGGAAACCCCTGCGGAAACTGCACAAACGGGATGAACAGCGACGCGTCGTCGGCGCAGCACAGCCGGCCGCACAGCGTGCAGTTGTACTTGCGCCGACCAAACCCAAACTTTTTCAGGCACAGCATGCACTCGGTGCGCTCCTTCTCCGAGATGTACGTGGGCGGAAAGTAGATGTGCGACACGAGGTACTTGAGCGACGGCCGGTTGACCTTTTCAAACACAGTCTTCCCGTCCGAGTCTTCTACTTCTAGCTTGGCACCGGCGCGCACGAGGGCCCCGGCCACCTTGAGCAGTCTACAACCCTTGTATATTAGTATTATTATTTATATATTGTCGATTCGAATGAATTCCGAGTCGCGGGGTAGAAAAATAGAATATTGAGCAGTATATAACTATGCCCACTCGGCAGAGAATCGATGATTGACCAATCAAAACATACTTCCAAAACACTATTATCAAGGAGACATATGTCAAACACAATTAGTGTGTGAAGGACACAAGAGTGTGCAGGGAGTACTACTACTAGTAGTAAGTACCCTATCGAGTCCTACTACTAGTCCTACTAGTTTTAGTATGCAGAGACGTACTTGAGGTTGATGGCCGTGTGAATCAGCGTCGTGGCGTCGTGGACGTCGTTCGGGTTTGCTCCAAACTTGAGCAGCATGTTGACGATAATGATGTCATCCTTCTTGTTGGTCATGACGGCAATGATCAGAGGCGTGAGGCCGCGCGAGTTGCGCGAGGTGACGGGCGCGCCGGCCTGCAGCAGCAAGTGCACGACGTGGGGGGTCTTGGTGGCGGCGAAGTGCAGCGCCGTGTTGCCCTTGTCGTCCTCGATCTTGAGCAGCTCCTCCGTGGGCGCCACATGGGTGAACTGGTCCAGCATCATCTGGATCAGACTCACGTTGCCCGACTTGACGGCAAGATGGAACGCCGTTTGGCCGTGGTTGGGCTCGCGGCGGATCAGACACTCGGGGCCGTTCTTGTCCTAAGTGAATATATATACAAGATGAGTCGAAGGGCACGCATGACAAGAACAAGACGGTAGCCAAACAAGGGAGTGTTCCATCATTTGTTTTCACATGTCAGACACAACCGTATACAGCTGCTATTCATCCCCGAAACCCCGGCTATAGATTCTGTACGACACAAACATATTTGTCCACCTAATTTAGTATATAGCTATTGTCTCATATAGTACAAAACTGCACAATCGAATGTCTCTGTACACTCGATTAAAGTACCGCCTGAGCCAATCAAATCACGCCCTGTCAAGTTTCGGCCAATCCAAACGTTTGACCCCACCGCATTGGGCAAAACCACATACATACTCATCGTTGTATAGTATAGTTTGTACAAGCTTAAATGAGATCAAGTGGATGATTCGAATGCTATATTTGAGCAAATCAAGGACCGACCGACCAATCAAAACCCACCACACAAATCCAGTCGCCAATCAAATCATTCGCTCTTCAACACCTCGTATGTGGCTTACTTTTGCTACTAGTGTGCAAACTAAAAAGTCAAAGGTAATATTGACTGAACGGGCAATTATATATATATATATATATACAGAATAGCATGATATTCTTCGACGATTGATGATAAAAGACTTCGTACCTGGCGCACAAACATGAGTACGCCGCGCAGATCGCCCTTGGCTGCGGCTTCGTGCACTGTGCTCATGGGCTGCGACGGCTCACTCGCGTGGATCTTTTGCACGCGATGGCTCGTCGAGTCGTGCATGCCTGGCATGTACACATTCAACGGCGGCGGCGGTGGGATGTCGTCTGGTTGCCGATGCGGCGGCGGCGTGGGTTTGGGGACGGGGATGGCCGTGACGGGGGGCGGCGCCACGGCGGGGGTGACAAGGGGGACATACTTGCCGTCGTCGCTGTCGTCGTCGCTGTCGTCGTCGTTGTATTCTTCCTTGGTTTCGTCGTCCAGCCCCGACAACTCGTGCAACATATCCTCGTCGTCGTCGTCGTCGTCGTCTTCCTCTTCTTCAACTAGCATCACCTTGTGCTCGTTGAACGACCCGTCATGCGGATGGTTGCAGTCGTCGTCGTCGTGGTCGTCGTCCAATAGGGCAATATCGTCTTCGTGCATGGAATCCATGATGGCTATCTCGGACGAGGTGCTGATGCCGCGCTGTTGTCGGGTCTCGATCGGCGGGTCGTCGTCGGGAGAAGTTGCCGCCTTGTACGCGGACACGTCTTCCACCGCGATGGCCGTGGTGTTGGACGTGTTGGACGCGGCAGATCCGCGGATATCCACCACCGACGACGCGATCGACAGCTTGTTAAAACTGATTTCTTTGATCGGGGTTGCCTGTGGTGGTTGAGACGGGGGAGGCGGTTGCATGGCGGGCTTGGGTTTCTTTAGGATCGGTGTGGGCACGGTGACGGGGAGCGGGACCGGCGCTTGCGGAGGGGGGCCGGCAACAACCTGAGGCTTTGGCACGGGCGGGGGTGGAGGTTGTTGATGCTGAGGTTTGGCGGCGGTCGCGGCGGGCGGTGGAAGGTGGCCCGTGGACGGACGCGACGCAATGCCTTTCTTCTTCATCGTCGACCCGCGCTCCTGCATCGACAGACGGGAGTCCCTGGGTTTTCCTGCATTCGTTGGGCTTGTCACGCCTTGGTTCATCATCGTCGGCGGGGTAAACGACTGGCGCTGAGGTTTGTACGCCGACATGCGCGGCGGCTGTTGCTGCACCGACGAAGGCCGGCTGCCCTGTAAAAGGGACTCGCGCGTTTTCGCCTCGAAGTTCCGCGTGACGTTTTCAGGGCGAGTGAGGCGCAACGTGGCGGGCAAGTCGCATTCCTGCAAATATTTCACCACGTCTTCCAGCGTCAGGTTGAACGTGTTCAGCTCGTTTACAGCAAGAAGCACGTCGCCAGGAACGACGTTCTTGATGCCATGAGGAAACCCTTTGCCTGTGATGCGACTCACGCTCACCCCGGCGCCACCCGGGTTTGTCGTCAGCGCCACACCGAGATCGCCACCTTCCCAGATCAACTGGTACTCTGTCGGGTCGTCTTCCACGTAGCCTGTGACACTGCTGAAGCTTGAGTCGTTCACAAGGTCCGCATACTCTGCCGCTTGCTCGTCGATCCACGTTTGTCCGGTAGCCATCGTCGTCAGGATGTGCACGGTGGGCACAAATCGAAAATGGTCGTTTGGTGATTTTTTTTGCCGTCGAAAAATCCCTCGGAGGGTGTAACACGTGGGACAAACTCAAAAAAGAGGGCAAAAAAAACATTTTTTGGGCTATTCTTGATATTATCCGGATTCCTCGAGTGAGACTCACCTTTCTGTCGGACAAGTGTAACACGTATCCGGATGTTACAAAGATCGCAAACTAAAACGTAATGCGGTCAAGGGTGACGGTCGCGGTGGTGTTGGCGCTGACGTGGCAGCCTACCATAGCATCTCCGACCGCGGCGGAGTTTATAGCGCAAGGAGTGGCGTATCAGTTGGACACGCACGACCTCATCCAGGCCAAACACATGTACCAAGCAGCCTTGTCAGTGAGTCCCGACAATGTCGAGGCGCTGCACCTGTTAGGGTCGGTTGCATACCACGAAGGGCACTTTCACGAAGCACAAGAGTACCTTGAGCAAGCGATATCCGTGTCTTCTTCCTTGGACAAGTCGGCCATGACCCATTGCAACCTCGCTGAAACTCTGCGAAAGCTGCACCGACCGGCGGACGGACTTCATCACGGCGACATGTGTTTCAACGCCACTGGCGGGTCCGAGTTCAGTCTGTTGGTCCTTGCGTGGCTATACAAAGACCTTGACGAGCCAAGCAAAGCAGTTGACGTGCTGCGGCGGCTCGTAGCCATGAACGACCAGCACCTTGAAGCCTGGGACACGCTCGGTACGACCAGACCTCCGACATGATATTCCAACCTAACAACCATCATTTCCGCACTCATACTGTACGTACTACTGTAGGAACAATCTACTTGGACAATGACGATCTTGCCGCTGCAAACGATGTATTTACACACATGATTGCCCTCGACGCCTCGGATTTCCGAGTAAGTTGTCAGTACGAGCAGCAGAGTGCTGCTAAACAGTATCGCAGGGGTATGCAGGTCGAGGCCAAGTGCTGCATTTACAAGGACATTTGGACGCCGCCCAAGCCGACTATGACGTCGCTCTACGAATCAACGGCCAGCACGACCCAACGTTACAAAACGTTGGCATCTTGTACCAAGTACGTACGCCCATCCGTCTCCACCTTGTTTGAGCGAACGTTTCACTACAACTTTCGCAGCAACTGGGCCATTTAGACCGCGCTGTGGCCATTTACCAGCAGTTGCTCGTTCGCCAGCCAAACAACGTGGCGTTGCTCAACAACTTGGGCGCGGCGTTGCTGTACACAGGACGGCCGGACGACGCGCGGCCGTACTTGGAGCAGTCGGTGCGGGAGAATCCATCGAATCCGCAGAGTTTTGTGAATTTGAAAACTTACTATGCCGACTCGGGTACGTTTGGTGGTGTGAGAGACTGCCACGTCATAATACCACGTTTTGTATAGGGGACTTGGACATGGCACGCCAGATGCTGCAGCGTGCGTATGACGTGTCGCACGCCGACGTCCTTCGGTACGTTGGTGCTGGATCATGATGCGTTGTCCTTGCATTGTACAGTAATTTTAGCCATAGATTCTGACCGAGTTGCCGTAGAATCGACATGGCCACCTTGTTGCCCCAAGTATTCACGTCCCAAGCTCATCTCGACACCACCAGACGCAACATGCACGCAGCCATCGACGCCCTTCTTCTTCTCGCGTCGTCGTTGCATGTAGAAAACCCCGAAGCGGTACTGTTATATACGGGTGGATACAATCCTACCGACGACATTTGATATGTGTGATATATTGTGGATTCGATACGAATTTCCAGATCGAATCTCGCCGCCAAATCGAATCATCACAAATCGACGCTATTGGCTACTCCATTTTTGAGTGGATGATTTGATTGGCTCTTGCAGATATATTCAACCAATCACAACTCCAGCGTGATTCAATATTGATTAGACAAACCAGGCGAATTTTGTGAATTTTGGAAGTTTATAGCGAATTCACAATATATATTCTATAGTTTGAAATTCGGCCGCCATTCTACTTGGTGTACCAGGGCTACAACGACCTACACTTGCAGGTAGTAAAACACAATTATTTCATGAATACTTGATATATTCCTCCATAACTGTACGCTATCTAGACCAAGCTCGCAACGTTGCACAGCCACTCGTGTCCAGCGCTGCACTTTACCGCGCCACACATTGCACTTGGCGTGGGCACGTTGTTCGAGTTCGACAAGACGTTTCGCCGCCTTCGCATCGGGTTTATGTCCAAGTTCTTTGTGCCCAACCACGCACACGGCATGCTTCTGCGCGGGGTACTAGCGCATCTGAACCGCCAGCTGTTTCATGTGACGCTGGTGGTCGTGCCGGACCCGCAGCAGCAGGTGGATGCCGGCATGGCTGCCGCCGCCGACGCCGTCAAGGTGCTGAGCATGCATCTCGCGCACAGCCAGCAGGTCCGTCCACCTCCATATTGTCTCGTCTGTGTGTGCTGTAAACACAATAGTGTCGATTCAAAGCAGCAGCATCTCCACATATCGTTTCTTGCGTATCTGCAGAGCCCAATATATATATATATATATATATATATATAGAGAGAGAGAAAGATTGAAGTGATATTTTTAATAGGAAATCGCGGCGCTGGAGTTGGATGTGTTGGTGTTTGCCGATCTCATGAGCGAGCCCATGACGTACTTTGCCGCGTTTGGCCGACTCGCGCATGTCCAAGCGGCATTTTGGGGTAACCCTACCACGTCCGGTGTGTATTATATATATTCTTTCCATGTTTTATGCTTCAACTACATAAATAAATAAATAAATATAAATATATATATATATATATATATTATCGTACATAGGCATTCCAAACGTGGATTATTTCATTTCGGCCGACGCCATGGAATCCAGTCCCGACCCAGCCGTCGAATCGCATTACTCGGAGCAAGTCGTGCTCTTGTCTGGTGTCGGCATTTGGTAATTCTATCCATCGTTCCTGTAAATATATATATATATATATATACAGGTTGTCGAGCTTTAAATCTATAAACGATGTTGCCACCATAAGATCATCTATAGTATTCTGACGCTCGACCATACATAGGTACGACAAGCCGACGGTGCCCGCACAACTAGGCCATCGACGGTGAGTCCCGTCGCGTTCCTTCGACAGCATGCGAGCTCCATGTATTATTGGGTTTATGGCCATGACGAGCTCATTACGGAATGGATGGCTGGTAGAGATCACCACTTGGAAGATGAGTGGACCATCTATATGTGTCCCCAGAGCGTGTACAAGCTCGTGCCGCAATTCGATCGCGTGCTATTTGAGATATTACGGCAAGACCCACAAGGCCACGTCGTGCTACTGGAGGCTCGGTACCCGTACGTGAATAGTATGATTTAGTTGGTGTTAGTTGGTGTTTATACTAACATGACGACGTAGTCAGTGGACGAGACAGCTCCGGACGAGGTTGCAGCAGACGATCAACTCGACGGAGATGTGGAATCGCGTGCACTTTCGTCCTCGGGTTGGCGGTAGCGACGCGTTCTTGAAGCTCCTGTCGGTCGCGGACGTCGTGTTGCATCCGTTTCCATTTGGGGGGTCGAAAACGTCCGCGGTAGGAGGAAGCATGCATGCGTAGAAGCAGCGCATGTTGATGTGTCGTATCGTAGGATGCCTTGTTGCTGGGGTTGCCGCTTGTGGCGATGAAGACGCCGCTCCTGCGAAGTCGCATGGCGTATTCGTTCTACTTGCACATGGACATGCTGGACTGTGTGGCGTCCACGGAGGACGAGTACATCGCGATTGCGCTACGACTGGGCACAGACGCGGTGTATCGCAGCGACGTACGTGCGTGTGTGTCGTTCACTTCCCCCTGCCCACGTCCAAACCCACAGCCATTGCACAAACGTAGACTGCCAGACGCATTCGAGAAAGGCAGCATCTACTGTGGGAAAACGACGAGGTGGTTGCCGAGTGGGAGCGCTTCCTGTACAATGCCGTGCGTAGCGTGGCCACATCTTAAGGCCGATAGATACATATCCCACCTACATGTACCCAATCTTCGTCTAACCATCTCGCGTTCACCTCGAGGGTGCATTGCAACACCCGTTTTTGTCACGAAAGTGGTTGTATCGAATGTCCAAGGCAATATTCATTTCTACAGGGGCTTAGAATCGAATGTGAAAGGTTTTATAAAGGAATAAAGGTTATTTTTGTGGTCGCTGTGGCCTGGCCTCAGTAGACTCGCTATTGACTAATTGCAGGAACATGTTGTCTCGTGCCGTGCGCCGCTCCATCCACACCACCGCCCTCCGCGCGGCCGCCGAGAATGCCCCGTCCAGCGCTGTCGCCACCAAGGTCACGCTGAACTTGAGCACCCCACACCAAGCGTTCTACAAGGGCGTGCAAGTCGACCTTGTCCAAGTGCCTGGTTTGGTCGGTGAGTACGGTGTCACTGCCGGCCACACCCCCATCATCTCGCAATTGAAGCCCGGTGTCATTGCCGTGCACGAAGAGCGTGACAAGGTTGTGAAGAAGTTCTTCACCGCCGGTGGATTCGCCTTCACCCATGCCGACTCGACCACGGACATCGCCGCCGTGGAATTGATCAAGGTCGAAGACATCGACGCGTCCGCCGCTGAGGCCGGTGTCCAAAAGTACAAGCAAGCGTTGGAACAAGCCGCCGACGGCACCCCCGAAAAGGTCGAAGCTCAAATTGCTTACGAAACCCACCTCGCCTTGGTCGCCGCCTTGGCCTCGGCTTAGAGATGATGTACTGTACATGCTAACTAGCATTGAACGTGCGTGGTGAATTTCACTCATGTGCCAACTACGCATACTCCTTCGTGCATTATATCGACTTGTTTCAGGGCCAACAACGTGTGACCTCGACAGAGAAGCGAGCTAACCATCGATCCAGCTAGGGTGTAGACACAACGGCGACTCGATGAGGAACATTTCAAACCTACAGATTACTGCAACCTTTTAGATGAGGAAGCAAGGGTGCTATGTACATATGCATGCCACAATGCGAAAACTTCTCTTTGGTTACTCTCGTAGTGTCCATGATCGATCGATCACCATCACCCATAGTTACTTCACTGTTAACATTACGGTCAACTACTACTACCAACGACCCAGGCTAAGCTCAAGTACAACTCGCCTACGTACCTTCTTAGAGCCACCCGTTGGCGTATCGACTCTCGACGCAGTGGACAAACGACTCGAACGCGTCGTTTTCATGGCCACGACTGGTAAAGAGGCAGTCTTGGGCCAGCTGCACCATGCCAGGACGGAACCCCGTGACTTCATTGTACGTCGAGTACGCTTGGAGCACGCGGACGACTCGGCCTTTGGCTTTGGTCGACAGGCCCGACGCGCGCACATGCTTTTCAATCACAGAGTACCACGGGCAGTCGTGGCACGGACACAAATAGTCGGCCACAATGAACTGGGACCGCGCAGCAAACACGAACGGAATGTCGTCCTGGGACTTCAGAGTTGTTGTGGTAGCACTGACGGATCGGCGGGATGAACATGCAAACGTCGACGGTGGTGGCACGGCGTCTGGATCGTCCTCATCATCACTTGGGTCAATGTCGGTGGCGTACTCGGACGAACATGCGGTGCTGCACATGTCGTCGTCGTCAGTCGGGGATTCAGCTATGGAGCCTTCAATCTTCCACGTGTGTGCAGGCCAGTCGGCCAGCGAGGGTCGTGGTGTCTGGAGGCCATCCAGGAACAGGTCTGGCTGCGGCTCTGTCGTGAAAACCAGGTCGCTGTCTTGTTTACCAGCTTCTTCTGTTCCCTGGGGGGGTTGAGTTGCATTCGACATTGGTGGTGATATCATTGGTGAGATCTTGGATGGATGGGTCGTGTTTGCATAAAACATCACGTTGAACTGGTCACACACTTCGTCATACGCGTCGTGAGGTGATGCCGTTGCGTCTTGAGTGGGACGACAGGGTGACACGATGGTTCGGAGCACTTTGAGCGGCGACCGTCGTCGGCGCTGACGCATGGCAGACCGGGTTTCGTCTACTCCGTCAATAACATCGCGTTTACTTCGGAGATGCAAGGACACCAAGTTAGCGTCCCATTTCAAGTCGTCCTGGGCGTCGTTGAAGCTCTTGTCGCTAGTGTCGTTGTCTTCGTGGGGTTGGGGAAGGGTGGACACATAGCTCTCGACTGCCACGAGCTCGTCGGTGTACATGTCGAGGCTATCATCGCGCACGCACACGGCTTTCAGCGCAGAGTTTCCCATGAAGCTTAATGTGCAGCTGGAAGCGAATTCAGATATGACGCACGACGCACATGGTGTCGTTTGGACGAGAAAACCAAGACCAACACCCTACCAAAAAAAGATCGCTCACTTGCATAAATCGAGTCGCGTGATTGGCAGATGATTTGCTCGATTTTCATAAATGGCGCGATGATATTGGACAACGACCTGGTATCCGGAACAAGATCCGGATAGATTTGAAGTTCTGGCAGTGTACCACAACCCTCCGTATCGACTACAGTAAGCCAAGGTCGACGGAAGCGTGGAGCCCTTAGATGCCCAAGCATCTAAAATAAGCAGAGGTATATGCACACTTCAAGTCATTTCGTCCCATGAAATTGGTACTTTACAGCAGTGTGCAAAACACCCCCACCCCAAAATGACTTTACGATTGATTGGGTCGAGGCAATGACGAGGCAACCCCAGCCCCAGCCCCACTCACAACAAACCGAATCATTCCCGTGATTTCTTATTTAAGTTAGCGGGTGGTGTGGTTGATGGCAGTCATGCAACGCAGGAGGAGGAGCTGCACCACACCAATGACCACCCAGAGCAGGACCATGTTGCGCCCAATCATGTCGGGTGAAAACGTGTGGTTAAAGAACCCCTCGACAAAGTCGCGAATGGCCACGTTTGTCTTTGTCAAAACGTCGACGACGGGGGCAGTTTGGTCGTGGTATTGGGCCATGACGATCCCTTCCAGCATGTAGTGCACCGGGCTGATCCAGTACACCCACCGCCACACCACCGCCAGTGTCTCGACGTCGATCATGAACCCCGAAAAAATGAACGACAAGGACGCGAGGCCGCCGCCCAAGAGCTCGGCCATCTGGGGCGTCGGCAGCCAAAACACGAGCAGCTGGCCAATGTACGACCACAGCAGCACACTGCTGGTCATGAACGCCCAGAACCACAACCACGCCCTGGTGTAGTGACCGTCGAGGCCACACAGCCAGTAAAATGAGTGGACGAAGACAGACGACAGCACGACGCTGTAGCCGAGTTCGACCACCGCCAGCGACAAGGAGTGGGCTGCGGGGGCGTACATGTTAGACTGACTTTCGCGGTAAAACACATTGCGGCTTTGCGACACGAACGGAAGGGACGTGGTCATCATAGAAATGCACAAAAACGATGTGGCCACAAAGATGAACGTGAGCTGACTCAGCACGTCCATGCTGGTGGTTAGCTCCATCCCGTGAAAGACCGAGCCAAAGATCAGCGGCACCACGACCAATGGCAGTCATGCAACGCAGGAGGAGGAGCTGCACCACACCAATGACCACCCAGAGCAGGACCATGTTGCGCCCAATCATGTCGGGTGAAAACGTGTGGTTAAAGAACCCCTCGACAAAGTCGCGAATGGCCACGTTTGTCTTTGTCAAAACGTCGACGACGGGGGCAGTTTGGTCGTGGTATTGGGCCATGACGATCCCTTCCAGCATGTAGTGCACCGGGCTGATCCAGTACACCCACCGCCACACCACCGCCAGTGTCTCGACGTCGATCATGAACCCCGAAAAAATGAACGACAAGGACGCGAGGCCGCCGCCCAAGAGCTCGGCCATCTGGGGCGTCGGCAGCCAAAACACGAGCAGCTGGCCAATGTACGACCACAGCAGCACACTGCTGGTCATGAACGCCCAGAACCACAACCACGCCCTGGTGTAGTGACCGTCGAGGCCACACAGCCAGTAAAATGAGTGGACGAAGACAGACGACAGCACGACGCTGTAGCCGAGTTCGACCACCGCCAGCGACAAGGAGTGGGCTGCGGGGGCGTACATGTTAGACTGACTTTCGCGGTAAAACACATTGCGGCTTTGCGACACGAACGGAAGGGACGTGGTCATCATAGAAATGCACAAAAACGATGTGGCCACAAAGATGAACGTGAGCTGACTCAGCACGTCCATGCTGGTGGTTAGCTCCATCCCGTGAAAGACCGAGCCAAAGATCAGCGGCACCACGACCATCAGCACCAACCGAGACGTGTTGTACGACGGACTTCGCCAATACGTGGCGCTTTGACGTTGCAGCAACGTAACGAATTGCGTCCCAATGGAATGCGCATTCTTTCTCAAAGGTACAAGCTCTTGGCCTTGCTCCACCAATTGCTGGTTACGACCGGCAAGGTCGCTCTGACGAGTGCTGGTCACGAGTATGTCGCTGTGGTCGGCCACGTGTTGGTGTATTCGTTGCTGACCTTGCAATTGGCGGCGCTTTCTGTTGGGTGCGGTCTCGCGGCGCTACTGTTTGTGTTTTCTGGGTTCATGATCGACGGCCACAGATTGTCCGAGGGATGGCAGTGGATGTGCTGGGTCAGTCCCCTGCATTACATGCTGGAGATCATTCATCTTCATGACACAGTTCCACCACCAACACACCGCTGTGTCCAAACGCTGGACGTGTCGAATGTTCGCGTCAACGACTTTGTTGTTGCATTACAGTATTGGACCAAGCGTTCTCGTTCGAGATTAAGTGGCGCATCGTGGAGTTGTTGTGGATGCTCATTCTGGTGCTGCTGCACATACTGCATGGCCAAAGTTAACCACACCACTCGTTAAGGAGGACAAGGACTACTCGACTATTGAATTGATATCTCGACCTGCAAAAGCAACATGCAACATGGGGGCGTTGTAGTCAGTTGACCATGCAAATACTACTGTATAGTATCGCCAAGGCACCACAAGTGTACATGGCCCCTGTATACATACACCGCACCGATGGCAGCCTGCACCACTTACACTGTCTTGCTTCACCTTGAAACAAAATTGTGTGGTGTCGCCCCAAGCAACGTTCTACTACTGTACCGGTACAGTTGTACACTGTAGTATACGGTATAACTGTAAGTACACCGCGATCAGCATGCTTTTTCCAACTGACTGGGTCGAACACGCCAAGTATACGTATACTACGTAGTACTTCGAATAATTCCCTCATTAAAACAGTACCACTGTTATTTTGACCCGAAATACTGTTTCAATGAGGGAATTATTACATCCGGATACACCTTTTCGCCAGTAGTCCTGTAACCTGGGACTCCGTCCTACCCCCCCGGTGAGTGCGTACGATGCTAAATCCTCGGGGTTAACTGCATCGCTAATCGTTAGCTATCGCTAACCACTGAGATGCACTTAACCCCTAGTAAGAGGTGAGGTGGTCTGAGCATACAAAGCTCCATATAAACACTCATTGAAACAGTATTTCGGGTCAAAACAACAGTGGTACTGTTTTAATGAGGGAATTGTACTACTGTAGTACTTGCGTAGTGACATACCATGTGATATTTCCAAACAGTTACACAAGGAGGCGACACATTTGGTGTCCCTTGCGAAGAATGCAGGCCACCCAAATCTCTGTGGTACTTTTTCATGGATTCGTAAACCTAATTACGGTAACATTTTCTGGGTACAGTACTCGAACCTCCCTTGCATCGCTCTCCCACTCTTTGCTCATGTCACCCATTTTGAGCCCCAAGTGGTTCATATCCAATTCATATCTCCATCAAACATGACCACAGGGCCGTGCTTCACACCGCGGCACGACAGTACCTACGACGAGGTCACCACACCACGCAGTAGCGACCGTACATTTGGATTCCAGCAGCTACCGCAACCACGTCACACATCCAAGTCATCGATCAAGTGTGAGATCCGAATGAAACATGTCGACTACGTTGTGCCAGTTCTCCACTCACATTCACACATTGAAACACTGACCTCAGCCTTCCAGCTCCCTTGGTTTAATTCCAAAAAGCAAAACGTCAAGTACATCCTCAAGAACGTGAACGCGATCTTCAAGCCAGGCACCATGACCCTGGTCCTAGGTCCGCCAGGGTGCGGCAAGACCACCCTGCTCAAGCACTTGGCTGGTATTTTGCACGTCAAGGGTAACGAACAAGTCAGCGGATCCGTCACGTACAACGGATGCAAGCCCAGCCAGATCGACCTGAGCTCTCTAGCTGCGTACGTCCAGCAAAGCGACAACCACTACCCCACGCTCACGGTCAAGGAAACGTTCGAGTTCTCCCACAAGTGCCTCGTGGGGACAGTGGACCCGAACGACCCGCTCGCGGTGAACGAGCAGCACATGGTGGACATCCTCATCTCGGTGTTTGGGCTGTCCGAGTGCGCCGACACGATCATCGGGGACGACATGATCCGAGGGGTGAGTGGAGGCCAGAAGCGCCGCGTGACCGTG